CCAAATTATTTCTTCCGACCTCAAATTAAAAGCTAAATTGAGCTCCCAGAAAAATAATTTTTTTTTAAACGGAGCTATATTTTCATTCATTTCCAAAGGAAAAACTTGCACAACCTTTCGTTTTGAAATAAATAAGACTGAACGACACGACATACGAAAATAGTGTGATCAAGGCCGCTAGAAATGACACTTGATACCACAAAGTGGTCACTGTAGGGTGAAGGGCCGACGGCGGATTGCACATCTGAATTTGTAGACTTCCGAGTCAGAGTACTCACTTAAGTGGATCCTATGTTCACCTCTCCAATGGTCGTTAACTTTCGACTGATAAAAAATAGGGTCCGAATCTTACATTTTTTTTCCTTTTGGGTTCTCATGTTCCTGACGTTTTCTGAGCCCTTCAGTGAACACTTGAAAATTTTCACAGCCTTCTTAGTATTCTCTCACTAGTCAGATAACCTCTGGTTGCCCTCAAGGAATTATAATGCAAGAGAGGCGTGCGAAAATGGGCGGAGCCTCAAGTTACCTTAATTTCGTCGTCGTTCGATTTGAGATAGCCCAAAACTATAGTTACTATTCCATAAAAAGACGAGATCGACATGATAATTATCAAATAAAACGTTGTTTCCAGATTTCGGTGCCTAGAGAAAGTTTTCAAGCTGGAAAAAGTTCTCTGAAACGACTTAATGGGAAAAATGATAGATATAAGGAAGTCCACAGAGATGGCAGCGATCAGAATAGTCTGAACACAGTGGCAGAAAATATCCAAGGACATGTAGTGTAGACAAAAACCTCTTCGGGCGGGTTGATTCGAAGTTATGGCTAAAATTCACTATTTTTAAATAAAATTTGCTTGAGAATAGCTTCCCACTCACCAAAAATGCCAAAAGCGACAATGAAAAGAGAAAATAGGAGACAGAAACTTTGAAAAGTCGTCAGTAGCGTCAGCAAACACCCTGAAACTTTTTTTGAAAGCCAAAAAAAAAGGAAAAAAAATTTGAAGAAATACCATATTTAGTACGAAGAGCCGCTCGCTTTGCATGCAGCAAAATGAGATTTAAATTCCCGAAAAGGCCGATAAATGTCATAGAAATTATAACAAAGTACAGAAAATACTCATCGACTCTAGATTCCGCCATTCTGGTTCCGAGGAAAATGAGAACAACACAAAAAGGAATTCCCTCAAAATTAATCCAAGAAATCGCCCAGAAAATCAAATTCACACTGAGTTGATTTCATTTACACCCCATGTCTTTCGGTGGAAAAAAAGAATAATTTTAATGTGATTTGGATTTTTTTTTGTACGTCGACAAGTGTCTGATAAAAAGTCTAACTATATGATAAATCAAAAAAAGGTTGAAAATTCTGTAATATCAAATAAAAACACGGAAGAAAACCTCAAACTGATCATATACTGTTGTATATCACAATGAAAATATGTGATAATATTTTTAGGAAGGTTTTTTCTTCCAAATATAATAGCTTGAAATGAGTGCATCTAATGGAACATGAATATTTCAAAACAACGCTGCGAAACGCAAAAATTCAATGAAGAGATAAGAAAAAGAGAAGTAAAAAAAAAAAATATTTGGTAAAAACTTGAACTTCCAGCGATTGCGTCGCCGTGTCTGCAGGAGACATCTCTACCGTAACCTTTTAAATAGCTCTTCGGGGCTTTTTTCGTTTTCTTGTTTGTTTTTCTTTAATATTTTTTGCCTCCATAGAAAGCCACTTGAATTTAAAAATCAGAAATGCTCAAATGCATCAAGTTTAATAAAAGTAAAAAAAAAATTAACATCAGAAACATTGTAATTTTCTCTTTTCTGCTCATTTTTGATTTAAACAAGTAAATTAAACTCATATTTTGGAAATTTGAGTTTTAGTAGGATTGATTGTATGTAACCGAGTGGGTTCTAGGATAACTATGGAATTATTGGAAGCATAATTCTCAAGTTTTTGAGTCCAACAGGGACAAATTCTCAAAGATAGCGGTAAAATCTGCTGGGACAACATCCGACGGTACTCGGAGGACCGGAAAAAGCAGACATACGCATTTTGGGAATATAATAGCATTGCGAATACACCCTAAAATTCAAGCTGAAGTTTAGAATGATAAAACACACACTAACGTTATAATCTTGAACGATGGTGATAACTTTCAAGTCGACGTTAATGAACCGCATGAAATTGATAATTAGCGATGTCGCGAATTGAGTGATTAGGAATACAATTACGATAACGCTAATACTGCGCATCGCCTTTTTCTCGATTACCATCGTTCTATGGGATCTACCTGAGAAAGGGCTAAAATTAGACGCGATGTCGCGCTCTACAGAGAGATCCAGAAGTTCTAAGGGTCTTGAAGAAAACTGTATTCACCTCTTGTTTTGAAATAAATAATGCCAAATGACGTGAAATAAGAAAATAAGGTGATTAAAGCGGCGCAAAATGCGACTCGAAACCAGATAGTGGCCACTTTAGGATGGAGGGCCGACGGCGGATTGCACATCTGAGATTTATGGAGCTTCGAAAAAGCTGATTATTTGAAGCTCCAATAAGTTACTCGAGTCTTAACTTTTTCTTCGAAAAAAGGCGGCATTTTTCAAGAAATACGAGCTTTTTGGTTCAGACAATTATTTCGATCGAAGCAAGCATGACTGTTCTGCTAATGAACCTCAAGTAATCACTTGACTCGTCACTTGAGAAATCACTCGGATGTAGCAAAAGGCGTTAGGGAGTTTCAAGTGTTCACTTGAGTAGTTTGAGTTTTTCGATGATACTAAAGAGGCTATTCTTATTCCCCTCAAGTAGTAGAAAATTCTCAGAAATTAATTAAAAGGTCGAAACTTCAAGTGACTACCTGAGAGGTCAGAAATATGATCCCTATCTGAATTTCTCCCTTCTCTGCTAGCCATCAAAGAAAAAAAAATGCAAGTGAGGCACGATATAACTGCAAATCCGCCGCACGAAAAAATGGAAAACTAATTACCTTGATGACATCGTCGTTCGTGTTCGCATAGGCCAAAATGACAGTCGAAGATCCGTTTAAGAACGCGATCGTCAAAATAATTGTCAAATACGATTTGGTTTTGAAATTTCTGTGCCTTGAAAATTTCTATTAATTTGCGAGGAACAAGAAAAAGCTAACCTAATGGGAACAACGATGGAAATGAAAAAGTCGACTGAGATGGCGGCGATCAGAGTCGTTTGAACGCAGTGGGAAAAAATGTCCAAAAACATGAAATGTAGGCAAAAACCTCGTTTTACTTGATAACTTATCGCGTCGGCTGAAAAAATACTTTGTTGAAAAAATCGAATGCTGAAGGATTCAGAAAGGCAATCGTTTCTCTAGAAACTCTTCATACCGCTAATCCCCTGTTCAAATTTTTTATTTTCATTTTGAAAAGCGAAAAAATAACCAGTCACGCCAAAAACGACGATGAAAAGCGCAAAAAAGATGCAAACGGTCTGGAAGGTCGTCAGTAACGTTAGCAGACATCCTGAAATTAACTTTTTATTGGTAAAGCCACTTGGAATTTCACCAAACGACATTCCGCTGTGCCGCTGCGCGCCTTTGCAAACCATGGTCGCGCTTTTAATTTTTTTAATTTTATTAAGGTACTCTACTTTCATGTGCTTCCACAGCAATAAAAATCAATTAGAAGTATGACCAAGATTAGAAAGACGCTTCGCGAACGCACGCAGCGGAACAGCGGATTGTCGTTCCGTGAAATTTCAAGTCGTGGTACACAGAAATCTCAGGTGATTTCGATTATAAATATTCCTTTTTGGCTGTTCAAACGTTGAGAATGTGAATGAGAGATTCAAAAAAGCCAGCAAAAAAAAAATTCAGTACAAAAAAAGCGAAAAGCAAATGAAATACATCTTTGGAAAAAACAGTTTCTTAAGAAAAGAGGGACTACTTTAGAATTTTTTTTCATGATTATTTTACCATATTTGGTACGAAGGGCCGGCCGTTTGATATGAAGCAGGATTAAATTCAAATTCCCGAACAGACCGAAAAATATCATGATAACCAAAATAAAATATAGCAAATGCAGGTCGCCTCCGTAGTCAACCATTCCACTTCGGATTCGACGGAAATGACAATTTTCCGCCTTATTTACAGCCCTTTTTGGCTTGTGGCTCCATAAGAAAAGAACTTTTGATGAAGTTTGCGCTGTTTTTCATTTCTTTTTTTGTTTTGCAAACGAAAATTCCGAGTAATGTTGGGATAGGTAGGTATAAAAAACAATTAGGAGCTCGTTAATAACCAGCAAAAAGTTCCATGATTTTTCTTTTCTAAAATTAACGTATCAAAAGTCAAGAATTACATTTAATAGTTATACCAAATTGATTGAATTTTATGAAAATTCACGAACTTCAGTTATTGTCAATTTTGAAATACTACCATTCTATCAATAAAAAACAGAATAAAATCCAAATTTTACCAATTTTTTCATTGTCTTCAAACGAAACAAAAATTATGTCTTCCAGGAACCCCCTGGCTTCATACAAGAATAAAAGAGCGTGTTTCCTTTCTCCAATTTCACAAACAAAAACAAAAGTTTTTACTTTTTATTCATAAATTTTTACAAATTGGAGTAATGATCCAACAAAAAAAGTGAGAAAAAACAATAAAAAAACAACCGTAATCCCAAATATTCTCAGTTTCTCAGCAGAAGAATACGGAAAAATTCTATCTATATATATCGATCATTATTAGTGGAAAAAAGAAAACAAATACAAGCAGAGACAAAATTTGAACTATATGAGGCGTAGAGAGGAAAAAGAGCAAGTGAAATTGGTAATAAGACAAGAAAAAAGTTAATGAGAAAAAGCCACATGCACTTGGGAAAGAGATCAGACAATTTAATAACAAAGACGGGTATGGATAACAGGCGAAAAAAGTGTAAAAAAAGATTTTCCGACCTAAGTCTTTCTAGGTCTAAGGCCTTGTTAGGGCCTTATTAGGGCCCTATTTTGTGCTTAATTCTGCTCTAATTGACGACGTTAGGTGTAGTGGCTACGGAGGAAGACGACGTGTTTGACGTCGTCGTTGAAGCGGGCGACGATTGCTGGGCCGCCTGCAAATAATGATTGTTGAAAAAACTGATTGGAAAAATTTCAAATTTTGGTTTTTCTTCAAAGGTATTAGAAACTTTTTCCAAAACTTTCGAGATCCTTAACTCGTTTATTGAACGAAAACTCCAGGGGAAGAAGCTTGAAAAGTTGAAAAGTAACAAAAATAAGGCTCCAGTGAAAATGGCTTTTGAAAAGCGATGAGCTTGAAAATGATATTTTTCCTTAAAATCGATAAATGTTTCTCGATTTAAGTGAATTTCTATATCTTTTGTGATCGTGTTCTTCAAAAATTCATTGAAGATGAGGTTACTTACAATCATATTTAAAAAAACAATGAAAAAGATGGTTTCAGTAAAAAAAAATGATCTGGGAAAATTTTAAGAGGCCACTATGAAGGCTCGCCAAAGACTATTTGGAGGGAACACTAAAGTGGCCACTATTTTCCGTTTTAGTGGCCACTTCAGTAGTTTTTCATCCAGTATTCCTTCCAGATAATAATCTTCCAGAAAACATACAGATTGGACGAGTTATGTTGAGATATTGACCCCTAAAGTGGCCACTAAAATTTTTAGTGGTCTAATAGTAGCACTCAGACCTCTATAGTGGCCACTAATTTTGAACCCCTTAAGTGGCCACTAACTTGATTACTATAGTGACGACTAAAACGTCAAAAACCTGTAAAAGAAATTTTCCCAGATATTCCAAAAATTGAGTACAAATTTATATTATCTGCTCCCATACTGAGCCAAGAAAAATCCAAAGTTTTTTCAATTCAATTTGTTTATTTTTCGCAACATCGGGATGGTATGGTGATGTTGCAGGGAGGGAAAAAGACCACTAGGTGGATCAACTAACCCCACCTGTGAAGAAAAAAAAAAGTTTTTTGTGTAAGAAAAGAAACATAGAACCATAATAAGTAGATATTTAAAACCAAGTTGATCATGGCACAAATCTGTGAACACTTGAAAGAATATGCTCGACGCCATAGAAAGTTAGAACTAATTAATAAAAATTTTATCCATAATAAATATCTATCTAGTTTACCTGGTTCTGATTGGCCGAGACGGAGTTGTTGTTGTTGGCGGAGGACTGGACGAGGCCGGAGTTCTCGCGGACCTTCTTGAAGTCCTCGTACTCGTCGCCGAGGATCTGGGCGATCTCGGCCTGCATGAAGGCCCAGGGCATCGCCGCGCCAACCAGGGGGCATTTTTCGCCCGACGGGCAGTACAGGTCGGCGCTCTTGTTCTGCTCCTGGAAACAGTTTATTTGATTAAAATATTGAGAAACTAATGTGTTTCCAAATGAGGCAGATTATTATTAGAAAAAACCAAAAAATAGATACGAATCTTATCATGAGCGATTGAGCAAAGATAATATAACATATAAAATTGATTGAAAAAAATTGGCAAAAACAATCGAAGAAACTCGTACTATCTATCACTTGAGCAAATTAGATTTTTTTTAATTTCTGGTGGATTTTGACTAGATAAAATGACTTTTCAAAGCTACCTTGATGAAGTTTCTTGAGCAGGGGAAGCAGAATTTGTGGGAGCCGACGCTGGGGCACTGGACAAAGTGCGTGTCTTCTAGCCGCTCGTTGCAGATTGTGCATCGCAGGATCCGCTCACTGAAAAAGTACTCCTGTTTATTTTGAAGTAGTTTTTTGTAGATGTCATTATGAAGATCTGAAGGCTTAAAGTCAATCAAGCAAAAGCAAGTTGTTTGATTTTTTTTATTTTTTTTTTGTTGAGAATATTGAAAATATTGAGCTTTTTCGAGCTCACTTGTTGGAGTGGTGATGTTGGCGGCGTCGGTCGACGGCCGGATGGTCAGGACTGTGTGTGGAGGTCGGCGAAACGGAGGTCGTTTGAGCATCTCCTGAAATTTCAAACATAAGAACTTTGCCTTTTTATCCATTTTTTTCAAGTACTATTCAGAAAAATCGGGTTTTCATTCACTAGAAAAAGCTATTCAAACGGTTCGATTCTACCTTGAAAAAAACTCTTTTTCAAGTATATTTTCTAAAGTTCTAACAAGTTTCCCAATAATTAATAAATGTCGACTGCTTGGGCAACTTCTTTTTTTATTTTATATTTATAAAATCCTAGAAAAAGTCTAATTTTTCTTGACGGTCTCTTCCAAAATACACAAAAACCCATCTTTCTCTTTTATAGATCTCAATTTCGAAGCGTTCAAGAAGCCAAAACTTCCATTTTATGAATATTATTACATAGAGGCCCCCAAAAACCTTGAAAAGAAAATGCACCGAACGCACAAGGTTAGGCCAATTATTTTGCAGTAGCACTATTAATAATACTGGTTTTCGGGGACGAAGAAGTGGCCAGGTGTGAAGGTCATTTCTAGCCCATGGAAAAAAAGGTTCCGCTAAAAAAAAGTTTTTTTTTCTTATTCATCCAATTCAATGGTGCCAGGTAGCGCCGGGCGACTTCAAAGGTCATTTCGAAGGTCTTCTTTTTCGCTGAAAACTTTTCCAAACTCATTCTCAGAGCCCTTAAAGCTGAAACTCTCAAGAAAAAGGAAAGAAAAAAGCTGGGGACAAACAAAAAACGTCGGAAATATCGAGAGGTAAACCGGCCTAGTCAAACAGTTTCGGGGAAAACTGTAAAAGTTTGTCAAGGTTCCTGGCAGCAGTAACTTTTTCGTTTCGTTGAAGTAACTAAATAAACAAAGGGAAATTTCTTGAGGAAAAAAAAGGTTTGTGTACTTTGAAGACTCATTTCTGCGGTTTTGACGTTGGTTATTTGTAATCAAATACGTCAGAAATGAGCTACGGTTTGTTGAGAAATCTTTTCAGTGAGATTCAGCAATCTCAAATGACTAGACAATCTCGAAAAAGAAAAAAATTATACACTGTATTAAAGCTCAACATTATGAAAAAATTTCTGTAGGAATCTCTCTTTTTCTTGCGCTACCCTTCCAAGACCATCTTCTCAAAAAACTCTCTAATCTTTCGAATGTTCGTCCATTTCCCAACAAAATCGCTCGAAAATCAGGTCAGCAGGGAATTCAGGCCAAGAGGAGTGCCAAGAAGAAGAGTTCGACCAGCAGCAGCAAAAAAAGAAGAAGAAGACAAAGTTTCAGAACCGGTTTTTCTCTTTCTTCGCAGATCCATCAGGAGGTCAAATCAGACGAAAATTTACCGCCTCCTCTTCTCTTGCGCAACGCCAAAATCGACGACCAAATAAATCCGGATTGGAAATGGGGTCAGGAAATCGGGCATGCATCGAGATTGCGATTGAACCCAGACAACGACAGAAAAAAAAAAATGGATGGAACAAGCTTTTCATGTCGGCGCCGCGTTGCGTCATTGTGGGATCGGAAGCAATTTGGATCAAAAAGCGAAAAGTTCATTCATAAAGTCTCTATTTATATCAAGCAAAAAGCAAATAACAAAAAAATTCCTGTTTTAAACTATACAGAACCCAGCTTTTTTTCCAAAAAAATTCAAATTTAACTCTTCATTTAAAATTTTGACTTTTTTTCTGTTCAATTTTTTTGATCATTTTTTTCAGATCAAATTAGAGTTTTGAACTAAATTTAGTCTCTTTTTTGCGAAATTGCTGCCAATAATTAAAAAAATGTATTGCTCATTCTAAAAAGTTATTGCTCAGGTTAGACGGGTAGAGAAAGTTCGCAAAAATCGACTCAATCATACCAATGCTCGGATCATCAAAATTTGCTGAAAACATTGAAAATTCATTTTTATTCAAAAGGAAAGAACTTTCCCTAACCTGAGCAACACATACAATGAGTAGTTTCTGTATTTATCTATGTTCTTTGAACTATTCAAACATGGTCATCTGACCTGAGCATAACTTTCAAATAAAAAAAATTAGAATCCCTCAAAACAGACACCATGAAGATGACGTGAACTTTGTTGACGAACTCATTGATTTCTGGACCGGTTCTCCCGAAAATCTGGCCTCGCGAAATTTAGCCAGCCACAGATATCAATCGGGTCGGAGAAGAGTTGTTTACTACGGTCCTCTGTACTCGCCGCTCGCCCCGGAATATGGGTCACTTTCTCGCCCAAAACGCGTGTTGACAACAACATTTTTCTGGCCGACACCTAGCACTTTGGCTGGTTCGAACAAGTGAAAACGGCGATGGAGTGATTGAAAGCTCAGGCTTGCAGAAAAGCTAGTAGGAACATCATTTTGAGAAACAACGAATGACAGCCTACCATCAAGAATCGCCAGCTTCGAGTTTTGGGCAATTCTTCACAAAGAAGCAAGTTCTTCGAGAAATTAGAAAAGTTTTTCAGAACACGAAAAGGTGGGCCGACCTTTCCAGTTAGCTCAAGAAGTTCTCATTGACCTAAACTGGTCTTCCCGATGAACTCAAGCTCCAATTCTGAACATGAGCTAATCTTTAAGTCTTCTCAGTCCTCCTCGAATTGATTACCCCTAACAAGCCAAAAGCCAAGCTCCACAGGAAGTTCAGAAGATCTCTTTAAAGTTAGTAAGTTCGGATCAACCGTCTGAAGAAGAAGAAGGTTCTCTCTATCGACCTGAGCTAGTCTTCAAGAGGAAGCCAATATCCTCGGGAAGTTCAGAACAACTCCGAGGACAAGAAAGTCTCCAGGGAAAAGCCGTAACCCCTCGAGAAGTTCAGATCAACCTTTAGCAAAACCAAAATCTTTACGCAACCGAACACGGAGAGCGACACGAGCTGGTACCGGCCCAAGTGTGGGTGGAGAACCGGTTTTTTCTCCTTCTTCTTCTCTATTTTCTTCTTCCGCCGCGTGTACTTTCCGGGGTCGACCTCTCTCGCCACGACGACGCAACCGACGGCTTTCCGCTCCGTCAAAACCAGTTTTCCCGAGGTGGATGACCCCGAAATCTCCGACGACGGCGGCGGCGATGGACAAATGGAAAAAAAGGAGAAGAGATGAAAAAACGCGTTTTTCGGGGTCGCGAATTGCGTAACGCGTGTGGTTGGGGTGCTGCAATATACCGCACGTCCATTTGGAATCGAATTGAAAACGGACTTTTTTGCTTCGTTTTTTGGTTGGATTGGAAGGAGATTTGTTGGCGAAGGTTCAATGACCCAAATTGGTCATGTGAGATCAAGATGGCTATTCAAAAATAGCTCAAATGGGTGAGAAATAGTGGTTGAGTGGAGAAGCAGTGGAATTTGAGTAGAATTGTGCTCTATCTCCATTCGAAACTGTCTGATCACAATATTGTTAATTAGAGCGCACTAGCTAAACTAATTGAGCCACCATGCTGAAAACTCACCGAAAAAGCTATTCTCGAAGATATCTAATCGGTAAATTATCCATAGAGCACAGAAGCTCATCTTATCAAAACCCATGCATTTCTAACAGAAGCTGGCTCCTTTTTTGTTGTCTCTTCGAATTCCAGAAAATAACGAAATATTCACCTCGCTGAACCTTGGCAAAGTGTTCAGGCTTGACATCGTCGTCGAGCTCCCGTTTCCTATGATTGACGGCGGCTGAGGCGACTGGCGACGCCGTGCTCGTGGCGATTGGCGCCTGAAGCGCCGGCAGCAGTCCAAAGTGCAAGGCTGGAAAGTGTCATTCATTAAACTAAGCTCTCTTTGGATAGTTTAGAGTTTGAACTTTAATCGTTCAACTTGTATCGGCTATCGGACTTTTGGATAAAAATAGAGCTTTTTGAACTCTTTCAGGCGATTCTGTATACCCCCCTGGTCAGAGTCAGATCATTTTCTGGATTCTGATGTCCTAAGCAATTTTTCGACTACTATGCCTATTCTGACAGAACATCAACTCGTCGAGCCATTCCCAATGCGACCTTACCGGGAATCAACTGCGGATTGAGCTGTGTCTGTCGCAGTTGCTGGAGCATGGCCATCTCCTCGACGCTCCTCGCGTTTCCGGTGGCCAAGGCGAGTAATCGCTGTTGAGTCAGCTGCAACTAATCCTTTCCTCTTTAAATATTCTGATATCATCCAGCTCCAACCTCATTGAACTGGTTGAGGGTGATTTGAGGGGGTTGGATTGGTGCCAAACTTCTGGGCGGGCTCAGTCGACCAGCGGCCATCGTCGTCGTCGGCGTCTGCTGGGGCTCCGGCTTGTTCACCTTGAAATTCGTTGGATGGACTGTGTCCGTTTTTTTTCTGGCAAACCTGTGGCTTTGCGTGCGCCGGATCGGCTACCGGGAATCCGTGGACTCGCTTCAGTTGCCGCGCATTTTCGAGCACGTTCTCGATTCTGTAATCATTCGAATTTCAATTTTCATCGGGATGAATTGAATCTATCTGATTTGTCTGCGCTTCTTTAACTCTCGCTCGCGAGAGACTGTGAAAAAAAAATGGAACTGCTCAAAAGTATAGGTATTCTCGATATTTTTGAAATTTTCTAATGGGCGCAAGCCATTTTAGGTCGGTTGCACCTTCAAAAGAAACCTCTACGCCGAAAACTACTCCAACTTTTTCTCACCCTCAACTAATCAAAGTTCAAAATACCATGTTTACAGTTTTCAGAGCCCTCAGCTTGATAAGAACCTCCTTGGCTCGCTGCCAAAGTCGTCACATCATTTATTGGGTGAAACGCGTGGCGAAATGGTCGCTTTTTGATAAAAGAGATGTGATAAGGCCTTATCTTATCTCCTGCATACAAGCCGGAGATGAAAAATAAAATCAGAAAGTTAAGTATGACTGTATGTTTGGGCGTTTTCTGGTAATTTTTCGTTGGAAATGGCAAAAAAAAAAATTGGTTCCTTTGCCCGACTAAAACCTACTTCTGCGCATTCCTATCTTGTAGCGTTGAGAAAGGGTTTTTCTACGAGGTGGGAAAACTATTGGTGGACCAAGAACTTCAATTTTGTCCCAACGCGGATAAATTTTGAAGATAGTCTTTTCACAGCTAGGTCGAGAAAAACTGCTGAATCACTTTTTTTTCGCCCATTATTTCGCTAGAAGCAACTGGGAGCTGTTCCAACATCGAATTCGTAAAAAGATCAAAAAATCACCGATCGGCGCCCTCATAGTTGACGCATCCCCGGCAGACGGGCTCGATGTAGTCGTTGCACATGGCCCATGGCCAACGGGGGAACTCGCACAGGAAACAGTGTTGCCGTTGGTTTCCGCCGCCGCCGCCTCCAGAAGCCTTGCCGTTCTGGTGATGGTGCGTGGAGTTGCCGCCGCCGACGCTGCCGCCGGCCGCACCGTTCATCGACGCTAGCATTCGGGCGCGAATTCTGCAAAAAAATATGGCTTAAATGGGATTCTGGGTTCAGGGAAAAGGATATGGGAGATAGCGATTCTGAAAAGATCAATTGAGATAGAAAAAGTTGTTTGGGTGAACTTTTGAGAGCCCAGATCAGTAGGAAGTGAAGTGAATTGGCTATTCTTGATATGAGACTTGGACTTGGTTTCTGACAGCACTAGAAATGTTAAAATGCTTCGAACTTGAAAATCGAGGTTTTTTTGAATTTGAGAAAGCTTTCCAAAACGCAGAGATGATTCTCAAGCGATTAAAAAATTTTTAAATAATTGAGAGCTTGGTAAATAAAATTTATAAGTTGGAAACAAACTTTATCTTATAACAAACCTATTGTCACTGGAAACACAAAAAGTTCAAAAAGCACAATTTAGAAGTCGTCAAAGAAACTATGAAAACTGCAATGAGAAGCAGAGAGATCCGATGAAACAAAATAATAACTATTATGCGGATCCTCGAACGAAAGAAAATTGAGGCCGAAATGACGTTTTGTTGATGTTTTGGTACAGTTTTCTATTCGGATCGGCTGAGGTCCAAACAAAAAAAAAAGAAGATCCTTTCCATCTTGAAAAACTGATTTTCTTTGGAAAAGACCCAAAAGCAGAGAAATATTTTTTTCACTAAAAACATTTTTTTCTTGTCGATGAATATAACAATCAAACAAAAAAACGAATAAAAATACCTCATTTGATCATAAGGAATACGTGTGGTGAAGCTCATAGCAATTTCGAGAGGATAGTGAGACAAAAACTGACCATTGGGACTGAATTTTATGACGAGAGTCCCGCGGTGAAAATCAAAAAGCAAAATTATTGCGGCGACGTGGGAACTTCCCGAAAAGTTCTCAGGGTTTAGAGAAGTCCAAAAAGCGAAGAAAAATTTGAATTTCAATACATTCTTCTTGAGCTGAAGAATGCGTAGAAAGAGTCATCAAAAAGATAAAAAAGAGCTGATAAAAGTAAAAAGTCATGAAGTGAATAAATAGATAAGTGACGTCATATAATAAAAGGTGATGATGGAAAAAGTTATGAAACCGAGAAAAAACGCCCTGAACCGAAGAAAACACCCAGTTTCAAATCAATTTTCTCTTAGATTCTGTAAAAACCAGAAATAAAACGACTACTTTTTCATCATGGTTCATTTTTCTGAAAAAGAACCCTTTCAAAAATCCCATATCCTTTCAATTTTCTTAGGGCATCGTAGGACTTTTAACTAATTGAGAAAAAACTTTTTTGCTCTAACCCCTTTTTGGCGCCCAGCCGATGCTTTTCTGATAAACTTGTTTTTTCATCAGAACGATTAAGATCAGACATCATTAAAAAAGAGAAAAATCAGCTGAAACAACTGAAAAAACCTTAAAAAACGTCAAGCCCTTCGAAAATTATTTCCACAGGAAAATTGGCGTCTTTTCCTATGCGTGTTTTCAAGCAAGCTGCGAATGAACTATTGTCAATTTTTAATTTTTTTTTTTCGAATAAAAGACGAAGAGGAATTTGGGGAATACACAAGCGCTAGAGTGAGGAATAATAATCAAAGAGAGCCGTTATCAGACTATGTTAAATGATAGTCTGATAGACGTTGGTTAGAAGAGGTGCCATGTTTGATAAAAATGCTGGGGAGTTTTGCCTTCTGCGATAAGCGACCTTTTCTCTCCTTTTCATATAGCAGATGGAAGATAACAATAATCACTCAGGGTACTTTTGCCTTTTGAGCTTTTTCTCCGATAAGGCATCTGCTGACGCTTTTTGACACATGCCTTCTGATAAGAACCAAAAAAAATTGATATGATCTCTTCATTTTGAGCACGTTTTCGGCACAAAAATAGATTTTTCTAGATTTCTCTGTTGAAGAAAAGGAAATGGGAAAGCCTGATATTCAAAAAACCCATTTTGAAGAGCGTAAAATCCTCATCCAGACTTTGAAAGGTCCTAAAACGCCTGAAACTTGACTAAAATCATTTTAAAGACCTTTGGTTCTTCTCAACTAGGATTCAAAACATCGATGAAACGAAGTGAAATTGAGCTTCCAGGTCAAATAAAAAAGCTCAAAATCAATCAATAAATCAGGTAGAAACCTAGGTGGATAAGGAAAAAAAAGACGTTAACAATAGAAGAAGGAAAGGACATAAACACACACAAACACACCGGTGAATAAGGAAGGGAAATGCGTCACTCTGCTATTTTTTCTATTTCTATATATTTTTTGGTGACACATATAGTATGACGAAGTGTTGGGTGTGTGTATGAATCAAACAAATCCAGCCGCCACAATACTATCAGCAGTTTATTGATAACAAAAATTTAGATTTGAAGATGTTTTTGAAATATCTTTATTGAAAAACCAGATAGAAAAAAATCATGATTTTTTTAGTTCATTTACAAAATTTTAAAGGTTTGTCAAAAATATTTTGTGTGTAAAAAAATCTTTAGAATAAGCGGTTAAAGTCCGCGACCGCGAAGCACAGAGCCATTCCAAATGCGACCACAGCATTCAAGAAAAACTTGAAAATCTACGAAAAATAGGAGGAAAATCGAGTTTTTCAAGCTTCAAAACCCGTTTTCCGATAATTTTCTAGAAGTAAATTCCACATGAAAACGGAACACATCTAAAAAAAGAGAACTTCGAAATTAACATATGATTTGGGAGAAAAAGGCCGCCAATCAAAAATGTGCCTTTGGAATGCCAATTTTTGCTCTTCTTCTCCAATTCCCATTCAGCGGCTCTCATTACCAAGTCAAATGTGCTCCACCGACGTTGGTTGGTGCTCCCTGAGCTTCTTAAAATTCCGCATCCATATATTTATATTTTCTTCGCAATTTTTGGTTTTTTTCCCAACGATGTGCGTCTTTTTTTGTTTTCAAGACTTTATGTCAAAAAGTACTAAAACGTTGTTTTTGGGAGACACATGGTGCTCTAATTGATAAGATAAACGTTTATACGGTTTCAAACAGCAGAGATCTGATTCGTTGCGCATCAACTCATCAAAAAGACCTTTTGGCAAGGAAAAAATAAATGGAATACTAACAAAAAAAAAGAAATTTCAAGTTAGTTTCCAAGTAAAATTCATTCAGGTTAATTTTTCCACAGTAAACTTTATTAGAATTTGAAAAAAATAAAGCAAAAAAGTGAGATTTTTTTCGCCGTGTTTTTTTGTTTTATAGGAAAAAAATAAATGAAAAAGAGTGTGTGAAAATGAGAGACACGCAGACAGCTAGAGAACTTCTCCGTCTCCGAATCTCAATGCTCTCTAACACTCAAAAAAATTTCTCTTGTGTATTCAAATCGAAACCCTGAGAATTTTATTTTTATTTCAAATATTCCCATATGTGCCACACTGATCCGAAAAAAACCTGGAGATCACTAAATCTAGAAAATGTTTTTATTATTATTTTTTCCTTAAATTCTATACATAGCTTCGAAGCCTTATCAGTTCCGTGTGCCCAAATGATTCCTAAGAGCTTATAAAACACTGTTAAGATAACAACAGTGCGGTTTTCTGATAGCGAAAATCAAACCGCAGGTGACAATCACTGAGAGTCAGAAAACTGAAGAGGAAATAAAATTGAAAGCATGATTTTGGCTGATAAAAAAAATGATATAGAAGAAAAAAGGTCGGAAGAAGGAAAAAATATCACGAAAAAAAAGAGAAGTGAACCTATTTTTAAAAAAAGGACCTTAAAAACTTTCAGAACATTCTGGAAAAAACCTAGAAAAAAAAACCTAAAATAAAAAATTCCAAAAAGAAGAATTTAAAAATGCTCCTAATAAAAAGAATCTACACAGGAGCTTCTGTGTCGTTCACTTTTGGGGTGGGATCGAGAAAGAAGAGAGAAAGGACGTCCGTGGAGAAGGAGGAGGCTCAAGGTCCTTCGGCTGCTGCGCGCCACGGCCAAATTCTCCGCCCACAATTTCTCTCCCCTCCTATACAATTCATCCTACCGCCGGGTGCGGCTAAACCTCCGTGGTGGACGGCGGTCAAAACAGTCCGAGACGAGGCGAAGACGGAAATGAAATGATTTGTTCTCCTCGGACCGCGCAAATATTGATCCGCATATTCAACGTCGTTGCGTGCACTCATAAGGAAGTTTTTGAATGGTTTATTTTTTTTTTCTGGTAGAATTTTTATCACAGTTGAACAGTTTTACACAATAGAAGAAGCTTCTCAGCTCAGAAATTTGAAAATAATCTTCAAATTTTCTGGTGTGCATTTAGAATGATTTAACGGGTTGCGGTTGCGGCTCAAGTTGAAGCCTTTGCCTTGATTTTAGAAGAAGCTTGAAGGCTTCTGGTCGCTTTTGGAATGGCTCAGGGCTTCGTGGTCAGGTTAGAAGCATAACAAAAACTTGCAAACACCTACCGAAATGTGAGAAAAGGAAACTACTCAAAGCGGTCCAGTCGCATTTGGAATGGCTCAATGTGTTGCGGTCGCTTTGCGCATCAAATAAGAAATCCGTTAAAAACCGATCGTCAAATATTTAGAAATCAAATTTTTACCAAAAAAAATCGTGCCAAGGAGAAGACATAACCAAAGGCATTCTTAACAAATATCTCTTATCAGAACCATCCCGAAATCAAGAAGAGAACGTTCTTTGAAAGATTTCTGATATACACAGCAAAAAATCAAAAATCGAATCGATTAGCAGCCTGAAGGTGAAGGTAAATTCGAAAAAGTTGTGCGGTTTCAAGTGAAAAAAAAAACGAGAGAGACGTGGAAAAAAACGCCCCCTAAAGTTTGCTCAAACATTCGAAGAAAAGCCGCATCTATTCTTGCAACCTTTGCTTGTCTGTTGGTATAAAGAGAGAGCAAATAAAAAAATATATATACTGAGAGAGGAGAAGTTTATTTGCGGTGATAAGCAAAACGACGGCGATTTTCAACTGGTTTATTGATGATCCCTAGCTACTTTGATGACTACTTATCAGAATGAAACTAGAGAAGAGTTCAAAGTTTGTCAGAACGGTGGGGTCGCACGTGGAATGGCTCGAGTTTCGTTGTTGTCTCGCTGAGCCCGCAGGTGAAAGTTGTTTTCGGTCGGGCGAGCAAGAGAAAATAGAAGCACCAAAACTTAAGGTACTGATGGTCTTTCTTCATATATTCTCAAAGTGAAAGTTGAAAAAGAGTTCAAAGCGAACGAGGTCATACATAAACTTGAAAAAAATTGCCAAAAAAATATTTTTTTATTTTAATTTTCCTATTTCATCTTTTTCAAAGCTTCAAAGTTCAAAAAAAGTGAACGTGGATATTTTGTATTCTAACTTTTTTTCTAGTCAAGAAAAAAATCAAAACTTTCCTTCAAAAATGGATCGCCTAAAAATTTCAGAAATCAGTAAGAAGTAGTGGGCTTTTTGGTCATTGAAAGAATCAAAACGCTCTTAAAAATCAAAAAAATTACAAAATAAAAAAACTCGACCTTCAAGTTTGTAAATATCCATTAGTAAACTTCTATGAATTTTTTTACGAAGGATTTTATGTGAAATTTTTTTATTCGTTAAACTCAAGTAAGTAGGAAAAATTGGCAAACTACTTGAAAAATTCAAAAAAGCCTATCCCACCAAATTTTTATTTCATCTATTGAAATTAGATCTGAAAATGATTTCAGGCCTTCAAAAATCTGGTCAAAAATCAGCCTCAATCAACCTGAGTGCCTAACTTACAAAATTCGCTAATAACCCGCGTAAAGTCACAAGCTCAAGGTAAAGTTAAAGGTAAAAAAGAGAAAGGTAAAGGTAAACGTTGCGGAAAAAAGAGAAGACGACTTGCAACGCAAACAGAACAAACGGAGGAGGAAAAAAAAACTGGTACAGCCGAGGTGAGTATATTTCCGACCCCAGTCAGTCAAAAAAAAAGAGAAATTTTTCGGGCTGTAGGTAAAAGTTCTGTTTGTTTGTGTATGTGCCGCAACTCGATTTGCTTTCTCGATTTTTGAGACAAATTTAGTACGCCCCTTTGGGAATGAGACCGGTATTTCCAGACGGCTATTTTTATAACTTTTTTTTCCCTTCTCATAAGTCGGTTTTTGACATCTAACCTGTACTCGATATTTGAGAGGGGAAAACTTGGTACTTACTCAGGTTTTTTAGAGTAAAGTTGAATCTTTCTGAAGCTTTTAAGGGGATCAATGGATTCTCAGAATACCAAGAATTTTTCTAGAGATCTCTGAAAATCAATACAAGAAGAAAATGCGTCTAGTGAAGAACGAAGAAATTTTTGAAAAATCTCAGAACAGTTTTTAAGAAACTAGAAAGGCTCGAAAGCCTAAAAACCTTCTCAGTCATTTTTCAGAGCCTCTTAGAAGGAAAGAAACAATATTCAAGGCTTCAATGTTGCTCTAGGCTTTAAAAGAGAAGGGGTAGATCCTGAGAAGATCCGAAAATTGAGTCTAGTGCTCTTCTTCTCAATTCCCAGTATATTTGCAGATTGTTCCCACCTAAACCAACCCCTCAAAGAATTTCAAAACCTAGTTTCTAGAAGTTCTACGTGACTCACAGAGTTAACGCAAAAAAGTCAAGCTTTTATCATACTTTTTGCCTCAACGACACTGGTTGTTGATCATAAGACGCTACAGTTCTTTTCTTATCAAATAACAGTTATGAAGAGGTAAAAAAAGAGCTGATAAGTTATCAACCCGTGTGCTCTGCGCAATAATCAAAGTATAGCTGTGCCGTGAGTTTTGTTATCGACGAAAGGAGAAAATCACGCGAGTTGCAGATTTCTGATGAAATTCTTCAGTGGACAAACATGATAACTATCAGAAACTATAGATTAGGGAAAGATGATTATTTGAGAGGTTCTTTCACGGAATTTCGTTGCAGAAATGACTGAGGAAAACGTTTTGTTGCGCGACAAAAAGGTTTGGAAAAAATAGCCGCAGTAGACAGGTTCAAGTTTGCTCTATAGAGAAAAAGCTCGAAAAAATTGATATATAAGTCTTATTTCCTAACAGATCCCTTCCTATAGTCCCAATATTCATAGACTATTTTTGCCATGAGCAATAAACTTTTGAATATATTTTAAACACGTCCTTCACAAAAATGAGCCCAAAAAATACTTTTTCAAACTTCTTTTGTTCAGACAAGAAGAACCAATGAAATTCCAATAATTTTTAAAAAAGTTTCTAAACTAATCTTTTTTCAGACCATTTCCCTTTGATCCTGTCAACAGTAAGACCCAAACGAAGGTCAAAACGAACGGAATTTCTCGGCCTGAAAAGACGAAAAACCGGCTGAAATGACACCACGAGCCCAGGGTCACTTCTGTCCTCAACCAATTCAAAACTGAACTGCGCTGAGTAAAGAACGAAAAAAAAGAAGGTTCGAGGTCACTCCTACTACTGCTAGTGGAGTTTTCAATAAAAGTTCGGAGAAGCTGATTTGAAGCTTAAAAATCAAGAAGATTGCTGAAAATCCGGGACTGAATATGAACAAAACTCTCTTTACTGAAGCAGAGCAAAACTTCCATGGAGCACAATTGACGTGAAATAAGAGCCTACGAGTTAGAGCTATAGCCTGAGCAATTTGAACAAAAAATGAGGAGTAGAATAAGATTTCTTTAAACTTTCAAAACTTTCAACTGAAACAGTAAAATGCCAAGCTTTCATTGAACACTCTTTCTATCTTACAACTTGATGGATAAGATATAAAGATGAAGATTTCAGTTGTTTACAGCAGTTCTATTGAGCCATAGAGCTCGAATTGCTTCATTTTCCAATCACGAGATGAATAAACTCCTAACATGAGCAATACGATCAAAAACACGCTTCCAAGTTCATCAAAAAGCCACGCCTCTCCTAGACCTTCACTGAAACCCCCACTTTGAGCAATCATTTGAATTTTCAGGTAGCCTCAAATCGAATCATAGATACATCACTGCCTTATGCTGAAGTGAAGAGAAGTAGAGGCCTCTAACATGAGCAACAGCGAGAAAGCCACGCCTCCTCGCCGAAGAGTGAGAGTCTGTGGGTTGCGCAACCGACCGACGGGAAAAAGGACGAGATGAAAAACTCGTTTTTTTTCTCATCATTTCGCCGCACGACAAAAAAGAGGTGTCGCAAAAAGGGGCAAAAATGATAGTGGGAAAAAGGTTGGAGACCATTGTCGATGGGCGGCGGATATTCTCGAATCGGGACAAAAAAACCGGTCAGTGACGACGAGTAACAAAAATCGAGTGTAAGAATCAGACTATCTACAGTAGTTTAGGTTGCAAAAGTTGCGATTTTTGTGGTGTCACATTGAGTTTCAAGTTATTGTTTTTAAAGATCAAATGATTAACTTTAAGGAAATCGAATTCAAAGTTTTTTAACCTGAGCAATAAGATGTCAGATCACAATGAAGATCCAAGCTTGTAAAATACTAAGTTTTGACCCAAAGAGGCCATGTAAAACAAATAAAAAACCGATGGATTGATATTTGAAAATTGTTTCCTGTGAACAATACGTGGTCGGAGAAATCTCTAATATGAGCAATAAGACGTCATAGTGTTTATGGAAACGAGAAAGCTTCAAAAACGTGAACACATGAATTTAAAAAGTTTCGATTTCAACCTTCGAACTTCGAAAATACGACAAAAGCCATTAAATAAAGGGAAAGAGACGCGCGAATAAAGTGCAAATCCGTCAGAAAAAAACTTGATTTTTTTAGCTACTTTTTTTGAACAAGAAATCAACTCATTTTTTTCCAATTTTTATTAGAATAGAGAGTTAAAAAATAATTTTTTTGATTTTTGAAAAAGGATAGAAAACGAAGGCTGTTGACAGAACTTAGAAGAATGATTGAGAGAAGAACTGGTAGTCGGAATGACGAGAAAAAAAAAGTGAATGGAGGGCGAATGAAAAGCGAAAGGCGAAAAAAGGCGGGAAAGCTTGGCTTTGGCAACTTGAGGCGAAGACGTCGCCAGCAACGTTAACAGACGGCCGTCGGCCAAGACGACGTGTTTTTCGTTTTTTTGATTCTGAAGAAGAGCCGGTTGGATGGAGGGGTTTGTAGCAGTCAGCGAATGGAACAATGCAATGTCAGTCACGTTGGGATGGAAGGAAGGGACCGGAATGGCGGTGGCGATGGCATCTGGCCGAGGAGGAGGAGGAGGACCGGGTGGCGTTGGGAGCTGGTCCAGAGGAAGTAAAGTTCGAGTTTTGGAGGGTGACGTCTGCGTCTCGTGTCAGATGCTCAGAAGCTCTGAATTGAGCTTTGGGGTTTGAAAAGGTTCTTCCTATTGAAAGAGGTTTTAAGGGAGGCTCATGAGCTCTGACTTGAATATAAAAAATGATCTCTAGGTATTCAGTCGCCATGCTCTAGACGATTCAAAAACGATGTTCGTTCGATGTACAGTTTAAGTTTCGGAGTGTGAAGTCTGAGCTCTTGGTTGAGAGGCTCAAGCGCTGATTCAAGCTCCTCGACTCAGAAAATATAATCCTGGGATTGGCCCTTTCATTGGGAAGTCATGGTTCCCGACTATTTCAGAGAAACTTCAAGTTTAAGATTTGACGTCTGGCGCCTCTTGTATTTGAGTCTCAAGTTCCGATGAAAGATTTCTCAGTTCGAAAATCACGATTCGAAAACTGATACTCTTATTGAGAAAATATGGTTCGATCATTCGTGAACCGTATTCCAAGCCTCTAAAAGGTCGAATTTAATTTAGATTGCCTGTTTGTCACAATCCCTACCTTGAAATACTTTGAAAAATGTTTCTGTAAAATTTGCTCCAAGCTTGGGGCTTCTTTGAATTCAAGACGACCAAAAGAGCCCTTCTTCTTCTTCCTACGCCTTTCTACCGCTTGAGCGGCGTCGGCGCCCCAAGTCGATTAGCCGAGGTCCTATCTTGATAACAGTGGACTAGCTCCAGTGACATATCCGTCCTTGTGTATGACGGCTAGGAATTATGAAGCCGTGGTTTCCCAATGCCAATATTTCTTAAACCTTTGGATGGGACAAGCTCCTAGGAAATTTTTCCAAAAGCTTTGCTCCAAACTTGGCTTCAGTTCAAAAATCATGACGGTTAAGTCAGATCAAGACTTTCCAAGCTCATGATCGCTTTTCGGCAAAATGTGACCTGGCAAACCATGGTAAGATCAAACTAGACCTCCTGAGCTGTTCAAAACTACCCCTTGAATCGCTCCAAAATCATCAAAACTGTGATTCACCTCATCCTTACGACACGTTCAATCTTATCAAGAACGCAACATTTTCCGAGTGGAAAAAAAAAATCATCCGTTGCAAGGGAAACAGGAGATTGAGAGGTATTGGAAACGACCGAACTTTTCGTTGACATTACTTTGCACACTGATAAGAGGAACAAGAGTTTGGAACGAAATGGAATTTTTTCTGCGATGAAAAAGCATTCATTTCGGGTTACAGCGGTAGCGTTTCGAGACATTCTTCAGTTGGCTGGAGGTTGGAGGTCGTCCTTGATCAGAACAAAACCGGATCCCGACGACCGATGGTACCTCACCGTGCCGACCCACGGCCCCATCTTCTTTTTTCCTTTTGCTTCTTTTTTTTTTCAAAAATTCATTTCGCTGTCGGTTCAATAGTCTTATTGGGTCAGAAGAAGATGAGTTCAGGGAGCCATTTTTGAGAAAAAAATAGGGTTTTTTTTGTGATATCCTAGCCAGTTTATTTACTTCAACATGAGTTGCGGATTAGAGGATCAATAAGGAATCCAAAGCCTATTTCAAAAAACTTTTGGGATGGATTCTTCCAGACTTTGGTCGCACGAAGAATGGCTCAACATGCCGCGGTCGTGAAACGGTTACTATAAAGTGCGCCCGACCAAAAAAAGACTTGCGCTACACGGCTTCCAACACAATCTTGGGTTTTTCAAAAGCAGTATAGATAACAATTTTTATGAAAAAAAGTCCAAAGTTGGAATACGTTCACCAAAAATCTAGCTTTTATTGACTGATAACCCTATCAGTAAAAGTGATTTATTTAACTGAAACTGAACCCTCTGTGGAACCTTAAGGCATAAACAGTCCTTCTCCTAAAAAAAACTGACCAAAAATTAATCCAAGAAGACTGCCTTGATGTTGTCGTGTCCAGAAGTACCGCCCGAGCACCTGAAAAAAGTCATTTTTTAAACTGCAAAAATGTCATCAATGCTGAGAAAACGAGTATTCGCAACATCATAAAAACAAATAATTAGAAGAAGGGGAAAGTGAGTTTTCCCACCAAAGAATTGTGTTTGTGTGATGATCATTGATGGCTGGAAGAGGAAGCAGAAAAAAAAAACAGATCTTGAAAAGAGGAGAATGTCTGGTGCGTCACGGCTCGCGTGGCGGTCACAATGATAACTTTTGAACGATTCGATGGAAGACGTTGCGTTGCGGTCCGCGTAGCGGTTCGGAAACTTGAATGACGTCAAAATGATTGAGTTTCAAGCCAAGATAAGCGTTTCAAGATTCTACTACAGAAAGAAAAAATAAATGATCATGGTTGTGAATCTTTGATAGGAAATTAACTGGTAGAAAAGTGGCGGCTTGCGTAGAATCCCTAATGCCAAGTTCTATTGAGGATGGGTGGAAAAGGACGCGTCGCGGTTCGCGTAGCGGCTCTAAAGCTCGGAAAGTTCACTGTGTAAAGATTGAAAAAATAAATCACAGGTGTGCGACGCGGTCAAGACAACTCCAATTTGAAGTAACGCGTCGCGGCTCGCGTAGCGCTTAATCATAGTCAAACATCGCAAGGAATATATGAGATCAGAGGTTTGAAAAAAGGAGTTTCATCTGAGAATCGATGATCTCGGAGCATCGTCCTTCAATGATGGCTGAAGCGACGCGGCTCGCGTAGCGGTCCCAATTACCAATTACTTATAATTCCGGAAGAGATGAGACTCACATGACCATCAAAAAATTTCATGCAATTTACTCTTTTTCTATCCGTTTTTCTACATGAAAACCCACAAAGACTGGCGGATGGTGATAAGCGTCAGACACCGACAAAAGTTTCGGTGAAACGAGTTTTCGTTTTTTCATCTTGAGGAGAGAAAATTAAGTGGTTGATGGTTTCATAAATGACTTCTTTCACAGTTTCTCAATCAAAAAAGCGTTTTAGAAGCGAACAGATAGATTTTCCTGGATTGAAATGATTTGGAGCTGTCTGACTTGTCTGCGCTCTCGTTTCTCTCACCGACGAGACCATAGAAAAAAAAATGAAAGCGCAGAGAAATCCGAGTGTCAAGTTGTGGCGAAGTAAAGATATTTAAAACATGAGCAATAAATGTCTGACAGTCCAAAAAAAAATTTAAGATACCGAAGAAAGAAAATATAAACGAGCTCAAACAGTTTGACCTGTCTGCACTCTCTTTTCCCTTACCGACATGTCCATAAGAACGAAAATATCATGCGAAAGGAGAGAGTGCGGAAAAATCAGAAACTTATGGAAGATGGGAAACAATGACATAGATAATTTAAAAAAAAAATATATATATAAACAAGGTGAAACGTATCAAAACCTTTTCCTCCATCCTTTTTTCCCTGTTTCAATTCGCAAAAAAAAACTGAAAAATGTAAAAGAGAGAGAAAAGAAGGCTTATAAATTTGTTGAGAGGCGAGAGTTGGGGGTTAATCAAAAACCGGTATTTCTCGGGTTGGTTCTTTTTTTTTCTTTTTTGGCTGCTGTTTCTAGTGTTTCGTGAACTTTTGTCTCACATGTCATGTTGTTGCATTTCTCTTTTCTATCTACAAAGTTCATGAAACACGACGCGAAACAGTTTTTGGGACAGATATTGGGCTCGAAAATGAGAGAAAAAAAGAATTAGCTAGGATTCGTAACTTCGAATAACTGAGACAGGACGTCTGTTGACCTGACCTCGTTGCCATATGCAACATGTATGCGTGCCCATGGCAAGACGCCTTCTTGTACTTGTCATTCTTGCCCTCGGCACGCATACCGTTGCTCTAATGAAGATCCAAGAGCAATCTCAGTTCTACACATATTTAAATAACACGTCAAGGTGCGGTTATATGACATCTCTGGAAACTGAAAATCAGACGAAAGAGAATTAAATTTAAAATTTTCGGAGCATCAGACAGACCGGTCACGCAGTTCGGCTTGCTTCTGCTAACAGAATGGGCGGTCTTTTTTAGCCCTGGCAAGGCAAAAAGGATAATCAGACCATAATTATGCTATAACACGTGCAACACCATGGATGGGACTTCTTCGCAAGAATAATATAACCAGGACGATAACACTGGATGACCGATTGCATAAGATCTCCTGGAAAACGTGTGGTCCACGCTTCGATCAATAAAAGGCACTAAAAGGTCGAAAGCGAAGATGGACCATCTAAGTATCTAAGTAAGTAAGTAAGTAACATCAGACTCGTAGAAAAGGTCAGGGTAGCTGATTAAAACCGAAAATTTAATTTTTCCACGACAATTTGTTTAATTTGAATTTATTTATCAGTAAGACGCTCCGCGGAGCATCAGTTCATCATTAAAATGGGAAGTAAAATTTTCATTTATTTTTCTCTGAAAAAAACATAAAATCATGCAGTCTCTGGTCAAAAAAGAAATGCAGACGTCAAATTCGGATTTTTTGCTTCGAAATTGTGGAAAACCCTTTTGAAGAATAAAATATGATTTTTCCAAGATTGGGCCATGAAAAAACTGAACTGTGGATACTTATTTTGAAAAAATAATGGGTTGACTTGAATTCAAAAAATATGAATTATAATCAAAAATAAGATTTTTTCTTTTCGAAAAACCAAAAAAAACTTGAAAACGATAAAACATTGAATAAATCTCAACGACGCTCCGGTCAGTACGATCATCTATTTGCTTCTATTTTTTCTTTCCTGCTCTTATAATCCAAAGGCAGAGCAGTTTTCTCTCGATTTTGACCAGAAAAATAAGAGAAAACCTTCTATAACTTGAGAAAATTTCAACGACGCTCCGTTCAGAACGGTCTTCTCGCAACACTTCAACCTCCTTATCAAAAACCCAATAACTCGTTGACGACGAGACAAAAATCACGCGATCATCAGAGTATTTACCGAAACAAAAAAGACTGAAACGAAACCGTGAACCAGCGCAAGCCAACCGGTTGGTTTCTCGGTTGTAACCTGACAAAAGGCCGAAAAAATCTCGGACAAAAATGAAACAATGACTAGAGACACAATCAGAAAAGAAAACTTGTTACAGAGAGGAAGGTTACCTAGTTATTCTTAGATTCTCGAGGAATTTCAGTTCAGGAAGTGACGATTTTTTTGGTTGAATTTAAATTGGCGAGAGTTCTGAAATATATTAAGGAACTTACTTTTTAAGCTTCAGTTCAAAAATAACGGCTTCTCAATTTCAATAATTATCCCGGTGTTTATTAAATACGGACAAAACACGATTTTTAACATTTTAAATATATTTCCGAACTCAAAACTCTGTCTTAATCAAAGGTGAAACTTTAGTTGCCTTGAAAATGGATTATTTTCCCTTTCGTGTTAAAAAAAACAGTCTTAACTGCTCTAATTTTGAATCTCTTATGAAAATGGGCTGATGAAAAAAATTAGCTTGAACTCTTTTTTTGTAAATCTGAAGTGTTTCAAAAAAGCTGACTCTTTGTATTTTGAGAACATTTTTACAAGGAAGATCGACATTTTTTCATCTTTATTTTTTCCCAATTTCAAGTTTTTCAAGTCAAAAACGATCCTTTTTCGCGTGAAATTTGAAGAAAAAAGCGACTTTCAAAACTTTTTCTGAAGAACCTCTTCCTTCAGTTTCTTCACATGTCTAAAAATCTCAGTCCAAAGTTGCCGTGGCCTCCCGTTTTTGGTCTCTTTTCCCTCCAAAAACGAGGTTGAACCTCGAAAAAAAAAAACCAAATCGGGCAACTCAGTGACTGGTACGCCGTTTCAAAAACGGTTGGTGAGGAAAAAAATGGGAAAAATTTGGAAGCGACCCGAAGGACCGCTCTCTCGACTTTTGTCAGTCTCGACCGGTTTTTTTTGCCAAAAAAAAAATGAGAAATGAAAATACCCAACAAACACAACTTTTGTGTAGATTTACACACAAACTTGTTGCAAGTTTTGGTCATCGAGAAAGTTCGACGAGGTTGCGAAAAACTGTTTTTGCTTTCTTTCGAGAGAAAGAAACCGTTTCGATGCAACTTATACTACACCTTCTTCGATGTCTACTATCGATAGTGGAACGAAAACTTTTCTAAGAAAATCCTTGAGCCTTTTTTGAGCTTGGAAGACTTGAAACGCTTGGAAAAGGACCATAAGTTCATGTCTTTAAGACGTAAAAGAGAAAAAAAGGACTTTTAGCCATTTCTCAACAAAAATTGGAAAAGTTGAAGAATGGAAAAAATGGAAAAAGTTGTTATGAATTCTTGAAATATTTCTTTCTCTTTAACCTTTTTTTCCATAAAATTTCAAAAAAATTGACTGGTTTTTGGCATTGCTTTACCATTTAAAAAACCAGCCAATACTTTTCAACAGCAGTTTTGTAATTTATTCAAAAAAAGAAGAAAAAAAGGGTTTTTTTTTAAAAATAGTTGATTCAAGACAAGCTTGGCGAAAATCGAAAAAATCAATGGAAATCTTAAAAAACGGAGCAGAAAAGCGGATAAAACATAGACTTAGAAACAACTTATCAGTGAACGAAAAATTCCAAAATGAGCGCAAAATCTGAAATGAATTCCGAGAAGAATGACTACGACTCCAAATTCACAACAAAGTCCAAATTTTCAGATTATTTTGAGGAAGAAGGAAGGATATGATGTGAAAAATGTTATTTTTTGAAACGAGGAGACGACAAATTAGTGAATGAATGAGAAGAGATGAGGAGGAGGAGGGGATTGACGCAATTATTGCGTGGCGACAATTTTTCCCACGGCCAAAACTACAAAACCCTTTTCGTCTGCTACTACACACAAGGAAAAGTCGTCACAAAAACTTCAAAATGACACAACAATCATGTACATTGGTAACAATTTTTCCACACGTGGGAACTTTTTTTTCACGACTCACAAAAAATAACTGAAAATATGAGTCAGTAGACATTCTTGAGTGAACTTGTCTCCGAAGGATGATCATTTGCTTTTGAAATTCTCAAAAAATGGAGCAGAACACACCTCAAGTTTTCAATTTTGACAAAGAAGCCTGAAAATGAAAGCCAAAGTTTAAAAAAAGCGCAATTTTTCGAAACTTGATAACTTTCTTTGACTAAAATGAGACCTTTCTCTACTTCTCGTTCCGTAAAAAAAAAACGAAGAACAAGAAAAAATCAACTTCTATTCGATAGATTGATTTTCTTAACTGAAATTTTGTTTTATTTTTCAAAAAAACTTTCCGCCTCAGAAGTTCATAAAAAAATATGATTTAAAAAGTTTTCAGGAACTGAAACTTCTAGACTTTCTTCGATCTATAACTGGACGTTTGAAAAAAAGTTTTTAGTATACAAATTGGCAAGAGGGGAAGTTTTCCAGCTCAAAAAGATATTTATTAATTAGTAAAAAAACAGTTTTTGCATGGATGGAAATGTTGAAGATGTTTATTTTGAAACGAAACTTGGAAAACTTCTTTTGAACAGAGTTAATCTCAAGAATAAGCTTAGAACTTGAAAATCACTTATCAAAATCCATAAAACACAGATTTTCAAGTTAGACAGGAGTTTTTTTTCTCATAAAAGTCAGTCCTTCATGTTTTAAGAAACTCAAACTTTGCAAGAAAGTTTTATTCCTTCTCATAAAGCAACGAAACCAACGAAAAATATTCATTTTTTTTTTTCCTATTTCACACTTCCACAAAAAACTTCAAAAAATGAAAAAAAACCGGTTGATTTACAAGGTTAACCCCATACTTCCCATCCATATATGCGATTGTTGAATAAAACATTTCTGGAACATGGATTATCGACTATGTAAAATTTGTGTTCAAAGTAGGGTTTTCGTTTGTTTTTTGGCATTTTTGGAAAAAAAAGTTGATGCATTCTTTCAAAATTCATCTTTTCAGGCCATTAACTCATTTCAAATTATTACAAGACAGAAAGATTAGAAATTGTGCTCAAAATTGCTGCAAAAGTCACAAAATGCGATAAATGTAGTTTCTATACAATTTTGAAGAGTTTCATAAACAAACTCATGAACTTTTCAACTAGCTTTATAATTAGAAATATGCTCATTTTGAGGATTTTTCGTTCTGGGGAAGAAAAACTGAAGATTTCTTAAAAGTAACTACAAAGATAAAACTTCAAAGCGTCCAAAGTCAAACCTTATACCAAAATAATTGAATTTGAAACCTAGAAATCAATGAATATTCTGATTAAACACACTAAACTTGAAACTGAAAATTTTCACAAAAAGACCAAGAAAAAATCTTTTTTTCTGCGGAGAGCACAAAAATTCAGAACAATGAAAAATGTGCACAATTTCTATCTCTGAACTATAATAAACAACACGGAGAACGGGTTTGAGTTACTACAAAGTCGGGAAAATTTTCACGCAAAAACAACAAATATTTTGCTTTTATTATTGTTAAAATAGATAAAATGAACCGTAGGAAAATGAATTTTATTTTGGACTCAAGGGCAACTTAAGTATTTTACTTTCATCTTCCTCAAGAGGTATCTTGAGAAAAAACAAAAATAATTTTTTAAAAATCCAGAAAATGGGATCATTTACCATATAGGCTTACTTATTTGGTTGAATATTCATTGATTTTTTTAACATAGTATCTAGAAATAGTTTTGAAAAATTTGAAAATGAAAAAGCCAGGGTAAACTAGAATCGAAATTTGAAAGTTCAGGTAATATCTTTTTCGAAAATGGACCCAAAACGATTCTATAAAAATCTAAACATTTCATTGAATTACAGTGAATCCAAATAGATAAAGACAAAAAAATTTGGTCGCACAGAGAATGGCTCAGGCTGCGAAACGGTTACTAAGAAAAATGCAGCCGACCAAAAAAACGACTTTCGCGCGCCTGTGAATTATTAGGGATTGACAGCCCTCATCACGCAACGCGACCGCATCACGTCGAGAGCCATTCCAAATGCGATTAGAAGGTCTCAAGCCACTTTAAATTGTATTATGTCGTTTGATCCGCGTAATTTTACATTTTTCAATATGGTCCAGAAAAGTTCAAACTCTACACTTTCAAGACCTCAAAACTGGTAAAAATTAGAGGACCATCAAAACTACAATATATATTTATAGCCTTAAAGACCTTATAAGGGATAAACAAAAAACATGGAAAGCATATGCTTTTCGAGGAGGAAAACAGTGGAAATAATCTTTTGTGGGAGGGAAATTTGTGGCAAAACTACAAAATTTTCGGAACCGTGTGGGCCATCTGCGTCATTTGCAGCCATGAGAGTACAATGGCTACAAATTAATTTGTATATATATTTATAATGAGTGGGCGGGTTTTGGAGCGAAAGCGTGTGGGGATTACGGTAGGAGATCGAAATTTTGCTCCATCGAATTCTATAAGTTTTTTGAATCCAAATGTTTGAAATGACCTAAAAGAACACTGGTAATGTTGTTCGCTTCTGGACCTTATGAAAATTTGTCCATGCTCCTTTAAACATCGTGACAAGAATATTAGAACTCTGGAAAAAAATCGGAAGTGCATTTTTAGGATGTTGAAAGAGAACAATCTTTGAATCAAAATAGTTGTTCTCCGAATAAACAAAAAAAAACGAATGAAAAAAGGTTCAAAGTTCAAAAATGGAAGAAAGCAGGAAAAAGCGCCAAAAAAAAAGATGATGACCTTTTTAACTACACAGGAGATCAAATTCTTTAGATACTGAAAAAGATACTGTCAAGCCCAATGAAAAAAACTTCTCTCTAATGGAGGAAAAATTTTTTTAAAAAAACTAATATTGAACTTATCATTCAAAACCCCAACGCCTTGAATTTTTCCTGATAACGAAAAAGATGAGAGAATCCTGAAAAAGGCTCCTAGTTGATTTCAAAATGAACGGCACACTGATTGATGGAGCCCGGAACTTCCGGGAAAGACATTGGGAAAAGATAGAAAAGAGAAATTCATAAATTTGATAAAGAAATCAATCAATCGAACTGACTAGGAAAAAGAGACAAGGTCGAAAATCAGAAAAAGATTGTTCAGAATGACCCTCGACCTGAACTCAAAGAGACGCCAGAATAATCGAAATGAAACGGAAAGACTAGGAAGAAGCGGTCCTTCCTCCTCCTCCTCCTCCTCGGAAACCACGACAGAAGAGAGAGCGAGTTGGTGGTGGTCGAACCGGCTGCCGACGCCTCGGCTTGGGATGGGACAGGGATGGACACAGGGAGAGGTGAAAGCGAACGTGTGTAGAGTGGTGGCGGTGACAGCCGGTTGGCAACATACCGGTCCATACCGGTTTGCCATTTCCTTTTTTCTTCTTGGCTTAGGCTGTTTCTTGATAGGGTGGTTGACGAGTGTTAGAAGTGCTAGGAATCTTTCGGAAAAAATTATTTCGTTGAAGCAAGTCCGGAAGCTCGGATTTTGACAAGCTTTGATTTTTCCAAACATTATCACTTGACAGGATTTGCATATTTGGGAAAAAATCAAAGATTCCGGGTGGTGAAGATTTTAATTTGGTTAGAAACACTTTTAAAAGATACGGACAGGAAAATTTTAAAATTTCAACATTTCTTAATTTCCCTGACACACAAGACTTGTGGATAAACAAACTAGATTTGTAAACTTCGGCTCTAAATTTTAAAAAAAAGGTTTGACAAGCTTCGATGGTTTTCTTCTACTTTGAAGCGTCCTTTCTCAAAAATATAAATATTCGATTCTCCCTGGATCTCAGGTGATCCCAAACCAAGAAGAAACACATTATTCCCAGCGAGGTTTTGAAATGCGCAAAAATCTCGTATGACCTAAACGGACACCAGTCTCTGCCCCCGAGACATTTACTCCCTAATCTGTAACGATTTTCAAATGAAAGTGATTGAATGCAACCGTTGCGTCACCACATTAAGGTACAGCTCGAATGAAAAACCAAGAAAACCGGGTTTCAAAGAGGAGACAGGTGTTCGCGAATGGATCAACGCGAAAAGACGACTTGATTATGCGCTTTTTCGGGGTTCAGTTTGGGAGCTTCGACGGGTTCTCAGAACGATCGGAACGTGTATTTATTTTTTTAAGTGTCATTTTACATTGGAAGAATGATATTTCAGTTCTTAAGGATGAAAAAAATGAGACAAAAAGGGCCTCCTGAATAAAAAAAAACGCAGTTAGAAAATACGAGCTCAACGAGACAAAAAAAAATCCTCCATTTCATGAATTTTGAAGTTTGGAAATCGTTTCAGATTTTTCTCTTCGACAGCCTCAGAATATACTATTTTCCTTTTCTATTTTTTAAAGTTGATATTTTCCCGCTTAAAAGTGTCACATAAAAGTTTTTTTTGCTTCTATTTCGAAACATCTATAAATTTCAACCCTTGAAGAGGCGGAAAACAATATGCAGGTGGCTCTCCGCCATCGTTCAAATTTCCCCATTCAAGGACCAAATTTACAAGATTTCCCCATGTACATCTGCTCCTGAAATCCGAGCATCTGTCAAACTCGTTCCAAATCTTCAATTTCGAACCAAAAAACAAAATCATGGGGTTCTTCCAGATTGTACATTTATCAGCCGATGAGCTGAGGAGTTATCAAGGGAGAAAAAAAAGATAAGGATGAAACGAAGAGATAACAAAGTTGGCAACCAATTCGCCAGGGCTTTGAATTTTTTTTTCTCCTCGCCATGCGTATTTGGCTTCCCGTTTTGTTACTTTTCGTTGCCACCGAGGTTAGTTTTCGAATTACTTTGGTCTAAGAGTACTCGGAAAAACTGAAGTGGCCCCTAGAGGGACTGGAAAAGAGCATAATCTGTTCAAAAGTTCGCTTCTAGCAGTTTGAAGGCACCAAATTTTTTTTAACAGAATCGGAAACGGCCATACGTTAGATCACATTCTTGTTTACAAAAATATTGAAATTCAATATTTTTTGAAAATGAAGTTTCATCATTGCATGAAATCGCTAAATCACGGAGATCATGTTCTAATCGATAAAATTCCAAGATAAGAACCCTGAAGTCAATATTTTTCACAAAGGCCGAGGACCTGAAAAAAAAACTTCGAAATAAAGCCAGTTTTCATTAAATTTTTCGAAGTTGAAAAAGCTACTTACATATATTTGGAAAGTCGAAGCCCTTGCCTAGATATCTTCCTCTTCCAAAAGATAAACGATTCATTGGGGCAAATTTAACTGTTCACTCGAAAATCGCCAAAAATCCTTCATTTTTGAAATTGAACAAGAGTCACCGGATCAGGTACAAAAATATTTTTTCTTTTAGTTTGTCAATCATCGTTAAACATGATTGATTAACTTTTCAAGGTTTGCGAAAGCTTCCTTACAAAAGAAATTTTTTAACAACTGATATTTCTGATGATACAGTCCTTGAAGTGATAAAATTCAAAAAATCTTCCGAATCGTAAATTCCAGGCAAGATGGCTGAATATTCCGAGCGTAGCGCTCCGGATTTCCAAGGCGATCACTGGTTGGGAAGAATTCCCGAGTCCCTTCGGAAATGACAAAGAAACCGAAATTCTACCACTTCCAGAAGATGACGAGGTATGTTTCAAAATTTGAAAAAGCATTATGAAATAAAAATTTTCGATTTTTTTAGTCAGGTGAAAAAAAGAAGATTTGGCTGTTGAAACGAGCGTTATCGATGCCGAAGAAGTCGATAAAGAAGAGCCGGTATTTTTTTAATTTTTCAATTTCAATCCAAAGTTTTATAAGACGCTTCAAATTTATGCGCGACATGTTTCAATCTGAACTTGCTCCAAAAAATATAAAAAAAAAACTTTTTTTGCAAATTTTGTAAATTTAATCGTTTTTGCGTCGTATTTAAAGCATAACATTTCGAATCGAGTTTGAATTTACACAAACTAGGCTTCAAAAGAACTGAATTGCGCGAAATCTTCAATTTAATTAATCAAAATTTACAAGAATGAGTGATATCTCATCGCTTTCGCTCTAAAATCAACATAAAGAGCAAAAATAAGAATTTAAAAGATGAAAAACAAAAAATTGATACGAAAATCATGTAATGATGTACTTTCATTATTCACTTCTTAATTTTCAAAAAGCCAATTTCCAGACTTTCCTCACCTACGAACAGATCCTTGCCGATCAAGAAAAGTACATGAAAAAAATTGTCGTTTCTCTGGACGATGATGAAGAAAATGAAGAAGACGTCAAGGTTCATATTTTACTAGACCATCAAGACAAAAGATGATTTCAGGAAATTCTGAACTCTCAAAACGAGCGAAAGATTGATTTGGAGGCGGTCAAGATGGCTCAACTCGAGGAAGGATATTATGAAGTGAGATTATTAGTCTCACTTTCACATATCAACCTTTATCCCCTTGATTAAGGCCCAAGAATCGTCCTCTTCTGACTCTTCCTCGTCTTCATCTTCCGAGGAAGACGAGTGGGAAGAATCGCGACCTTACCTAAAATGCTCCTGCTTGAAGAAGAGCGGCAAGGTCTTCGAATCGAAGTGAGTTTCGATTCTATTTCAAAGCTTCGAAAAATACCAAAATCTCATTTTAATGTGACCAAGCCATAAAAAGTTTCCCGAAAAAGGTGTTCTCTGCTCTCATAACCGTGAGCGTCAGGTATGACGTATTCAGCCAAAAGTAGAGCCAGAATAAGCGGGAAAAAGTGGATATTCAATTTTTTTCACAGCTTGTTATTGTTGATTACTATGAGAAAGCCTAGGCCAAATTTTTTTTAGCTTTATCTCAATGAAATAAAACTTCTACAGATCAGCCCCTCGTGTCTGGGAATCTAGCGGTTACAAAGAAGACCTTCCGAAAGAATGGGATTGGCGCAACATCAACGGAGTCAACTACTGTAGTCCGACCAGGAATCAGCACATTCCAGTCTACTGCGGCTCTTGCTGGGTCTTCGGAACCACTGGTACAGTTTATCAGTCTGAAGGGGGTACTTAAGTGGGAGGGGGAAAGTGAGGAAGCTGCCTCTGGGATAGCCACTAAAGTATCCTCTAGTGACCACTAAAGAAGATAGCCGAGAAGGTAAGAAGGTGGCTTAAATGCAGTTGAGAAAAGAGTCAAGGGATGGAAAGACCTTAAATTAGGTTAAGGGATAACTTAAAAGAAAACTCAAGTTCTCATTGACCTAATCTGGTCTCTAGGGGCGACTAGAGCAAAACATATCACGAATAAACAAAAAAAAATCTTGATTTAAGTTGTAAATCATATTGAGTTCCAGGCGCCCTCAACGACCGCTTCAACATTGCTCGGAAGAATCGCTGGCCAATGACCATGGTTTCACCTCAGGTACTTCTAGCTTAACTCGAAAAATTCGGAATCCCGTGAAAAATTGGATCCAAGACATACTGCAGAAGTCCCTATCTACCGAGAACCAACGTCTCGAAAAACAACTTAAAAACATTTGCAGGAAAAATATAAATTTAAAGCACTTATAGATAAAGATTTCTTGTTCAGAGTTCCCATTTAGCGGGTCGTTTCAGCTAAGTACTGATCAATGATCAGCTTTATGTGAACGAAAGGAAAAACATAGAAAAATCTAGGAAATCATCGACTGCAACGGGAAAGGAAACTGTCAAGGTGGTGAGGTCGGAAACGTTCTGGAACACGCCAAGATCAAGGGACTGGTCGAGGAAGGCTGCAACGTCTACAGAGCTACCAATGGAGGTTTTTGAACTTTTCGATTCCAAAATTAAAGCCGATAACTTCGTTCTTTATCCTTAAAATTTTTAGATATTCACTCAGTAAGTATAAAAGTTGTTCTCATACTTTTCATAGTCCCTAGATGAATTAATTTGGATTAAATTTATTGGTGGCCTTCGAAATCATCTCAGCTCTTCCCAGATGTTTGTCGAACCTTCGCTCTTCTAAACTTGATCCCTCCAAGCACCCAAAAACCTTTCAGAGTGCAACCCATACCACCGATGCGGCTCCTGCTGGCCGGACAGCTGCTTCTCTCTGACCAACTACACCCGTTACTACATCAAGGACTACGGACCGGTTTCTGGTCGCGAAAAGATCATGGCCGAGATCAAGAGGGGCGGTCCTTTGGCCTGCGCCATTGGCGCCACCAAAAAGTTCGAGTACGGCTACACGAGTGGCGTCTACGCCGAGAAGAGCAATCTTGAGGTTTCGAAATGGATCAAAATACACATATGTAATCAAGTCATTTCAGTCCAATCATATCGTTTCCCTAACTGGTTGGGGTGTCGATGAGAACGGAGTTGAATATTGGATCGTCCGGAACAGTTGGGGCGAGGCTTGGGTTAGTTTCCAACTAATTTTATTAAGATTTCCAACCATTCTACCTTTTGAATGTGGATCTTCTAAGTAACATTTTTTCTGCTCGAAACAATCGAAAAAATAAATCTCAAAAATTCGAAGAGTTCCTGAAGCTTTCTTGCCTACTGAGAGCCTCTAAGGTCCATATTAAGCCTTGCTGTTGACACTATCAATGTTTCAGTAGAACTTTTTGATGAAATGAATAAAAGTTCATTGCTAACTAGTAAGTTATTTCGAGTTTTAGGGAGAGCTCGGCTGGTACCGGACCGTCACCTCGAAGTACATGGACGGAACCGGAGACCAGTACAACATGGGCATTGAACGGGACTGTTACTACGCCGACGTCGACGTTTCGAATCTCAACTAGAAAATCAAGAAAGAAAGGATTATTACTTGAAAATTTGATGAATAAAACTTCGATTTAAGTTGTAATAAACCAATTCCAATTTTTTACAGAACACTAAAAATTTAATGGAAAAGAAGAAACGAAAATTTTTCGTTCGAAGTCCTTGATATGGTTTTAAAGGCAAAGAAGCCTTGCATGACCTAAAAATAACACTGAGAAAAAGGCTCTTCGCTTCGAGACCATTATTAAAATTCCTTTTATTCTACTTTAAAACCATAGTAGAAATTATATTACGACCATGATGTTCCAAATGTGTTTTGATTAAAAGAAAACATTCCCTACACTACTTTTTGCGAAGCTTATGAACTTCACAAATATCAGACTATACATAAAAAAATTGAGATTCGCCACGTTAATTTATGATTTTTTTGTGTTATTATATGAATTTTTTTATTCTTGAAATTTCCAAATTCGTTTTTATTCTTTCAATTTGTTTTCCCCAAAACCAAAACTTTTCCACTTGCTGACTTTCTAAAAAAGTCAGAAAAAAATTAATTGGATGAGTCATTCTACTCTATATTCTCAACAACTTCCACCATTTCAACAATAAGTCACCAAATTAATTTAAAAAAAAAGGTTCCGGAACAGCTCCCCAGACACATTTTCACAAGTAAACAATTGGGAGGAAGCAAAACGTAGAAAATTTCTCAACCTCATGATTTCAATTTTTTTTTCCTGGTCCTATTGTTTTTTGGAGTAAAAATTTGTGAACTTTCTGAACCCGTCCCTATTTTGTACAGTAGAAACCCTGGATTTTTGAACTATTTATTGATAAAATTCACAAATTTTTTTGGGCTGCTGATTAGTTTCAGTTTTTTGAATTTCGGAGCTTTTTTCGCTATTTTCAGAAATGTCAAAGGAGGCGATTTCGACAGAGGATGAAATGGTTCGAATTGGAATTATCTACATTTTTTTATCCGCATTTATTCTTCCCATTCTGGGAATTGTCATTTATGTAAGCTTTTTTTTTATTAAGGTCAGGGCTAGCTTAGAAAGAGAAAAAATTCATGCCAGTTCTCTTTTTTAGAAATTATAAGAAAACTTATTTCCATATTATCGTAGGCTCGAAGTGAACCGACTTCTAGGTTACTCCTCTCCAAAATTTCAGGTTCTATCAACGCGAAAAGAGTTTCGGATGAATGTTTCCTACAGATTGATGAACTTTCTGAATATCAGCGATTTTGGCCAAGCTTCATGTCATCTTCTAACAGGGATCTTTGTTGTATTTCCCGGTTTTGTGAGGAACTACGATCCAATTGTTCGGGTGGGAAACTTAAGCTGGTTTTTATTTTCCCCTTATGAGCTTTTTCCCGAAAAAATGAATGATTGAGACTTTTTTGTTAAAAAATTTGGATTCCTTTCAAGAGAATTTTGAAACTCAACTTTTAAATACCAAATAATATACTTTTTTTCCATTTTTAGACAGTTGGAGCAACGTTGAACTCTCTTTACCTAGCTTCTTTTCCAATAATCGGCATATTGGCAGCTTCTCGGGTGCTCATAATTCTGAAGCTGATGCGCCCCGACGAAATGAGCAAACCTTTCAAGGTATAACTTTTTATAAAGCCTCAAATTTTTTACTTTTTTAAAATACCGGTTCCCAGTCGCCACAATGTGAAACAGTCTGAATATTCTGTGTCTTCTTTTCCACGGCGAAAATCTCATTTTTCCGTGCTATTTTCCTAAAACCGAAAAAAAAAATTCAAAACTAGCTTGAGACGTTTAGGGGGCGTGACCTGTCTGCGCTCTCCACCAACCAGACACTATCTCTTTGATTGTCGTGTAAGGATCCTTTTTTCGATGTCTCAAGCTAGCCGTGGATCAGCTATATTTAAACGATCCATATGGTGAAAGAAAAGAGAGCGCAGACTGGTCAGACTGTTCTTAGTCATGAAAATGAAAAAATCTTATATTTTCAGATAACCGTCCTCCTCGGTTTAGCCTACTCATTCATCATATGGATCTCTTGTTGTATCACTCAAGTGCTCACTCTGAAGCCTCCGAATTGGGGCTACGATTCTAATAGGCCTTATGGACCCCTTTTGGAAGATTTGGAAGTATTCGAAACTTTAAGTATTACTGTATTCTCCTACATTGCTCACATGATCATACTAGGCAATATTTATATGGTAATTTTCGGGATATCTTTGAAAAGTTATAAGTTGCTGAAAAATGACTGCTTGTTCAAAGACACAGGGACAAATTTGTGAGGAGGTCTCGAGGCGAAGAGCCGTTTTAATAGTTGCGAAAAAATTTTGCGTTTGCAGAAACTACAGTGGAAACTTTTGGTCAGACTAAAACTAAAAAAAGTTTAAAAAAAGTTTTTTTCTTCTTCTAGCTCAACGGTTTTTTTGGAATTTAAAAATATATAATTTTTTTCCTTACGTAAAAAAAGAAGTAGCGAAAAAAAGTTCCACGGAATGGTTCATTTTTCAATCAGAAATCCAGCAAAAAGTTTTAAAACAGTAAAAACCTCACGAATTACAGAACAAAAAGCAGTTTCCCTCCTCTACATCGAGAAAATCGGAACTTGCAATTTTCATCCAATCAACATCAATTACAGTTTATATCACGATATCCATTATAGTTTGGCATCACACAGGTGAATTTTGTTTCTTTTTCACACAAACATAAAAAAAGTTATTTATTTAAGTTATTAGGGTTTTCAAAGGGACAAAAGTGAGCCATAGCTTAAAATATCACAAAAAGCGGATTTTCGCTTCAAAAAATCTATAAGAACCGTCTATGGTCTTTCAATTGTTTGAACTACTCTGCAAAAATCATGAATTTTCAAAGGGAATTTTTTTCAGAATGGTTCGATGATAACAACGCGTCTTTGGCTGGGATCCACATTTCTTGGCTTTTTCTGAGTTATTTGAATCCGATGCTTCTTATGACTTTTAATGCGTAAGTAATATCAATTTCCGAACGTTTTAAGTAAGAAAAAAAGATTCCATCGAAATTTCAAAACTAAAAAAAATTTGGAAGAAATATAAAAGACATATTTTCTTCTGAACTTCTTTTTCCGCTTCAGAGCATCAATTTGAATTAAAAAAATAACCTTCAAAAAAACTCTTTTCTTAACCGATTGGCTTAATTTCTCAACAAGAAAAATTCAATTTCAGAACGGTCCGAAAAGAAGTCTTGAAACTAATATTTCTACGGAACAAAAAGAGTGCGCAGAAGTACGGCAATCATCAATCTGTCCACAGCTTCGAAGAATATTTACTGATAAACTAATTAATTTGAATGAAAATAACTCCCGGGCATACACAAGTTTCTCACGTGGAATAAACCCATTGCTTTCACTTCTTTTTCACTTGTCTGGAAAAGTTTTGCTCTGTTCCAAAATGTCCCAAAATGGATCAACGTCCACTATTTCAAAGGACGACGAAATGTTCCGTATTGGAATTTTGTACATGCTCTTGAGCGTTTCAATTCTACCCATTCTGTGTGTGGTTATATTGGTTAGTTTTGAGCTTTTTTGGTTTTAGAAAATTGATGCTAAACTACACCGACGACGCTTAGAAGGACCTTGTGGGGAAATTCTGAAAATATTAATTTCAAGGGTTTTCATTGGTCAGATCCTACTTTAAAAAAATTATCGGAAAGAACATTTGGATGAAGTCTATTTTATTGTAAAGCTAGGTTTCAAAAAAAGCAATTCGCAACTTGCCTATATGCATATAGAGAAGAAAAACCTCATTAATCTCTCTAATTTTTTCCTTACCATATTCGAGTGAATTTTTATGAGTACGAAACGTGAAGAGAATATCTTGAAAGTTGAATTTATTAATTTACTTTTCAAAAATCATCAAGTTACTATATTCAAACCAAAATAAATTCCATCCGAAAATACAGCTATAGTCATTTTTTTCAATAAAAAATAATCAAAACTCCAGGTCCTCTCAACGAAAAAAGAATTTCGAAAAAACGTCTCCTACCGCCTAATGAACTATCTCAACATAAGCGACGCAATCCAGGCCGTCTGTCATTTTCTAACTGGACTATTTCTAGCGATTCCATGGATTCCAGAGAACCACGACAGCATCGTGAGGGTATTTATTTATTCTGCTTGAAAATAATCTTCCAAAATGATTCAGTTCGTCGGAGCAACTTTGAACTCGTCCTATTTAGCCTCATATCCGATAACTTGTATCCTTTCCGCTTCTCGGGTCCTGATAATTCTCAAATATATTCAGCCCGATGAAATGAGTATTCCAATCAAGGTGGGTATCGTAAAAATGATATTCCTTAGAAAATTAGATCTAAAATGAATAAAAATGAAAATGTTTTAAATGAAATTTTAGCCAATTTTATTTCCAGGTCGCCATTTTTTTCGGTTTATCCTACTCGTTAGCCAATTTCCTATGTTGCTCCATTGACCAGAACTTTATGTTGTCTTTGCCTGGCTGGAGTTACGACATGAGTCGACCTTACGGTCCGCTTTTAGAGGAACTAGAAGTATATGAATCTCTGGGTAGCCTCGGAATATCCTACATCGCTCACATGATCATTTTGGGCAATATTTATATGGTAAGTACAGTAGAAAATGGAGGAAATCCTTGAAAGTTCAAAGGAAGAGCCGAAATCTCTAGAAACAAGAAAAGTGTTCGAAGCGTCGCGGACATGAAGTTGAAACATCTCGTAGACACTTTCAAAGATGCACCAAATGGAGTTTTCAGAACAAGAAACAGTTTCCGTCCTCGAGGTCCAGAACTTCTGAGCTTCGGATTTTCTTCCAATCCACCATTCTGACTTTGTACATAACCGCCTCTTTGGTCGTTTGGCATCACATCGATTGGTTTCCCGAAAGTAACACGATAATAGCAATTATTCACACTTCCTGGCTTCTCATCACTTATTTGAACCCCGTTCTCCTGCTGGCTTTCAACTCGTCAGTTTTAAAACTATCGAAGAAAACTAAACTGGGGAGAAAAGAGCCGAGAAAACAATAAATTCACGATCAAGATTTAAAAAAAAGCTTGCTTGGGAGCCACTAAAAAACGGACAGAGATCTCAATTTTCTGAGTTTCAAAATTCGGAAGTTTTTTTTTTCGTACTGTCAGATTCATTCTCCCATGAAAAAAACAAATAGATATTTTTTTAAAAAAATTTTTCGTTTTATTCTCGAACTATCTCCTTAAATCTTCCTTATTAAAGCTGTTTTTGCTTCAGTTTAGGGACCGCAAAGCCACGCCCCTTTTCGCGATAGAAAAAGTGGCTTTTTTTGGTTTTCAACTTTCATTTTGTTGTAGTTGCAAAAATATGTGGAACTGGCGAATAAAAATTTGACACACATGTACAGAAAAAGCTTCCTCTTTCGTTTAAAAAAATATTTCACGCTTTTTTTGATGCGTTCTCGCGGAATGTCGTACAAAAAAACGTGAATGGAACTAAAAAAATTTTTGTCATTTTTTTGCTTTTTTTCATGTGTTTTCAGGTCGAACGCACTCTTTCTTTTTTTAAATAATGATTTTGATTCAAGTAACGAAAAATTTTAAAACAATAAAAATAAAAAAATTCGTCTTTGCCAAAAAAATTTTAGGGAGCGCCGAAAGTCATAATTCAAAAATATCGTTAATAAGCGAATATAATCAAGTTTTTTTGTTTTTTTAAAAAAATTTAGATCATGGCCTTACTTAAATTTTTTTTCTTCACAGTATCTGTGCTTGAAATAGTTGTTTAATACGCAAAAAAATGCTCTTGAAACTAGAGAATAAAAATTAGCGGCGTTTATCACACAAAAAAAGCGGTCGAACGCAGGTTTTTTTAAACAATTATATACATTTATTAGTGAAAAAAATCTTTCAATTAAAAAGAATAAAAATAAAAAAATTCGTCTTTGCCAAAAAAATTTACGGGGCCGTTTTTAAGGCAGCGATCGTTAAACGAGGAAAAAAAGCACTAAAAAAACAGTTTTTTTCGAAGTGAATTTTCACGGAAAGTTTGAGTAAAGATTTGCGAACATATTCTGATAAAAAAATAGCTGAATTACTTCAAGTTTTTTTATTTTTTTGAAATAGGCAATCTGTGCTATCTAAACGGCTCAAGGGTAAGGCGGATGGAAGCTCCCCTTGCTAGACCTAGCAGCTTTGGCGCAGCGCGTGCGCTGCGAATTTTCATTTTGAGGTCGCGAGTTCGATGCCCGCAAGCGTCAGTTTTTTTGTTTTCTGGAAAAATACCGACTTTTTTTCGGCAAACTAGCTGATGAGCATCATTTTAGCACTCTATTATGATTTGTTACATCATAATAGACCAGTATCAAAACTTGTTCTAGAAGAAAAAAATCGAGAAAAAAATGTCAAAATGGATAATACCAAAATTTCAGTACTAAAAAAATGGTGCGCGGCGCGCCACATTTTTCGTCATAACTTTTTTCATCCTCAATCTTTTTCGAAAAACTAAACGGTTCTGAGTTTTGAATCGAAACAGCTATCAAACCATACAAAGCTCAATGCTGAAAAAAATTTTTTGAAAATTGGTCTGCGGTCCCTAGCTTCAGTTTCTCATAAAAACCAATTTTCAGAACGGTTCGAAACGAAGCGATTTTCCTATTAACGAGACGAAAAACATCCCAAAACGCCACGAAAACGACCGCCGTTGTTAATTTATCTATCGCTTCGAGAGACGTTTACTAATGAGATTAATTAAGAAAGTTATTAATAAATTACCTAGACAGGAAAAACAAATTGTTTTTCACACCGTGTCACGTTTTTTTTTCGTGATTTTTCATTCTTAAGCCATGACTTCAGACATCGAAATGTTAGTCATCGGATCCATTTATATTTTCTTCAGTTCAATCATTATTCCTTTGATTTTATTGGTCATATTTGTGAGTTTTTACCTTATATGATCTACAAATAGCTTTTCGTTCTTAACACAAAAAGGATTGTCGCAAAAATCGGCTTTCAAATTTTATTTGAAGCCTCACTGCGCCTTTAAAAACCTCAAATTTTTTATGAATGAACTAATCGCCCATAATAACTTCTGACATCATTTTCCAGGTCCTACTTTCAAAACGGGAGTTCAGATTGAATTATTCCTACAGAATGATCAACTTCTTGAACATTTGTGACTTGGGACAAGCTGTTGGTCATCTTCTCACCGGCATTTTTGTCATATTTCCCGAATTTTCAAAAGAAAACGATGTTTATATCCGGGTATGACTTCTTTTTAACGATTTATCCTTTTCCTCATAACCAATTAAAAATCATAAAACCTCAAAAAATGGCTCAAAATATCGTGATTGTTCTGCACTTTGGCGTTTGAATCCAGGTTCTATTCAAAGTACGAACTCAAAAGTGCGCCCAACCTTGGACGACTTTTCTCTCTTTATGCTAAATAATGCCACCAAGCGCAAGTAGTTTTTAGTCGCGAACCTTGAAAAATTTCTCAAAAATGGAAAAAAAAACCGCTTCTTGACCGCGCCTTGGAACATTCCCAATGTGGAATTTCAATTTTCAAAAAAAAAACAGTCAATTATTTTGATTGGTTCTAAACTTTTCAGCTGGTCGGATCAACTTTTAACTGGTTCTACTTGGCAACATTCCCGGTCGTTTTCACTTTGGCAGCTTCGAGAGCCCTGATAATTTCGAACATTGTCCACTGTACCCAAATCAGCTATCATATCAAGGTGATATAAATTTGGTTAGAATTACTCACAAAGATTTATCTTACGATAAAAACCACTTGTAGAACATTTGAGAGCTGTTATCTCCTCTTAAAAGCTTCGAAGAGATTAAAATTAATGAACGAATTCAATAAGTTGGTATTTTCCATTGACCCTTCTTATTACGAAAAAAATGAACAAGGTACTTCAAAAAATCAAGTTTTGAGTATCATTATTATCAACAAAAATGTCTCAGTACTTCTGAATTTTCTGTTGAAAATATTCTAATTAAAAGTTTTGATCCTACCCCTTACCTTACAAAGTTCGAAAAAAATGTTTTATGAAAAACTGAGGCCTTATTTATACAATAATTTGAGGAAATATATCAAAATCTGCCGCATTTTCATCACGATATCTACAAAAACAATAAATTTCAGGTTGTTCTAACCAGCGGATTTATATTCTCCTCAATCTACTGGTTTTTCTGCTCAATAGACCAGGATTTCAAGTTATCCCCACCGAGTTGGGAGTACGATTTTCAACGTCCTTATGCGGCATTTTTGGAACGGCTCGAATTTTTCGCGACGCTTCTAATTACCTTATTTTCCTTCATTGCTCATATGATAATCCTTCAGAGTATTTATAGGGTATTCATTGAATTTTAGAAAAAAGTTCTCAGTCGTAAATGACAACATAAGTTAGCCTTTTGGAGCATTTTGCTTGATTTTTATTTTAAGATGTTCGTTTTTTCTTACCGAATGCCAAAAATGAATTTTTTTTTTTTGACAATTTCGACTCTTTTTTTGCAGAACAGGAAATCGACCACCTCCTCGGCGTCACGAAAATTCGAAACGGCAATTTTTATTCATTCTACAATCGTTACGGTTCATCTGACTATTCTGATTATTGCCTGGCACAATTTAGGTTGGCTTTTTTCTAACTTAAAAAAACCTGGTACGAAAAAAACAGAACACGTGACCGAATAAACTAAGAGAAGAATCTAACAAGGACAAACTCTAAAAATGAAAAAAATCGAATCTTAAAATTGTTCGATCCTTACAATGAGGGTCATTTTAATTCGCACTCAAAAAGTTTCCTAAAAAATTGGCCAGAACACTTCTTGATATACCAAATAAATGTTCTGAAAGTCTCAACCTATGAAACTTTCTAGATTTTGAGAAATGAGGACTCAAAGACCAAAAATGGCTTCCAAGGAGCGTTCTCGCAAATTTTCTTGAAATTCCCAACCGCAAAGCAAAATGAATTTTCTTTTAAGCTTTTTGTTTGCGAGGACTAAAAAAAGAGGTTATCTCAAAAATAATCAATAATTCAGAATATTTCTCCTACAGTACCGAATCTCTTGTCGTGACTCATATGATGTGGCTCGCCTTATCTTATTTGAACCCGATTCTTCTTCTTTCATTCAATTCGTAGGCTTTTATTCTCTTAATTTGTTAGTTGATAAAACCTTATCTCCATAAAAAAAAACTCAGTCGTTCAAAAAATTTATCTGAGCAAGTAAAACTGCTTTTATGTTGGGAATACAGTGATGAAAGTCTCAAAATATTAGTTTTTTTAGTTGGAATTGAACCAGGAAAAACTCTTTAAAAAAATTTACAAATTTTTTTCGTGATTCAAAAATGAAATTTTTGATTCAAAAAAATTTCCTAGTATTTTTTTCTCTGTCAAATCTTCTAATTTAGTGATGTTGAACGAATTCAGATTCTTAACACATTCCTTATGCATTTCTCAAATTGATAACAGTTTTCAAAATATTTTAATAGTTCTCTCTTCTCAGCCAACTACAAATCAATCGATAAACTTTAAAACTAATCAATAAGTTTCAGAACCTTCCGAAAAGAGCTTCTGACCGTCCTGGGCCTTCAAAGCCGATTTTTGGGCTATCAACCACGACTTTTGACCAACCGAATGCTCACTTTCAATACATGATTTCGTTTTGTTCAAATAAACATTATTTTAAATCGGAGTACAAAAAACAGGAAAATTTCCGAGACCCCATGAAAATCTCATGAAAATCAAGTACCTTCCAGCGAAACGTATAATTAAGTTTGAATTCATTCTTTTTCCTTTTCATGGGATAGAAATCAAAAAGATCATTCTCTGGAAGATTTCTAGTGCATTTATCTGAAAAAGAGTTTTTAGAGTCTAAAAATCTTCATGAAACGGAAGGGTTCAAAGTTTTTTTCATATTTCTTAAAAATTTGTTTTTTTACTAACTTTGTACTTCAAAAACTCAAATTTTTCCCTTAATTCTCGAAAAATCTCGATGAAAAATTCTCGTGATCATATGCGAATTTTTTTATCAACCGAAAAAATACTTGAAAAAAATATCACAAAAGGCCAAAAAAAGATTTCCTGCGGAATCATGAAACAAACAACTCATTAAAATTTAAAAAAAGCCTTTAAAATGATTTTTTCCGGGTTGTTCCTAAAAAAAGTTCAAAAAAACCTTTTTTTCCATGTTCTCTATGATTTCAGAAGCGTGCGAGGAAGTGATTACCTTTCCGCCGTTCACGGTTGAAAAAAAAAAATGTTTTTCCTCTTTTTTTCTAAAAAAGAAGTTTTGGAACCTTTTTTAAGTGATTTCATGCCTCATTCAAAAAGTTTATTGTCACTTCAACCACCCTGGTTTTTTTAGAACTTGACGTTGATTTGAATTTTTTTCACAATTCTAAAATTGTTTGAGCCTATATATTAAAAAAACCACGTTTTTTTCGGATTTTTTTCAGAATAACCATGGAAAAACGAGAGCATTTGGAAGCTGGCTGAGGGTACAGACCTCATTATTATCGGTTGTTTCTATACTTTTATCAGCGTCGCGATTCTTCCCGTCATTTTTCTGGTCGTTTTGGTGAGTTTTTAAAAGCCTTATATTTTGTATAAACTCAAAACAGAAAAAAAAAGGAGATTGAGCTCATTCGAAATTTCGAAGTTACTTATGACTTTAAGTTCTTGGGCATGTTACAAAGTTAAAATTAACTACGGAATATTGAGATACAATCTACAAACTTTCGTTATTTTTGTTCGGATTTTCAAGAGAAAAAACTTGGTCCGAAAGCTCATAATTCTGAATTTTCTGACCAAAGTTAAGTCCTTTTTTGAGCTAGTTTGGTCCAAGTTCTAATAGCTAGATTTTCAGCTACTCTGTAAGAATTACAGACCCTCTCAACCAACAAAATCCTTCGGAAAAACGTATCTTATCGCTTGATCAATTGGATCAATATGAGTGATGGTGGCCAGGTGAGTTTCTATTTTTTCTTGAATCTAAAAAAAGTCCAACCAAATTTTTTAAACATAAAAAATTTCCTAGTGCACTTTATTGAACGTCAGATTGAGGCAGAACTTGAGAAACCATTGTAATTTCGAGGAAATGATCTTGAAAACCCAATGACTTACCGAATAAAAATGAAATGTTTAATTTCGAAAAAGTTCTTTTTCAGGCATTTTTCCACGCCATCACCGGAGTTTTCGTCATTTTTCCGAACGTCCCACTTCGCTATGAGGCTTTCGCCAAAGTAAATCCATTATATTACTGCTAAGAATCCAAATTCGAATCGTTTTCAGTTCATTCTGGCCACGATCAACTCCATCTACCTAGCAGCCTATCCATTCATTTTGATTTTATCGACTACTAGAATTCTGATAATATTCGATAAGATGAAACCGAATCGGATGAACGGAGTGGTCAAGGTGAAAAAATAATCGAAAAACGATTTAATTTTTATCGATTTTTTTCTGTGATTTTTCCGAGTTTTTTCCCCGAGTTTCAATATTTCAGGCCACGATTCTCGTCGGTTGCGTTTACACCTTCATAATTTGGGTTTGGTCAATTTCGGGCCGAGTTTTCCACATGACTCCCGCTGGCTGGGAGTACGATCTCAGTACAAAATATGGACTTCTTCTCAAAAAATTCGAAATCTATGAGACTTTTGGGATCACCTTCTTCTCTTACATTTCTCAACTCACTGTGATCCTCAATATTTGGCTGGTAAGCTTTCAAAATCTTCTTAAGATGTTTAATTTGTCCACAGACGCGTCTAAATGGCTAACTAGGGGATTTCAAATCCAATTATGAAGACGATTTTAAGAGTCCTTTTTAAGAAATCACTTGAGCAAAAAGAGATTTTTTCGTTTGAGCTTTTGAAAATATGGTACTTCTGAGGTTCTAGAAACAAAACTTGTCTTTAAAAAAAAGTGAGTATACAAAATCAAAAGTTTCCGGAACTCGATATCGAGTATGTCTTGTATGTGATCTGTACTGAACACAAGCTTTCGTAGAATGAAATATTCAAATCAAATCGGCCGTTTTCACGAAACGACAGTGTTCATCCAAAAAAGAAAGAAAATATAGCCTCCCGGCTGAAATAGAAAATATTTCGGTTGGTCAAATTCTCCCTTTTTTGGATTTTTTTACCTAGGGTTTTTTCAAATTATTGGATTATCTGCATAACAAATTTTTTACCATCTTTTCGAAAATAATAACACAAAAATAATTTCAGAACAAGCAAAAATTCTCCAGTTTGCACTCGAGAAAAGCTGAAATATCCATATTTTTCCACTCAACGATTATGACTGGCTATTTAACTTTTGTCAATTCGCTATGGCACAGTTCAGGTTGAAAAAAAACAACCTATTTCCTAGTGACTCGAAAAAAGTTCAGAAAGTTTCATGCCGAAAGAAAATTGGGCGACGGCTTTGGTACATGGTTCTTGCGTTATGATCACTTATCTCAACCCGGTTCTTCTCCTAATTTTCAACCCGTTAGTTTGAAAGAAAGAGATAATAGTTCAGCTGGTAGGAGGCTAACTATGAGCTCAGAAGATCGCTGGTTTTCGCTCTACCAAGGTTTCGAAAATCATTTACAATAAGTAACGTCGGTAAAGCACTCATTTAAAAAGTTTAAGATGAGGAAGTTCATAGCCAAATTGGTAAAACTTTAGTTGAACACTTAAAAAGTAACTGCTCTCAGTCCTCGTTCCAACTTTTCAGCCTAAACTTTCAATAAAGAAAATAGGGAACAGCTTCAAAACTCTCGGAGCCCTGAAAGAAATTTAAATACTCAAGACTTAAAAGTCATAAACAGTCTTTCGGAGGCGGCCTTTTTTTGCTGAGACCTTCTCGAGACTTCATATGACTTGAACTTAGTCTTAAAGTCAACAAAAAACCCGACAAAACAAATAATTCGAAAAAAATCATGAAAATTACAGATCGGTTCGAAAACGCGTCTTCCGAATCTTCAAAGTCGGATTGAAGCAAGCTTTGAGAGACAATTCCGCTTTGAACGGTCGCAGTGTGATTGCTATCGCATGATCTATCATTCAGAATAAAAATCATGATAAGCTCAACTTTTACACAGAGTTCTGGCTTCACATACAGAACAAAGAGAAAAAAAAACTTGAACAATTTTAATGATTATATAATAATATTGAATCCAGTTCTTGATAAAATATTCATCAAAGTGATTCAATAGATATCTTTTCTTCAAATTTTGAAGTTTTACTGTCAAAAATATGTTTTCTTTGTTTTTTTTTTGAATTTTTCTAGCTTATTACTACAAGTAACCGGCTCAATCAAAAAGCTTGAAACCCGCAGTTTTCGGGTTTTTTTCTGGAACTTTTTGGCGCACCAACATCCTACTAATGTTTACCGTCACCTGTGGCCTTTTCTCAAAAATTCCCTGAATTTCGAATTTTCCATCAAGCTCAAATGTCCTAATAGCGTCATCAAGCGCCTACCCTGCTCAAAACCCCCAGTTCTCTCAAGAAAACCTTATAAAAGCTCCAAAAAAAGATCAAACTCTAAATTTATCCCGAAAATTTCGTAAAATAAATTCCAGGAAGCAGCAAACTTCGTGACGGTGGGATGTTAGTGAGGTCTCATGTGAGAGAATTTTGTGAAGCCTTTTCAATTTCGAATTTACATTTTCGAAACCGCACCAGGGGCTTCTCAAGACTTATACAAATCTTTCGATTCTCGCTTCTCTCTTTTTTTTTTTTCAAAGAACTTCTGCCAAATTCCATGATAAAGTACATTCCGTTCATTTTCATTATATCACTGGTCAGTTTCACGAACGAGAAGGTCAGTTGAAATTGCAAAAAAAAAAAGAGTCAAATATATATATTCAGATCTTACAAGTTGGAATGACGACTGCTTTAGACACCAATACAGATCTAGCTTCGGTAAGAAATTTTATGAAATGTTTTTTGAATTAGGGTAGGCCAATCATAGTAGATCTTCAAGGTTTTCAAACCAAGCACAGTCCGGAATCGGTACAAAAATGCTATTGTCATTTAAAAGTTTTTTTAAACTGTCCTACCAAGAAAAGAAAAACGATTCCCTAGAAGTACTTCATTTATTTTCAGTCCAGTTATGAAATTGATACCAACAAAAACTCTGTCTGAATTCCTTATTAGATCATCCAAAAAATTTTTAAGATTCGCTGGAGTAGCGTGGCGGCAGGAGCCGGCGTCGCTTGGGACCGGATCGTTGCCGAGCAAACTCTTCCTGATTACACGCAGATAAAGTTCAACTTTGACCATCTATAATTAATGATCAATTTTATAATTTCTCAGTCTAACGTGGGTGAAAAGCGACTGCGGTGAAGCCAGGGCCGCCGCCGCCATAATCGCCTACGCGGAAAGCAAAGCCGATGTGTTTTTGGGACCTCCTTGTGCCAGAAGTTCGTAATTTTCCTACTCATCGTAGATACGTTTTGAAATTATTAAATGCGATGAAAAAACCGACTTCTTCTCCTGTCAAAGTTTTAGCATCAAAAAAATAAAGCTTTTAAAAAAATCTTGAAAAACAAGCCTTTTTTTAATTAAATTGAACTATCGTTGAAAAATATTCAAGTTTAAAATCAAACTAATTTTTTTTTTTGAATCAAATTTCAGCTGCAATGGTGGCTGGAAGTGTCGCAAAATACTACAATTTCCCAATCGTTCTGTGGGGACCGCCTTTCGATTCGGGCTTAACGAACAAAACCGAGTACCCTACTGTAGTATCTGCTGTACCGAGTTCTCTATCGTGAGTTTTGGGAAATAATAATTTTCTTTATAATCGATTTCGTTAGAGACGCATTTATCTTTGAACTATTATATATTTTTGTTTTTGAATAACTGATGATGATGATGAAATATCAGCAGTTCTAAACCACAGCTAAACTAAAAGGTGACAAAATTTTGCGTTCAGAGCTCAAAATTAGGCTTTCGATAATAAATAGGAAAAATGTCGATAACATGTGATTTGAGGAATGCTCTTTGATTCTTTGACTTGTTTCGAATCTAAAAATTTTTTCCCGAAAAAAAATGCGAAGTTAGATTAGTATCACAATCACTCGCAGTAAATTTATTTTGAGAACTTGCTGAAAATTTGTTTTTTCAATTGGAATTTCAATCAGATTCGCCGTTTCAACCATCCGAGTGCTGCGAAAATTTGCCTGGACCGACATTGGCTTGTTGTATTACGTGCGGCGGAGCTCACTTGTCGCCCGATGTCAACTGGTTGTGAACAATTTGGAAAGTCTGGTCTACGACAGTCCTGACATCACGATCGCCTATCGGAAACAGTTGGACAATTCAACACCGGCTCAATTGAAAGAGGCGCTCTTGGGCTTGCGGGATGTAACCAGAGGTTTTTTTTGTCTTTTTTTTGAAAAAAATTATTTTTTCTCATGAAAAAACAAAAATTTTTTTGAAGATCATAGAACTCGATATTCATGCGGAACTGGAAAGATGAACTTTTCGAAAAGTAAAAGTTTGCCTTTTTGAATTCAAGAAGAACTATTTTTCTGGCTTTTTGAAAAATTGTTTCTTCAGATAAAGACTCTATGAAGATCCATAGACCTACTACTCAATAACTAGCATAATTCCCCACATACTTTTCAGTTACCATCGTGTGCCTGGAATCCCTGCAATCGCGTCGCGATTTGATGATCGCGATTGCAGACAACGGAATGGCTACTGAAGAATTCGTGTGGATCCTCATGGAGTCGCGAAACTCTGGAATCGGTTCACATTTTTCAAAAATAAAAAAAAAAGTAAAAAGAAAAACTTCAGACCCAGAATACTACTACGACGCGACCCAAAACTCCGACTACAACGCAAAAGCTTTGAGTTCAATCCGGAATTTTTTAGTTGTAATGAAATTCTTTTCGAAAAATCGAATTGACTGATAAATTTCAGTTAGACGTTCACCCGTACAACGACACGTATAACTTTGAATCTTTGGCTCTGGCACGATTCAAAACGCCGCCTTTTTATTGCAACAACTGTACAACGATTGATATGGTGATTTTTTTCGAAATTCAAATAGATGAAAAAATGTTGGAAGGGAACATTTCAATAGTAAGGAATGCATATAAAGTCCATGAGGAAACCCTTAACTTCCCAGAGAAAAAAGAGCTTTTTTAAATATCACAAAACACTCCCTAAGTTAAGAAAAAGAACTGAAACTAAAAAAGCAATTCTGGCCAAGACTAACTAAAAAATAATAATTTCTATTCAAATCATTCCAAAAAATTGCGTCTCTTATATGCGCAAAAATCGTGAGAATACAGTACTTCGTTATTTTTTACTTGTTTTATTTTGAAAAAGCATTCGAAAACAATTATTCCATGATTCAGCAGAGAACCTACTCTGAAGACTGAATAAAATTTCAAAAAAAAATTTCAATTTCAATTTCAAAAAATTTCAAAATTCGAAAACACAAAAACCAAGAAAGAATGAACGAGGAGAAATTTAGAAAAAAATGCTCGAATCCAAACTATGCGGTCCGCAGTCGTCATGACCCACTTGTGAACTTTAACGCACAAAATAAATTTTCAAGTTTTGATGGTCTTCAAAATCCATTTGCACCAGAATAAACGACTTGAAAGACAATATAGCTGATTTTATTTTTTTTTAGAGCCCTGATTTTGCAAAAAATTGACATTTTTCTGTAGAACTGAATTTTTTTTTTTCAATAATCCTTTTAGAACGATTCGAACATTGTCCAACTGGCCGATGCATTACTTATCTACGCAACCGCCTTGAATCGGAGTATTTCGGCGGGAAATCCATCTCCAAACGGCCAACAAATAGCCGCCTATGCTGCCGGGGAATTCGATGGTATCTTTTTCGTCTTATTTTTTTTTCGTAAATTTCAAAATTTCAGGTTTCAGCGGTCGAATAATAATCAATAATCAATCGATGCGCGTGCCATTTTTCGCCATCTACACAATGAACAACAAAAACGAGCCTCAAATTGCCCTGAGGATCGTCGAAACTCTGACAAATTCCTCGGATATTACAGCGGTATCATTGATAATTTTTTTTAATTCTGTTAAAAAATGAACGAAATTTGAGGTGGAAGAAGTGATACCATTGCCGAAAATGTGGGAGACGCGAGGTGGAATTTCGCCGCAAAACACGCCAGTTTGCGGATATACAGAGTTTTCTTTTTGATTCAGAAACTTCGAAGCGATCTCTAAAATGATTTTTCATAGTTCATTTTGTAGTCAGTTTTTCGCTGAGAAAGTTTCGAGCGACTTCAGGACCCAATATCAAGTAGAAAATACGTCTCTTAGTAGTAATTTTTATAAGTATTCAAAATTTTTCACGACTTTTCAACTAGATGGGATATTCTTCAGACTTTATCTAGAGATTCATTTTAACTTGTTCATATTCGTGGAACTTAAGAGAAAGAAAAAATTCTAAAATTCTCTGAAATTTAATTTCTTCCAGAACCGACTGCCCAAGGACATTCGCTGAGCAATATCTCGCCATAATCCTCGGCTCTTTCGGGGGTGTTCTTATCCTTCTGATATTGATCGTTATATCAGTTGTTTGCTTGGTCAAGTTAGTGTCTTCACTATCAAAGTAAAACTTAAAAAAATAATAATTTTTAAAGAATTAAAAGAGAAGAGGAAGAACGACTGAATAAGCTCTGGCAAGTCTCCTTTACATCACTGACTGCTCCGTCCAGTAATAAGGTAAATTTTCTAGCTTTAGGTTTTTTTTTAAAGTGATCGTTTTTTTCTGAAAACAGATTGCCATTTACTTTTTTTTTGAATACAATTTTCTGAATAAAACCAAGCTTTGGAATGCTCGAAGACCTAATAGGAGTTTCAAGAAGGACTCGCAGCACAGAGCCGTTCTTAGAGCAAAACCTTTAAATATTTTTTCGCGTTTGATAACCTCAACAAAAATTTGGAGCTGACTAAACAAGCAAAATAAAAAAATTTCTTTCTTGAAATTATCATTTTCTCACGACTGCTTTGTTACAAAAATGTTCAAAAAAGATTGGAGCTTCGAAAAAAAAGAAGAATTTGCAGAAACTGATGAGTACCCGCTCCTTACAAAGTACAGTAACGTCAAGCACAAAGCTAACAATCGATTCAAAAAAGGTACATGAAATAAGTAATGAAATACATGAAAAAATGTACAAAGGAAACCCAACGACACGCCTTCTTTTTCATGGAGAAAGATCAAGTCGTGGCCAGGAAACACGCCTCGAGAGTAATTCTCAAAAAAGAGCACAAGGCGATGTTAAGGAAGGTTCTTGAAACTCAAAAAAAAAACTTCAAAATCTCTAAATTCAGGCAAAAATGGCTGAGAATGACAATATTTGCAAATTCGTCGGTCTCTGCCAAGACGGACCATTGTTGTTCACGATTTGGAAATATTGCGAGCGCGGATCTTTATTAGTTAGTGAGAGGAAGAACGTGACGTGACCGTAAAACGTCGGAAATTTCAGGATGTGATAGCCAAAGGCTCCTTGCAAATGGACTGGTTCTTCAAGTACTCGTTGATAAGAGATGTTGCAGAGGTTTGGCAAATAAACAGAGAACGACTTTGGATTAAAACTGTTTTGTTAACATTTCAGAATAGAATAGTTATACTGAGTCACTATGCTGTCCGAAAAAGCAGCTCTCATCTGCTACAAGTTTATTACATATGAGCTGCTTTTAAATGATTGGAGCTCTCAAACCAGAAAAAATTGAGCTTCAGAACGCTGCAAAAATCATGCTTTTGAAGACTTTGATTTCCCGACAGATTGAGCAGTCTCAGTGATTCATAACAGCTGAAAATTCATTTAGATTCTCGAAAAGCATAAAAATATCATAGAGACTCAAAGAGTTGCCCGTAGAAAGAAAAAAGTTCTTTTTATTATTTCATTTTTTTGACTTTCGTTCTAATAGCCTGTTCTTTATGTTTATTGCAAAACCAAAAAGCGACTGTGTTTCTTTCAATAACCACCTTCAAGGGTCTCTACTACATCCACCACAATTTCGGGGCCCACGGTTGGCTGAGTTCCAGCACCTGCCTAGTTGACGAACGCTGGAGGGTCCGTATCACCTTTTATTGCATGGATTTGATCAAAAAAGTCGAGCCGAGAACTCCAAATGGTATAGCTTAACTGGTAAAATAATAATGAAAGTCTTCATTTTTGAAGACTACCTCTGGGTCGCGCCGGAAATGATGCGCGATCCAACGATCCTATCAACAAAATCGGCAGATATATTTAGGTACAGACCCTTGAACAAAGTTGAAAATTTAAAAAATTTTTTGCAGTTTTGCCATAGTTTGTTCTGAAATCATCACAAAAAAGTCGGCGTGGGACATTGAGAACTCGAATATGGATATTGACGGTATGATTGATCTTTAACGAGTAGAATGGCTAAGGACGCGTTGCGGTCGCGCTGCGTTCTGTAGGGTAGTCATGGAAGTAATCATAACTGCGTCTGACCTCGAACAACCTTTTTCTCCTTTTCCGTAGGCCCGTCCGCCACACGTTCTGTTATTCTTTCTAACACGGGCGTTTGTAAGCCGTAAAAACACCATTCAAACTTTCAGAAGTGATCTACCGAGTGAAAAAGGGCGGCAGAAACCCCCAAAGACCATTATTGGACACAGAAGATGATCATAACGTATCTCTATCTCTACTTGTGAGGTTTTCAAATTTGAACATTTTTGTTACAATCTTCCAAAAAAAAAATTCAGAGATTGTTGGTCTGAAGAGCCTGAACAGCGACCAACGATAGATCAGGTCAAAAACTTGATCCGGAGCATGAATCACAGTGGCAGCTCCAATCTGATGGACCATGTCTTCAACGTTTTAGAGACCTATGCTTCAAACCTCGAGGAAGAGGTTTGATGTCGTGACGGGCAAGGTATATAAAGACATCCTCAGGTTCAAGCGCGAATGAAAGAACTGACAGAGGAAAAGAAGAAAAGCGACATTTTGCTCTATCGGATGCTTCCGCCTCAAGTCGCTGACCGGCTAAAGTTGGGACAGTCTGTTGAGCCTGAGACTTTCGATTGCGTCACCATATTCTTCTCCGACGTCGTCTCCTTCACTACTCTGGCCAGCAGATGCACGCCTCTTCAGGTACTTTTAACACGATAGAGGTGTCCTCCAAGTTCTATGGACGATTCTGAGCCATTTAGACACCAGTAAAATGGTCATAGCGCCTTTCTAGCGCTAACTTGAAAGAGCTAGACCCTTGAGACAATCGCCACCAGTTGGACTTATTCATAATATTCTTCAGGTGGTCAACCTGCTCAACAATCTCTACACGACCTTCGACGCGATTATTGGCGAGCACGACGTCTACAAGGTGACGTCATCTCTCGCGAAGAGAACGATTCAGAATATTATCAGGTAGAGACGATCGGAGACGGCTACCTGTGCGTCTCGGGTCTTCCCAAAAGGAATGGGAACGAACACGCGAAGGAGATCGCCGAGATGTCTTTCTCGCTGTTGAGGGCGATCAAGACTCTTCGGATTGATCATCTACCGGCCGAGAGGATCAATATCCGGGTCGGACTTCACACCGGTCCTGTCGTCACTGGAGTTGTAGGCGTGACCATGCCAAGGTTCCGGAATCAATACCTACCTCTGATACTGTAGAAATAATAGGTACTGTCTTTTCGGCGACTCTGTCAACACGGCCAGTCGGATGGAAAGCAATGGGAAACGTGGGGAAAATCGAAAATCCGAATGAAAACAATGAAAATTGCAGCTGGAAGAGTTCACATCTCAACGGAAACCATGAAATTTCTGACAGAAGTTATTGGAGGATACCGTACAGTGGAACGTGGAGAAGTCATCGTCAAGGTAGAACTATAAAATCGTGAGAAAGTTTTAGCGCTTTGTATGAGTATATTCAGTCCTGGAAAACGTAGTTTTGGTTCGTCAAGGTATCACCTGAAGTGCGCCAATAGGTTGTATAAGGCTCTGAAACAAATGTCTTTATGGAGGTTCCGTGAAGCCTCAAAAGGTTATCAATGATCGTAGAAGCTTTGTTAAAGCATCTATGAGAAAGTTTCATGTCATTCAAGTCTCAAAAAGCTTTCAATGAAAAAAATACCTTGATATCCTAATTTTAGACGTTAACATAACTGGTGACGGCTCTGAGTGTTTAGATCCCTCTAGTGACCAATTGAAGTTTTAAAATGTTATAGTGATCTCTTCAGGGGAAAGGCGCTCTAACGACCCACTGGCTTCTGACACCGGAAGAAGTTCAGATGGAAGAACAGAATAATTAAGGCTACTTTGAAATAGTTCATTCACCGTTAGCTTTGAAAACAATACTGCAAAAGAGATCACCACTAAAACTTGTTCAAGCCACTGGTGAATGAACTATGAAAGTTTAGGATTCGTATAATTAGAATAAAATGAGAAATTTTTTGATGAAACTCAGGCTTGAAAGTCTATTGCAGACGTGAAACTTCATTTTTTTTTTCTTCTATCCACCAATACCTCTCCTTAATATGTACCGCTTTATTGCTATTTTTCTTGTTTTAAATAAAGTCTATTTGTTTCGAAACATTCCTAGAACATAAAGTGTGAGTCAGGTGACGGGTGGAAGACTCAAAATTGGGGGAAAAACGGCGTTTTGAAAAAAATATGGTTTCAAAACAAATCTCTTTTTCGAAATTCCTAAGGCTTCTGTCGCATGTCTTTTTCAGTTTTCCTCCGCAACTATATTCCTTTTTGCAAAATGCTCATTTTTCTTCCATTTTTAATAGCTTTCACTACTGGAAAGGTATGTCGATTTTTCGAATTTTTCCATAGTCTTTTGAAGATTCTTCAAGTTGGTCTGATCACCGCCGCGGATAGCAGTGAAGACTTGGCTGGGGTAAGCGAAATGAGAAATAGAAAATGGAGAAAAATGATAAAAAATCAGCAAATCGGATGGAGCAGAGTCGCGGCTGCTGTCGGAGTCGCCTGGGACCGAGTTATAGCCGAGAGAACTTTGCCTGATTATACGGAGATGAAGTTTATTTTACAATACAAGGAAAAAAAAGCTTGATAGTAGATTCATCGCTAGTCTAAAATGTCTTGGACAAATGACTTTTTGTCAGAATTTTCGCGCTAAATATTTTTCATGCAGTTTTTTTTCCGAGCCCTCAAAAAGGACATCAGTACTCCCTCTGAAAGTTTCTTAAAAGGTTGCAAGAAACCATTTTTTTTCTTCTCACTTTCCTCGATTTTTGTCCAGTAAAAGTGTTTGTTTTATTTTGTTTCAACTTTGAATTTCATAGAAAATATCCCTTCCAAGCAAAAAAGCATAGAATCCAAAAATCTTCAGCTTAACCTGGGTCCTCAGCAATTGCATCGAGTCCAAGGCGGCTCAAGCTTCAATTGCCTACATCGACGCAAAAGCCGATATTCTTCTAGGGCCTCCTTGTACAAGAAGTCAGCGAAAATATCAACCCACCCATAAAAAGAATTTCAGCCGCTCTGGTAGTTGGTTCGATAGCCAAAGTCTACGACTTTCCGTTCATGTTGTGGGGTCCTCCATTCGACAGCGCTCTTTTGAATGTCACCGAGTATCCGACGGTCATTGCCTCCGTTGCCAGCTCTTACGCGTGAATTTTTGAAAACTAAACTTCAAGTTCTTATAAAAGAATCAATGGCGTTTGAACTCTCCTTTCGGGAAAAAAAAACACCCAAAATCAATAAGCGCTCTCTGATAAAATCTACGCCTTCAAAAGCTACCAGTTTTTTGGCTTAGATACTCCGTTTCTGCCATGAGAATCTTGCGAAAATTCAACTGGAAAGAAATCGGACTGCTCTACAACGTCCGCCGAAGTGCTCTGATCCCAAGATGCGAACTTTTCGTGAGCGACTTGGAGAAGCTGGTTATCGCCTCGCAAGACATCACAATCACTTATCGGAAACAATTCGACGATTCCACGCCGGATCAACTCCGTGATTCTCTGACAGTACTGCGCGACGTCACCAGAGGTCTCAGAATCTTCAGAGTTCTCATGAGATATCTTCTGATTCAGTGACGATCGTGTGCTTGGAATCATTACAATCCAGGAAGGATCTAATGGTTGCGATTGGTCAAAATGGCTTGGCGACGAAGGATTTCGTTTGGATTTTTGTCGAGTCCAGAAAAGTCGGTTTCGGTGAGTTATTCACGAGAAAAAAGTTCGGAGTCGAGTATTCATTTAGAGAAATCAAAAAGGTTGATAACCTGATATTTTTTATTGAGAATGATAAGATAGAGGATAAAGAGTTGTCGTATTTTTACTTAGTGAAATCTTTCGAAAAGTCTGTATACACTGTTCGTCACGAACTTTGAACAGTCTGACTTGTCTGAGCCCCCTTTTCTCTTAAAAGTGACGTCAGAGAAAAATGAAAACGACGTTAAAAAAAGCGCAGAAAAATTGAAATTTTTTAAAAGTCGTAATGAAAGCTTTGCTGTTAATTTAGCTATAAACTGATAGTTTAAAAATAGAAATAAACGTTTGAAACTTGTTCCTGTAAAGTTTGAAGACAGTAAATTTCATTCATATGGCTGCACATTCAATTTTCTTTTACATTTTCAACAAAGAGCATGACTTGAAAATAAGATACCCTTCCAGATCCTCAGTACTATATTGATAATACAAGGCCTGATGAACTGAACGATTACGCTTTGAAAGCAGCGAGAGTCACGATGGTGGTAAGATTTTATGATTACACTAAGAATAACTGACGAGATAAACGCGAGCTCGGTGGCGGTACATTGACTAACTCGCAAAAATGTCGCTTTTTTCTAGGCGCGATCCCGCATTTCTCTCGGCGCGACCTCGCATTTTTCTCGGCGCCATCTCGCATTTATCTTGCATTTCCGAAATTTTCAAATTGCGAGAGAAATGCGAGCTCGCGCCTAGAAAAGTGCGAGCTGGCGCCCAGAAAAATGCGAGACCGGCGCGAGAAAAAAAGCGAGATGTTTGCGAGCTCGTCAATGTACCGCCAGTGTCTCGCGTTTATCTCGGCAGTTATTCTTAGTGTACCTTTAATTTCAAATTTCAAACCTGAATACATCTCATTTTTCTTTCAGCTAGACAACCAGCCGTTCAACGACTCTGAAAAATTCGAAAATAAAGTTATTGAGCGGTTCAGAACGCCGCCTTTCAATTGCATGAACTGTACATCAATCGATATGGTGATTCATTTTTTTTTTCGAAAAATCTGTGTTGAACTCCTACTCGTCCTAATATTATCGCATAAAAACGCCATGCTTTCTCTATAGTCTCTTGTTTCCCCTGATATTTCGATCATCTTCTCAGGACGCTTAATGAAAAAAAAAATAGTGAAATTGATTGAAAAAAAAAAAATGTTTTACAATGCTTCCAAAGATCAATCTTAAAAAAATCCTCAAAATGCGAGCCTATGAAAATCACGATGAAGGCGTGACAAGCCAGTCACAAAAATCGTGCAACAGAGCGAATTTGTAAAACTAGACGAGTTGGCTATGAATTGTACAGCAATATATAATGAACTTTTCTTCATAGAAGAAATCTTTTCAGGTTGCTTCTAGTGTCGCTCAACTAGCAGACGCTGTTCTAATTTTCGCGAAAGCTTTGAATAAAAGCCTGACGGCTGGAATCACAAGCCCTACCGGCACTGAAATTTCCGCTTTTTCGAAAGGAGAAATGGATGGTTAAAAGAAGTTGAGCGTTATAAAAACCAGTGATTGGTTTCAAGGATACTCCGGCCGGATAATAATAAATGAGGCCGGTTTTCGGGTCCCGGTTTTGAATATTTACACGCTGGACAAAAATAATCAGCCTCAAGTTGCCCTAAGGATCAAGGAAACGCTGACGAATGGAACCGATGCAAGTTTGGTGAGGTCTTTTTGCTTGAAAATCTTGAAAAAATGAGCAGTTTCCGGGGTATAGAAGATTAGAATTAGAAACTTTTATTTTAATGAATTAGAAACGCTTCAATTTTTCTGAAAATCTGAAAGCTTGTTTATTTTGTATACTTTTGGCGAGGGAAGAGTGAAAAAAGGGTTTCAAATGTATTTTTTAAGCCTACTTTATAACAGATGCTTCAAATCTTACCAATTTTCAGGCTTTTTTTTTTACATTATTCGATCTTAATTTACTTCTCAAAAGGACAAAAAATTGAAGTTTGTAAGTTCTAAGTGGTTAGAATTGATGAAATTTGAAAAAAATAACAAAAATTGTTTTTTGGGGAATTGAAATTTTTTTTTCGATGCAAATTTCTGCTTACTTTTTCGAAAAAAATTGAAAGATCAAGGCTATATACATTATCAGACTAGAAAAACGTTGTTCGCGCTTGGAATGGCTCGAACTATTTCAAACAAAAAACTTTAAATCTCTCAAAATCAGCTTTTCAAGGTGGAATCAATAATTCCTATGACGAAAACTTGGGAGGCTCGTGGCGGCGAAACTCCCTTGAACATACCAACTTGTGGATTCACTGGGTATTATCCAAAGGATAATTTGAAGAACATTATTAAAATTCAGAAACGATTGCCCACAGACGTTTGTTCAAAAGTACTTGGCCATAATCCTTGGGTCGGTCGGTGCCGCCGTTTTTTTGATCATTTTCGTCATGTCTTCAACTATTTGCTTGGTCAGGTATGTCACTTCGAAAAAAAAATCGACAAAGGGAAAAAATTTGGTTCAGATTGAAAAAAGAAGAAGAAGAGAGACTGAACAAGCAATGGCAAGTGGATTTCTCGGCTCTCACAGTTCCAGCAGCTAATAATGCAAAGGTAATTTTTCGCTCTGGAAAAAAAAAATTCAAACTTCTTGTTGAGATATTATTTGCTTCGCAGTGGATGTTTCTTCAAGTTTTAACAATTTTTGTGACAATTTTTTTTTCATAAAGGGATCATTTGTTCAAACGTCAGGGGTCCCTATAGGGGTTGCTTCAAGGTTGCTCCTATAGGGATCAATCTGGAGTTCGTAAGTGCGTGCGTTTTGATGAGTCGAAGTTGATTGCACCTTTAAAATTGACTTGAACTTTTTTAATTTTGGAATTTAAAGAGAATGGCGAGTTCCCGGTCCCTTCAAAGTACAATAACAACGAACACAAAGTTGACTATCGACTCCAAGAAGGTTTTTTTTTCGTTTTTTGGAAGTTCAACTAGATTATATGAACTTCACATGATTTTGGCGATTCCAAAAGTTTCTGAAGATTTGCTGAAAATCTAAAAATTCAGGAAACAGAGAGACACGCCTTCTTCTTCATGGGGAAAGAGCAAGTCGTTGCTCGAAAGCATGCGACAGCAGTTATGTTGAGAAAAGAGCAGAAGGCCATGTTAAGAAAGGTTTTTTTTTTCAAATAAAATCGTGAACTATCGAGAATGAATAACGCGTCGCGGTACCGCTGTGGTTCGGATCAGAACTAAAGGAAAAGTCACATAGAGCAAATTGCTTCAATGCTTTCATATACACTCGTGCGTAAACCGTTTCAGGTCGGATTCATTTTATTATTATTTTTTCCTGAGCATTAACGCGACCACGGCGCTTGAAACCGTTCCAATTTCAAGTAAAGACTTTAATGAAAAAATTCAGAGCAGAATGGCTGGTCACGATAATCTATGCAAGTTTTATGGTCTTTGTCAGAACGGACCGATGCTATATACTATTTGGCGGTATTGCGAGCGTGGATCCTTATTGGTATGTTAAACGCGACGCGACCGTAACGCATGGAACTTTCAAGGATGTGATAGCCAAAGGGTCCTTGCAAATGGACTGGTTCTTCAAGTACTCGCTGATCAGAGATATTGCTGAGGTTTGGCTTGAAACTTCAAAAAAAAAAATTTGGCTTCTAACCAAAAGCTTACAAAACAGAAAAACCTAAAAAGGCAATGGTACTTCATAGGAAATTCAATTAGAGATTAAAAAACGAAATTTAAGGGCCTCTTCTTCGTCCACCATAACTTCGGAGCACACGGTTGGCTGAGTTCCAGCACCTGCCTAGTTGATGAACGTTGGCGAGTTAAAATCACGTTTTATTGCATGGATTTCATCAAAAAAGTTGAGCCAAGAACACCGAATGGTAATTTTTTCGAAAAACATTTTCTCAACATAAATCCTTCTCAGATTCTCTATGGACGGCTCCTGAAATACTGCGCGATCCCACTCTTGTTCCTTGTAAAGAAGCCGATATTTATAGGTAGTTAATGTACTAAATTTGCCAATTCAGTCTGACTTGTCTGCGCCCTCTTTCCCTTGACGGCGAGGTCAAAGATTACATATAGTCCGTCGCCGCGACTTGACAGTTTTCGCCTGTCTGCGTCTCTCTGTTCCCTCATCGGCGAAGTCAGAGAAAAATGGAAATAGCACGTAAACATGAGAGTGGCGTCGAGAGATAAGGAGGGCGCAGAGAAGACAAGTCGCGAAAAACGGACTTTAAAGTTAGGCAAGAAAAGCCAGAAACTTTCGAATTTTGGCGAATAAAGTGTAAACGAAGATTGAATAAACGTTTTTTTTACAGCTTCGCAATCGTGTGCTCTGAAGTGATCACTAAAAAGTCGGCCTGGGACCTGGAGAACTCCAATATCGACTTGGATGGTATTGGTCTCACGGGATCTTGACGAAAAATTAATGAAATTCAGAAGTGATCTACAAGGTGAAAAAAGGTGGCCGGAATCCGTTCAGACCTCTTTTGGAAACTGAAGACGAACACAACGTATCTTTATCTCTGCTAGTGAGGTAAGAAAGAAAATTTATAGTTGCGCTTGGAACAATACAAAGGTGAGCGGTTGGAAGCCGACTTGAATTTTCGCAGTTTGCTTCAATTCTTGAAATTCCTTCACTCGCAATTCGTATCGAGTCGGCGACTCTTGAAGCTTGAAACGAACCATTCTGGGTGCGGCCAAGACGTTTTAAGTCAGCCGGCCCGAATGGACTTCGGATCGAGCATATCTTTTCAGAGACTGTTGGACGGAGGAGCCAGATCGAAGACCCAACATTGATCAAATCAAAAGTTTGATCACAAGCCTGAACCATAGTGGGAGCTCGAATCTCATGGACCATGTCTTCAACGTTCTGGAAACGTATGCTTCCAACCTGGAGGAAGAAGTGAGAAGCTTTGAATTTTTCCTCAATTAGCTAAGTCCCAATTCCAGGTAGAAGCCCGAATGAAGGAGCTGACAGAAGAGAAGAAGAAAAGCGACGTTCTGTTGTACAGAATGTTGCCGAAACAAGTTGCCGACCGCCTTAAGCTCGGCCAGTCAGTTCAGCCGGAAACATTCGACTGCGTTACGATATTTTTCTCCGACGTCGTCTCCTTCACGACTTTGGCCAGCAGATGCACACCACTTCAGGTACTTTTGAGACGATTCAGATTTCCTCTAAGTCTCACGGACGATTCTGAGCCATTAGACACCAGTAAAGTATTACTAGCGCCTATTTAGTGCTAACTTGAAAAAGCTAGACCCATGAGACTCATTCTAAGTATTTTTCAGGTGGTCAACCTGCTCAACAATCTCTACACGACCTTCGACGCGATTATTGGCGAGCACGACGTCTACAAGGTGACGTCATCTCTCGCGAAGAGAACGATTCAGAATATTATAAGGTAGAGACGATCGGAGACGGCTACCTGTGCGTCTCGGGTCTTCCCAAAAGGAACGGGAACGAACACGCGAAGGAGATCGCAGAGATGTCTTTCTCGCTGTTGAGGGCGATCAAGACTCTTCGGATTGATCATCTACCGGCCGAGAGGATCAATATCCGAGTCGGACTTCACACCGGTCCTGTCGTCACTGGAGTTGTAGGCGTGACCATGCCAAGGTTCCGAAAGTTATATATTTTCCTCTGACACTGTGGAAATAATAGGTACTGTCTTTTCGGCGACTCTGTCAACACGGCTAGTCGGATGGAAAGCAATGGGAAACGTGAGGAAAACCGAAAATACCGACAAAATCGATGAAAATTGCAGCTGGAAGAGTCCACATTTCAACGGAAACTATGAAATTCCTGACAGAAGTTATTGGAGGTTACCGTACCGTGGAACGTGGAGAAGTCATCGTCAAAGTGGAGAACTTGATAATTATGTTTGAGATTCAGTTGAATGGTTTCAGGGAAAAGGAGCTGTGCTGACACATTGGCTTTTGACCCCGGAAGAAATCGAAATTGAGGACAGGAAAAATGATTGAAATCTGTGAAAACTCTTCAGAATGAATTGTATTTTCTTTGATGCAAATTTTTTAAGACTGTATCAATTGATTAAAGGATTTTCTTTGGATCAAGGAACTGAAAAGCAGAATCGGATTATTGAAAATGCACCTAGAACTGTGATGATTCTCGAAAAAGTTAAAAATTTTCCCTAAATTTCAAACAAAACCAAGACTTTCGCGCACAAGATCTCCCATTTTTTTTTCTTTATCAGCCCTTAAATTTATCAACTTTCAAACGTATATATTTTTACAGGACACTCCTAAAAAGAAAAATCTCATAAGAATCAAAATGAACATTTTCCTTAATAATAAAATATTTATTAACATCAATGAATGGAATCAAATTGTTATTCATTCCGGGAAAAAAAAGCTACACCGGCTTCGTATAAAATAGCAAAACCTTGATGAAATGGCTTCGATTTGACTCAATTCAACGAGATGAGTTCAAAGTTTCCGGTCAACCTACTCCTGATTTTATTACTCTCCATTTCTTATGTTAAAACAGAAGTTTCTGCTTTTTCTCTTTTCAAAAATCAAAACCATTTGTTTTCAGATCCTCCATGTGGGTCTTTTGGCAGCCCGAGACGACAACATCGATTTGAACTATGTTAGTTTTTGCAAAACTTCCGAATTTCCTAACTTCTCCAACGTAATTTTGAACGTCTATTCAAAAAAAAAAAAGATTATTGAAATGGGAGGAATTAAAGACACTCGGCTGGTCAAGAGTGGCGGCCGCCGTTGGCGTCGCTTGGGACAGAATTATCGAGGAGAAAATTCTACCAACCTACCACCAATTGAAGTTTTATTCTTCTTCATTCAATTTTTCATAGAGATTTTGAGAGTGTTTTCAAATTGCTAAATTAAATGACCCAACTTGCCAATTAATTAATTAATTGAGCTTAACCTGGCTCGTGAGCAATTGCGTCGAGTCAAAAGCCGCCGAGGCGGTCATTTTATACGCCGAAAATGCTCAAGTTCTACTGGGACCGCCTTGTATTGGAAGTTTGACTTTTTATTATTCATTCCAAAAATCTGACGAAAAGCTTTAAAAAAAAGACTAATAAATAGACCTTTTGAAAACTCCATTTTTTTCCGAAGCAAACCCAATGAAAATATCAGCTTTTTTTTGAAAAGTACAAAAATCCTCGGGTAGATCAGCTCTCATAATTATCGAAAATAATCAATTTTAGTTTTCAAATATGTATAACTAGGTTCGAATTCCACAAATTTTACCTTCTTCTCTAGTTTTTTTTTTACTTCCTGCTTCAGCGGCTCTAATCGGAGCCACAGTGGCGAAACATTTGAATTTCCCCTTGGTTCTGTGGGGTCCACCATTTGATGCGGATTTAGAAGACCCCTACGAATATCCCACCATCATGACCACCACTTCAAGCTCTATGACGTGAGTAAAGTCGATGGAAAAGCTCAGAGAGAGAGAGTTGAAGAAATATAACTTGAAAATGTCAAAAAATGCTATATAAAGAGATCTGATAAAAAAAGTTAATTTTTTGTTGAAATCAAATGTTTTTAAAATTTGCTAGTAATGAAAAATTCCTGCAAATAAACCTTGAATAATGAGAGTTTTTTTTTGTTCTTTTTGGGAGCTAGCTTGGGACGCAAAAAAGGTGTGGCCTGTCTGCGCACTCCACCAACCAGGCACTGTCTCTTTTCTGATCGTGTCAGGACCCTTTTTTCTATGGCTCAAATCAGCCGTGAATCAGCTATACTATCAGCCCTGAAGCTGAAGGAAACGTGAAAACAGTACAAAAAATCGGTCTTTCATGCTTAATACTTCCAATTTCCATTAAATCGATTTATGACGGATAATTGCTAAAGAAGCAACAAAAAATAAAAGAAAATAAAAAAAATTGAAAGTTTATGGATCTAACTTCGCGTGAAAAATTTTTATTTGATTTTAGGGACAACCGCAATTTCTGTGCAAACTCAAACATGCAATTTGACAAAATCGAAATGTTTTTACTTTCAAAAATCCAATATTTATGTCCTGGAATATCGCTCTTTTCTCAGCTACGCCATGTCAGTGGTCCGAATCCTTCGGAAATACGCCTGGGGCGAGGTTTCCCTCATCTATCACATAAACCGAAGCGATCTGATTCCGAGATGTGCCCTGGTTGTGAAGAACTTGGACCATTTGATCAATAAGGAGCCGAATATTACGATCACCTATCGCCAACCAATGGACGCGACAAATAAATCCGATATCGATGAGACTTTGTTGGAATTCAAGCAAGTGTCGAGGGGTGAGTTTCGGTCAAGAGAACAAGGTCATACTGTGGGATTGAGAATTTCCTGAAAATTGGAGCCATCCATAATGTACCAGAAAAAGACCTTTTTTTTCTCAGCCTGCAAAATTTTCTAGTTTTCGAGAAAGGGCGCCTTGAAATCTGTGAAAATAGGCCATTTCGGGGATTTGAGTCGTCGTTTCTCATAAACTAAAAAGCTGGGCAGGTTGAGAATTTCAGGACATTTTTCTGGTCCATCAATGAGCTCAATGGCCACTTCTCTAGAATTTCCCGACCGCAAAATAAAATGACTTCCCTTTTTGAACTTTTAAAAATCTAGCACTTTTCCACTTTTCACCCGACTTTTTCAAGATCATTCCAAAACATAAACTTGAGCTTCTTACCACTCAAAGTTCATGAAAATAAAGATCTGTCAAAAATTATCTAATAACAGTGGCGATCCTCTGCGTGGAAGGACAACGTTCGCCTCGAAATATGATGATTTCAATAAATGAGCTGGGGATGGACACGGAAGACTATGTCTACATTATGATACAGAATCGTAGAACTGGCTTTGGTAAGAAAAAAGGTCTAAAAGTCAAAAACCTTCTTTTTAAGACCCGAAATACGTCCAATTTCAAGACGTTGATGATGGAAACGACCCGAAAGCTTATAAAGCTGCCAAAAGATTTATGATAGTGAGTTCAAAAATATATGAACGTTCAAAATTGGAATTGAAGCTTGACAATCAACCGTACAACGATGCGGACGAACTTGCGGAAAAAGTGAAAGAACGTTTCAAAACTTCGCCTTTCAACTGCACAAATTGTACGAACGTCGATGTGGTTTGGGTCTTTTCTCGATTAAAAACTTGAAAATCATTGAAAAAAGGTCGAGTCGAAATAACCTTTTTCAATTTTTACAAGACTTGTCTAACACAACTTTCTTTTGGGAGGACTAGGAAAAAGAAAAATCTTCTAAAGTGTCCACCTAAAAAGGTATCCTCTAAAGTTTCAAAAAATGACTATTAAGATTATGAAAGCTAGGAAAACTAAATTTTCGGGATTTCTTTTCACTAAATCTCAAGTATCAGAAACTCTTCCAGTTTTACAAAAGATGATAAAAAAAAATGACTTTTTCCCTGATTTAAAAAAAAATGCGACCCTTCCATCTTTGAACCGCAGGAAAGGCCATCAATATTTTTTTTTACTAATATACTTCTCTAATGAAGTGTAAACGCTTGAAATAGTGATAAACTTCTGTGCGAAGAATTTCGCTAAAAAAAATTCCTCAGGAAATTTATCAGAAGATTTTTGAAAGGCAATTATTCCAGAGTCCTTTTTAAGCTTTTTTTTACGAGTTGCGTAGGCTTTCACAACACCTCGTTCAACTTTCAAGAATTTCACAATTAATTTTCCTCTCATTCTCTTCCAAGTCCCCTTTTCTGTAACTGAACCATACACGGGAAAGAAAAAACACAATGAGTCCAGGAGGAGGAATTAAATCACGAAAATTTGAAAAATAAGTACTAGAATCAACTTTTAACTTCAAGAAGGTAATGTTGATAATATCAAAACTAAATTTAATCTCGAGGTAGTACCGACTTTGATTTAAGAATAATTCAGATGAGACGGCCTTTTGATGAATTCTGCCCATGAATAAATTGAACAGCAATGAATCAACTATCAAAAAAGGTGGAAACAACTTCAGAAGGATACGAATGTTGGAGCCCTGGCCGATGCGATGCTTCTTTACGCCAAGGCGTTGAACAAAAGTATCGCCGACGGGAAACCGAATCCCACCGGGAGAGAACTTGTTTCTTACGGCTCCAATCTCACTTATCATGGTTTTCTCATTTCATTTACTTTCTCTGAAAATCCTGCCTTAAAACAGCGGGAACTGCAAAGTGTGCGCGGAGCGGTCGCGACGCGTTTTTGGCGCCAATTCAAAAAATATCGCATTTTCTATCGAAATTCTTTTTTATTTGAATAAAAGGGCAAAGAATCTTCTTTGAGAGGCAATTGATATGAATTAGTTTTGTCAACAGGAAACCTGAGAAAACTTACAATTTGAATTGACGCCAAAACTAATTTTCAAGTTGTTCAAAGCCGGCAAAAAATTAATCATAAAAAAATGAAAAATAAAAAAAAATTAAGGCTACTCGGGAGTTTTCATAACAGACGACGATGCGTTACGAGTTCCAGTCTTTCTTGTGTCGATTCTCGACGAAAAAAATGAGGAACTTCACGTTTTGAGAATCGTTGAAAATATGGACAACGAGACCGACTTGGTTTGTTTCTTAAAACTCTTCTGGGAAGCCTTGGCCACGCGGTGAATGGCTTAAAATACGTCGCAAAAGTATAGCTGATTCACGGCTGGCTTGAGCGATCGAAAAATGGGTCCTGTCACGATAAGAGAAGATACAGTGTCTGGTTGGTGGAGAGCGCAGACAGGCCACGCCTACTTAGCGTCCCAAATTAGCCGTGAATCGGCTATAGTTGAGTCGGTCGCGGTCAATCCACGTGCGACCAAACAAAAAAAAAATAAACAAATGATTTAGGTTGAAGAACTCGTGACGCCTGAAGTTATGTGGGCAACTAGAAATGGATTTATTCCACCGAGTCGACCGGATTGCGGATTCTTAGAGTTAGTTGAACTTGAAAGTTTCGAGCGGAATTCGACAGTTACTCAAGAAAAACTATAGAAGAATGAAAAAATTTGGTTGTTTCCAAGAGATCTTCTCCAAAAGCAGTGCTTCATAATGGAAAAAACCTAACGAAAAAAGAAAATGATCTTGATAAGAAAAAACATTTTAATGCTTTGAGAAGTTTCTTGTTTCCTAGAATATGAAAGAGCCGTCTAGAAAGAAAATGAACTTTTTCCAGGAACGAATGCCCCAAAACCTTCGCCGCAAAGTATTTCGGAATGATCTTCGGAACTTCTGGCGGCCTTATTGTCGTCATAGCTCTGTTGATTTTTCTCACTGTTTTTGTGATCCGGTGAATTTTTACCGCAAATGAAAAATAAAAAAGCAATTTTCATAGGATGAAGCGCCAAGAAGAAGAAAGACAAAACAAGTTATGGCAAGTTAATTTCTCCGAGTTATTGAAGCCAATAATCAACAAGGTGAGTCGATAGTTTATTCTGAGAAATTTAAATTAATAAGAAATTTAATTCTTTTCGAAACTTGAAAAAAACAACGTTAAGAGAAAAAAACATCACGTTAAACGACAGAAATAACCAACCTTAGTCAAATAGAGTGTTCCAAAAATTCCTTTTTCTCATTTTTTTACAAATAAAACTACTTATTAGTTAGATCTAATAGTCCAATTACCCATTCATCGATTCACAGTCCTGCAAAAAAACTGAAGAAAAAATAAAAAAAGAAACAGACCTCATTCCGGCCGCACAGCTTCTTGCTTTGAATTTCATTCATTTTTTCTTTTTTTTTTTGGTCCTCGAAATTATTTTATCCATGTCGTCTTCGTGTTTCTCATCTATAAAATCGAAAATTAAGCAGAGAACGAAAAGTTTCCAACTTTTTAAATAGCTGCTCAAGAAGATATGAAGGCCTTAAAACCAAAAAATAACAAATTATCAAAAACAAAACTATTTATTATTAGAAGGTTTTCAAAAATAAAACTTTCGAAGTCAACAAATTTCCATGATTTCCAAACATTAAGCAACGACTGTTCGAGTATTTAATTTCATCGCTCAAACTCCGCCCCTTGTTTTCAAAAAAATGTTTATGAATGTGAACTATAAATTAAAAATTCTTATTCAAAAAAAGTGATCAAAAATTTTGAAAGCTCAAAAAGCTTTTTTTGAAACTTGAAAGAAAGCATCGAGAACCCTTCATTTTTTTCTTCTGAACTTTTTATAAATTATCTGAATTAAAAATTATTTTCTCAGAGTAGCTTCGCCAGTTCGCGATCTCTGCAAAGTGGTGTCGCCTCCGTCGCGAAATTGGACGCGAAAAAGGTTTTTCTATGACTTATAAGCTCAAAATCTTGCGTGATTCCTTGAGGTTCAAACTTTTTAGGCAAAGACTTATTTCGAGTTTTTCTAGTGGACACTTTCTGAAATTCTTTGAAAGTTCAGCCTTCCAAAAGTCTTGAATAGCTATTTTAAATTTATTTAGGCGTCTATATCTATTAAAATTTCCAGGAAACTGACCGTCACTCGTTTTATTTCCTAAGATCCGAGCCAATAGTCGCGAGAAAACATGCAATCAGGATTCGCCTGAATGAACAAGATACAGCTCAATTAAGAAAGGTACAAAAAGCTTACATTCTTTTTTTCTAATCAAAAATATTTCAAAAGATGGGACATGCGAGCCATGACAACGTCTGCAAATTTCTCGGTTTTTGCCAAAACGCGCCGACTTTGCTGACAATTTGGCGATTTTGCCCGAGAGGATCCCTGAAAGTTTGCGGAATATATTTTTAAAACATCGAACAATATGGATGGAACTCAGGACATCATACAGAAAGGATCGATGCAAATGGACTGGTTTTTCAAGTTTTCCATCATTAAAGACATCGTCGAGGTTTCCTATTTTAACCTTTCAAAAATAAAGAATAATTGAAAGTAAAGGCTATTTATTACTTGCATCATTCTTCATTTGGAGCCCATGGTTGGCTCACTTCCAGCACTTGTTTGGTCGATGAACGATGGCAAGTTAAAGTAACGTTTTATGGATTGGATTTCATCAAGAGAATGGAGCCGAAAACGCGCGAAGGTAAGAAATTCAGACTTTACCGAAATTTTTATCAAAAAAAAAGATTGAACAAGCTCAATTGAAATGTATATGAAAAAATAGAGTCAATTCAAATTTTTGATTAGTATTTTTCTGAAAAAAACGGGTAAGAATTAGGAGAGCATCTTTGAAGTGAGATATAATTTGAATTATGAATCCAAAGCAGATATTTCACATCAAAATTAATAGTATAAGGATACAAAACTTTACAAGTTAATTGTTTTGTTGACTTACCAGGTGGAAAGTTTATCGGTTTGTGAATCGAAAAACCAATTATTTCCGTGAAATTGTAATGAAAATATGGAAGAAGGATGAAAAAAAAGGTCTCTTTCGTCATGAAAAAAAAATTTTCGTAAATTTACACGCGCCAATTTTTCATAAAGCGTGAATGCACAATTATCGCCCTACGGTAACCCACAAAAATGAAAATCGAACAAAAATGGCCGTTTTCAATGAGAATTTTGACTTATCTTCCGTTCATGAATCAAAAAAAGACTTTTGAACCAAATTTTTTGATTTAGATCTCCTCTGGACGGCTCCAGAATTAGCACGAGATCCTACTATCCATTCAACAAAAGAAGGCGATATCTACAGCTTTGCCATCATTTGTTCGGAGATTATCACGAAAACTCAAGCCTGGGATTTGGAAAATGCTAATTTGGAGATTGACGGTTAAAAATGCACTAGTAGTTAGCGAAATAATTTTTTAGAAGTGGTTTATTCGATCAAAAAAGGCGGCCACAACCCTTTTCGACCTTCTTTGGACACCGACGAGGAAATAAATCCTTCTTTACCTTTATTAGTGAGGTAAGTTGGAAAAGTCACACCTGTCTGCGCCCTCTTACGTTTACGCACTAATTTGATGTTTCCAAGACTTTGACGGTAAAAGAAAAAGAGTGCAGACAGGTCAGACTTCAAGTTGTGAAGATTTGAGTATTTCTGATGAATTTCAGAGATTGCTGGAACGAAAAGCCAGATCAGAGGCCCAACATTGACCAGATCAAAAATATCGTCAAAGGCTTGAACCAAACGGGGTTATTTCGAAACTTGATCTCTAGATAAAAATATATGAATTTTCAGAAATACCAATCTCATGGACCATGTATTCAGTGTGCTTGAAGCGTACGCGGCAAATTTGGAAGACGATGTGAATATTTGAATTTTTTTCGTTTTATTCAAACAATGGCTAGAAGGTCATGTGCAGCCATTCCGGCCTGGAAAACTTGCTCTGTCGAACAAAGCCTCTGATTGGCCAGTCAATATATTTTTTACAGTTTTGGGGGAAAACTCAAAAATTAAGAGGACCAAAAGCTAACTTAAAGAGCAAAAGGACGAATTTGAACAGCATTAATAATCGCATTTCGCTTCGAAACCCATACCAAAATAAGCCCATGCTCCTTTAAACACCCATGCCAACACTTTTAAAAGAACAAGCTTGAAGTGAACGCAATAACCTTCAATTTGACTAAAAATTTGCAGGTCCAATCTAGAATGAAGGAACTAACGGAGGAGAAAAAGCGAAGCGACGCATTATTGTACCGAATGTTGCCGAAACAAGTCGCTGACCGGCTCAAACTTGGCCAAGGCGTCGAGCCGGAGACTTTTGACTCCGTTACGTTATTCTTCTCTGATGTTGTCTCTTTCACCACCTTGGCCAGCAGGTGTACCCCGCTGCAGGTAGTATTATTTCAGGACTTTTTTTAAAATTAGTTCAGGTAGTAAATCTTCTCAATAATCTCTACACGACCTTCGACGCAATCATCGAGCAACATGACGTTTATAAGGTCTTTTCCACATTTTCTAGAACTTTCCCTAAAATAAGGGTTGAAAATTGGGAGAATAAAGATTTTTATCGAGTTTCTGCGCTCCAGAAGCAATAAATTACTTGCAGAATTCTGCCTTTTACCGCTTAATTTTTTGCGTTGAGTTAGCTTCTGCTCTCGATTAATGATGAAGCTCACGATTTTCGGCTAAATTCACAAAAAAAAAATCATGCGTGCTTTTTTCTCTAAAGCCTTACTTTTGAACTAACCTTTGAACCATGTTTTGAACCAAAAATAAAAGTTTAAAAGAACTTATTCAAGGTGGAGACGATTGGAGATGGCTACCTGTGCGTCTCGGGTCTTCCCAAAAGGAATGGAAACGAACACGCAAAAGAGGTCGCCGAAATGGCTTTTGGCCTTCTTGAAGGCATCAAAACAGTCCGAATTGATCATCTACCAGATGAAAGGATCAATATTCGAGTTGGACTACATACTGGCCCTGTAGTCACTGGGGTTGTAGGCGTGACCATGCCGAGGTAAAGATATTTCCATTTTCGAGGTAGAAAGCTTGAAAATTATGAAATAAAGATTAGAAAATAGAAAAAAAAAGGATTGAGAGAGCTTTAATTTTGAAAAGATATTTGGATAATGAAAGATAGAAGCCCAAAAATTAGGATAAGAAGTCTGAAGTTTTGAAAAAAAAAAAACTCAAATTTTAAAAAATTCCTTGAAGATTTGAAAAGGAATCTTAAAATTTGTGAAAGGAAGCATAACATTCAAGAAAAGCTTTAAAGAGTTTGAAGGGAGCTTGAAAATTGGAATACAAATACAATAAGTCCATTTTAAGAATTTAAAAAAATCTAAATTTAGGTACTGTCTTTTCGGGGACTCGGTCAACACAGCCAGCAAGATGGAAAGCAATGGAAAACGTGAGTTTTTCTCTATTTTTAAAGTAAAAAGTAAAAAACAAGTAATTCTAGCCGGAAGATGTCACATATCCTCGGAAACGATGAAATTTCTGACCGAAGTCATTGGAGGTTATAAAACTGAACTGCGAGGGGAAGTCATGGTCAAGGTTTAGTTTCAATTTTTGATAGATTTATAGCAAAAAGAGCTTAGATTAATGAAATCTTTGAGTATGAAAAAGAAAAACTTACAGGGTAAAGGAGCTGTGGAGACGCATTGGCTTCTGACAGCCGAAGAAATCGCTCTCCGCGAAAACAATCAATGATTTCTCTTTTTTTCCTGCTTCATTGTAGTTTAAACTATTTTTTAGTTCAATTTGCTACTCAATATGGCAAAAAAAAACCTATTGAAATGGACAAGAAATCACTCAAACTCAATTTAAAACGTTTCTTTATTTAACTATTCATTGCTTCCTCGGATCATCAATTCGAAAAAAATGCCTAGCCGGCCTCAATGTGCTTTTTTTAATTCGACCAAAGCTCATGACTCAAAAAAATAGGTTTTTTTATAAAAGAGTGATTAGGGATGAGTTAAAAAAATGATATGGAGAAAAAAACTTGGTTAAAAAGCTTTTGCTCAAGTTTGAAGGCACATGGACAATACGTCAAAAGATATCCCGACGCGAAATTGATTATTTTCTCGAAATTTTTATTATAATCAGCTGAAAGACACGATTTTGTATTATTAATCGTTTCTAACCTATTTATCGAGCCTCAACGATGCGCCTTGAAAAGTTTTTCGAAACAAGATGATAATTCAACTTTTCGAAGCAAATAACAATTTGCATTAAACATTTCTTCAAGTCTCCAATCAAAAAACAATAAAAAATTTATTTACAATAAGAAAACGAATAAAAATCAAAAAAGGACTATCTAATCCCTGATGAAATGATCACAAGCGACCCGGTGGGACTGGTTTGCTTCCGACTTATACAAGCAAATACCCGATTTCGTATCCGTTTTTGAAAAAATAACATGACGACTCTGAATTGAATAATTATAAAAAGAGAATTTCGAGTCGATGATACCCATCAAGGACGTGAATGAACAGAAAAGAGCCGGATTGAACCGTGAATTGGAACCAAATGGCTGGGCTAAGAGTTGAAGTGATCATCATGTTGAAAAGGTCGAAGACGTGGAGACAGTCTTGACAGGTGCTCTGGAAGAAAATTAAACGATTTTTAGAGAAAAATGGACAGTGAAAAAAATGCCATTTTTTTTTTTACAGCTTCTCATTTTGTCCGACCTGCAACTGAGTAAAGAAAGTCTTATTTATACGCGGGAGGAAACAATTTTGAAGTGGCCACGAAAAAAGCATATTCAAGTAAAAATGCTTTCAAGCATCATTTTTCGTTTCTAACTCTCTCTTCTGCTTCATGAAAGCCTAGAGCCTGAAATGTTCAAACACAGAACATTTTTTGTAAATCTTAGGACACGGTGAGCAACTTTTTGTACACCTAACTAGGGAACGTTTTTTACCCCCCGGTTGAACTTTTGCTGAAACTTTGCCGAAGTGTACTTTAGGACCCCCTGATTCCAGAACAGGAAGAAAAATTCTCGCAATAGATCTCGTTTTCGAGTTAGGACACTTCAAAAGCCCGAAATAGCGCTTTTTTGGCCTAATTTGCGTATTTTGCACACTTTGAAGCTCCATAACTCGGAAACAAGATCAATTGCGAGAAATTTTTTTCTTGGTCTGCAATCAGGGGGTCCTAAAGTACACTTCAGCAAAGTTTCAGCAAAAGTTCAAACGGGGGGTAAAAAACGTTCCCTGGTAAATGAGCAGACAAAAAGTTAAATTATCCTGGGAAAAACTAGTGGCCCCTTGAGAGGTTCCTCAAGGACTTGGAGAGGACACTGAAGTTGTCACTCAAACCACCTTATAAAAGCCAATACTCTTCATCTTAGTGGTTACTATAAAACTTTCTATGTCTTAGTGAAACGAATTACACTTCTAAAAAGGCCACCAAGTTTCAATCAATTGAGTGACCACTAATTCTACTACCCCAGTAACCGATGTATCGTCAAAACCCTAAAGTCATCACTGAAAATTTTCACCGTCATACCTGAATAAACATCCTCGTTCTCTCCCGCCTCCTACTAACGGACAACGACTGCGATATTGATGATTCGTCCTTCATCTTGAACATTTCCTTACATTAAAAATCAAGACAGCAGCTACCCTACCGCCATCAAAACAAGCTTGACCATCGTCGCCAAATTACACGAATTAGACGTTATCGAAGCTCCAAAAACCAGTATCAACATGACATTATCAAAAGGGGCCGAACATTCGTAATCTTCAGAGCCCCAAGACAACATATCAGCGAAATAAATGAATGAACAGTTTTCTGGAAAAAGAAACGGCAGTGTAAATAAGAAAGCTTTGAAACTTCTGAAGGGAACTATAAATGCAAAAATGAAAGGAAAAACTCAGCCTCCAATACTTATGCGCTAATACAACTTGATGACGTTTTTACTGCTACTCGGACATTGGAAAAGCGAAACGGACGTGCTCCGGACGTTTCTGGGCGGTTCTAGATGCTTTGCTGACGCTACTGAAGTGGTCACTAGAAATGCCACGCTGACGCCACTAAAGTGGTCACTAGAAATGCCACGCTGACGCCACTAAAGTGGTCACTAGAAATGCCACGCTGACGCTGCTTAAGTGGTCACTAGAAATGACGTGCTGACGCCACTAAAGTGGTCACTAGAAATGACGTGCTGACGCTGCTAAAGTGGTCACTAGAAATGACGTGCTGACGCTGCTAAAGTGGTCACTAGAAATGCCAGGCTGACGCCGCTAAAGTGGTCACTAGAAATGACGTGCTGACGCCGCTAAAGTGGTCACTAGAAATGCCAGGCTGACGCCGCTAAAGTGGTCACTAGAAATGACGTGCTGACGCCGCTAAAGTGGTCACTAGAAATGCCAGGCTGACGCCGCTAAAGTGGTCACTAGAAATGACGTGCTGACGCCGCTAAAGTGGTCACTAGAAATGCCAGGCTGACGCCGCTAAAGTGGTCACTAGAAATGACGTGCTGACGCTACTAAACTGGCCACTAGAAATGCCAGGCTGACGCTGCTAAAGTGGTCACTAGAAATGACGTGCTGACGCTGCTAAAGTGGTCACTAGAAATGACGTGCTGACGCCGCTAAAGTGGTCACTAGAAATGCCCATAAACGTCCGGAGCACATTCGTTTCGCGTTATCAATCTTTCAAGTACTATTGGTCTGATTTTTTTTTCTGAGAACCTCCTTGCTGAGTATTCCAGTAATCCCTAGCACATTTTCTTCCTATTTATTCCTTCTGAGGGTTCAAAAATTACCTCGAAATCCCGTGAAAGCTGACCCGACAGAAAAAACCCAGCAACTTCCTAGAGCGACCTAAAAATTGTTTTTTTAATTTTAAAATTCCTAAAAACCTACCGAAGTGACATCAACCGGATACGAGGTCATGAACGCGTATGGGAAATAAACGGCAATAAATCGATTGATCGCCATGCAAGTTTGAGCGAATGGACCTACGAAAGTCAATCAATAAATCGATAAAAGTTCAAATTTACCCATCAAATAGCCTGTCCAACCGGATATTAATCCGAAAATGACATTTCCAAGCCAAGGTAGGTAATAACCGTTCCTAGAAAAGATTATAAGCTTTTAGAAATCTGAAATTTCCTGTGAAATTCTTGGGAAAGCCCATATTTTTCGATGAATTTTGGGGAAAGGGTCTGCGACGAAAGTCCGTTTGAGAATAAAATTTTATTCTTTTCGAAACTTTACTGCTATATCCTGAGTTCAAAAAAAAAGGTTCCAATTTCATTTTTCACACGACACAACCATCGTACAAGTCCTGTTCGAAACTCCTTTTTTTCCAAAATTTTAGTCTCTCTCCCTTAAAAATTTACAAACTTACATCAAAGCGCACGGTACACACCAAACGAGGAAACAGAAGCAAATCATATTATTACTGATCGTTTTGGAAATACACATTTTTTTGAGAAGCCTCCGTTCTCTTTCAAGCTGCTCCAAAGGCCGTAAAAGGCAAAGGCGTTGAATAGAAGGCCGGAAATACTCATCTGAAAAATATTTGAATGAACTAGAATTCGAAAAAAATCGAAGTGATCAGCATGGATGAAAACAGTCTTTTCTGAAATTTTGTCCAAAAAAACTAAAAAAAGGAAGCTCATTTTTTAATTGATAATGAAAAACTTCTTAAGATTTTCCAGATTACTTCTTGAATGCCGATCCCTAAAGGTTGATGACTTGCAAGTATTTTGGCAGTTTTCCAGCAAATTGCAAACTGAAAAATAACATTTACTCCCTTAGAAATTGGTAACTCGAATCGGACATGTGGGGACATTTTGTGACCACTACAGTAGCGTCAGCACTCTTAAGTGATCCCTAGAATCGCTCAGAAACGCCCGGTTTTAGTTACCGAGATCCGAGTCTTCATTAAGTGAAAAAATAAATGAAAATGACTGAAAGTTCAGTGAGAATGTGCTCCATGAAAAAAAAAGGAATTTGAAACCAATAAATCTCACCAAAAACATAACCGCCGCCGCGGTGATTCTCAACGCATCCGAGGCCGGTTCAAACGGAATATCGTCCATTTTTCTTTAAAAACTCGAGTTAAATCAAAAAACACTGCCCGCAAAAAGTTTGAAACGAATATAAAAGGGATAAATTTGCCGGCAAGCATGGGATCTACAAATCCACCTGCCTGCACGGTGGTGGATTCTTGAAGACTAAAATTCCAGATGATGTTAAACTTTTTTGCAGGTGAAGCTTGGAACCACAGCGATCAGTTCTCGAAAAAATTTTGCTTAAAATACACGACATATAAGCGGAAATGTCGTTTCAATAGCTAAAAATTTGGCTAAAAATTCGTCATTATATAGTTAGAGCAAATATTTTTTTAAAGGAATCAAATTATATTTAGGCTTTAAAATGATCAAAAAAATTGTTAAAGGTATCTTCCATTTGGCAAAAAGCTGTAAAAAAACGGTAGAAAAAAATGGCCAAGGGATCGAAGATTTTTTTGCGCCCCACGGACAATTTTACATGTTCTCGATTGAAAAATCAAATAAATTGAGCAAAAAAAGCAACTTCGACAGTTTTTCATGGCCATTTGCACTAATTCACCGGAAATTTTTTTCATTCTTAATATTTATTTATCCAACCTTTTTTTGTTACATTTTTGATTTTTTTGAAAAGAGAATCAATAAAAAAATTATTCAAGCTAAAAAAAATTATTCAAGGTTCCATCAAACTTTTTTTCTCTTATTTTTCCATGCGCGTTGGATATCAAAAATCAGTTTTTCAAAAGCCCATTTCTGATTGTAGAGATGTGAAAAACGAGCTGCGATCACAAGAATCTTTCACGCTCCACTGATAATTTTGGGATTATCGACCAAAATTCAAAAAAGAAGTTATTTTCGAAATTTCCACACTTTCTGGGCTTTCAATATGGTTTTACTTCCCCAAAATGCAATATCTCAAAATTAAGCCGTCATTTTTACTGATTCAAAAATGAAAATTCTCACACGCGGCTATCTTCTTAAAATTTACTTCGTTCTAGCTCAAAAAAAAAGTCAGAAAGCCTCAATCTTCAATCTCTGAACTTTTCTCGAAAATTTGACTTCCTTTTTTTTCACTTTCCACCTGAAACGCTGCATTAAGAATCAAAATTTGACCTTTTTGGAGGCGAAACCTGAAATTCTCCTTCCATCCAAGCTATTTCTGTTCATTTCAAAAAAAAAACTTTGAAAAACTGCCAAGGATTTGCTTCGCTTTGTAAGCCACCAAGACAAATGACCCGGCTTAAAAATCGGCCAAAATGAGGAAGGAGGAAAAAACGAGTTCATTTTTCATTTAAACTATGTAACTTTTGATTTCTGTTTTTTTTATCCAAGCTGCATATGAGAGCAAAAAAAAAAGGAAATTCTTTGAATTCAAGGGTTTACGACGGTCGTTTCGATGCGGAATATTTTGCTTTTTCTCCTTTTGGTTCTATTTGAAAGAGTTTGTTTAACGGAACTGCCAGAGGAATCGATTCAAATAGATAATAACACGGTTTTTGTACTGTTCGGGACCAGGTTGGTTTCAAAAGTTGATTTTAAAAAGGTAGCCAAAAATTAGTTTTCTTATGACTACATTATTTCATGAATTTACTTGGAAACAAAATTGAGCTCTACAAAATCGAAATTAAGAAAATTCTCATTTGGAATCGATATCAAAGAAGCAAAATCAGAAAATACGTCCATTAAATCAGTGAATCTTTTAATTGCTGAATTTTTGATCTTTGCATACACTCGAAACTTTTATCATTACTTCTAAAATCTCAAAGAAATCTCTTTTTTTCCGAATTCCCTGACATATTCAGGCATGGAAATCGTCATCCGGAAGTTTTCCTTGCCGAAAATCCGCGAAGTTGGGGATTCGAGGGGAGTACCGAGCTGACAAGTGTAAGTTACTTCATTTGTTATAAAGTTCAAGAAACAGGTCCTAGAACGATTCTACAGTAACCTAGCAGTTTATGACAAGCTTGAGCTGAATTTACAAAATTCTTTGAAATGAAACTGCAAATTTTCAGTTCGGCAAGCGACAAGGCTATGGACTCGGCAAGGAATTGAGGAAATTCATTGGGAAATTGGTAACTTTATCCATTTTTATATGAGATTTTCGTAAAACTTGAAAAATTCTCACTTCTCTGCGCTCTCTCGGACAGACGCGCCTTTTTCATGATTCTATGACCCAGAGAGCGCAGACAGGTCAGATAATTTCAAAGCTTTCCGAATAGACTATAATTTTTTTTTTGAGAATTAAAACAAAATTAAGGTTTCAAACAACTACAATATGTCACAAGTCAGATACTATTCCAGTTCGGCGAACCGATGCCAAATGACCTTACAAGTGAGTATTAAATCTACAGTATTTTTGAAAATCAAGCTGCGGTTTTTAAAGGCGCATGGGGAATTTAATACAGGTCTCGAGGCGAAGAGCCACTTTCATGGAGCTTAAAGCACACGAGCAGGGATTTCTAACCAGATTATAGTTTTTCTTTTTTTTCAAAAACCGATGAAGCATGAGAAAATTCTAAAAGTGCAGCTTATCAAGCAAATCTAATCTTGTTCTTTGCGTAAGAAAACGAAATGAATGAAAAAAAAAAAGCGAGACGCAATCAACTATTTGACATTATGGGTAATGGGCCAAGTAAGTCTATTTATTGTTCAAAGATTAGAATTGAGCGAGCGAAGTATACCTTAAGAAAAATATTTAATTGTTTGATATATCCCCCAACTATTCAGACAACAGTGGCCGGAATCCATCCACCGGAAAAACTGGGCCGACTGGAACACTGAACTATTCGATCATTGGAGCCCGATTCCCTACACAATTAACGATGCGATGCTCCGGCTGTACAGTGTTGATGAATGTACCAAAAAGTGACGAAGGTGAAATCGAGCTTTGTTGAATTTTTTTAATTGTTTAAAATTGCCTTTTGAATCAAAAAAATCATATTTGTCCAAAAAAATGAACTTATAAGAGACTTTTCTTGGAGCTGTTAATGAAAAATTTGCTGAAGTGTACTTGAGGATTTTCAGAATGATAAAAATCCAGAAATGAGGGAAAAAAACTTCTAGAAAAAAATATTTTTTTCTAAATAAAGACGCTTAAAAAGTTTGTAAAACACGAAACTGGAAGAAAAAAAGAGTTTTTAAAAGCCTTTTTAAGCGCAATAACTCAAAAAAATATCATTTATGTGATCAGGAGATTCTGAGGTACATTTCCGCCGACTCCCATCTAAACTTCAAACGAGGGCTGTAAGTTCCCTTACCACTTAAAATTTGTCTCACAAAAAACTTTTTTTCCATCGACGACTTAAAGAAACAACACCTCCTTCCATTCGAACAGATTTTTAAGACTAAAAAAATGGATTACAGTTTGGAAACCGATAATTGAAGACAGCCTGGCAAATCTTCAAAAAAAGAAGAAAGATCATCAAGATTTATTGGAATACATCGGGAAGCACACCGGCTGGAATATGACCAGCCTTGGGAGAGCTGCTGATTTGGCTGACAACCTTATTGAAATTGTGAGTCAATGACTATTTTCTTAGGATCAGTAATAATTTTAAAAAGGGGTTTTTCGGTTCAATTTCCAAGTTTATTTTTTATATTAATTTGCCCATACACAATTCGAAGTGCTGAAAAAAACAATATAAATCAAAAATTTAAATCAATTTTTTTCTCTGCAAAAAAATATAATTTCAAACTCCAGGACCTATTCGGATCTACCTATCCTGACTGGATCAAACATCCAAGACTTGTCGGGTACGATTTCGAAAAGATGCGGGCCGAAATAATGAGCTTTGGTTAGTGAATGTCCTTTTATTAAATAAACCTTAAAAATTTTCAATTTTTCCAGCCGAAATTCATCAAATCGCCTGCGCTGACTATGAACCTTGCGGAGGATTAATGGCCGGCCGATGGTTACAGGATATTTTGGACAAACTGCAAAAGGCTTCCGAAGGCCGAGGCCCGAGTTTGGTTGGATACGCTTCGGTGAGAATGAAATTAACCAACAATTTGAACAGGTAAAAGTCCCTAAAGTATATTTCAATTCCCTGGAGTCAGAAAAAAAACTCCACCATATAGTTTCGTAAGATAAAAATACAAAAAAGTTCAAAGAGTTCGAAATTTTTTATTTTCAAGCGTTTTTTGAATTTTTTTGTTTTGATTTGTTAAATTTACAATGCTTTCTGTGATCTTTTTGAAACTAGGAATTATATTAAGCGAATTTTTTTAGTCTGTGAACCCAACTTTGAACGAAGTCTTTTTTTCCGAATTATTTAAACTGCCCAAGTTAGATTCAAAAATTGGAAGACTTGAGTTTCTTAACTCGTTCACTGACCGTAAACCAGAATCAAAGTCAAGAATAAAAACATTTTTTTAGCACACGGAGATCACCTTATCCGTTATGAAACTAATGGGAATTGAAAAGGAAGAATTGACGACCTCGGCCGGATTCATTATCGAACTAAGGTTTTTTTATATAAAAATAAATTTTACTTTCAAAAAAAAAACAAAAAAACCCCGGCGCCGGCTATCCGACTACTCAATCACGATCCCAACCCTATTGATAAACACGTAATTTATCAGGTTATTATCATTTCTTCACTGAAAAAAAAGTTTTTTTTTCAGGCTAAACTTTCCAACAAATTCGATACGAAAATCCAATCCGACGGGTTCATTCTACTCGAAGATTTTGTCAAAATCGTGGGCAGCAAGGTATTTTTTCCTCATTAAAAATGAGTAGCGATATTTTCAGGCCTATTCCAAGTGGAGGACGGCGTGTGGAATCGCGTGAAAATGTTGAGAAATCGAAGGAAACTGTAGAAAACCTCGTGGAAAACTGAACAAACTCTTTTTTTTTAGTTCAAATAAAATTACCATGATAACTTATTGCAGTATAACATTTCATTTACTTTGCATTTCACGGAAATTACTTTGAACACAGAATCAAATGAAAAGATTTTGAAATCGCTCGATTTCAGAAAAAGGAAAACAACGACTAAACTCATTTCTAAATGTCCAAACTGTGGAAAACGGTCGTCTTCAGTTTGTTCATTCGCTCGATTCTTCCGTATGAACTCGAAAACTTCGATCAGAACTTGGTTTAATGTTTTTCTCAATTTTTGGCAAAAATATCACACAACTTCAAAAAGCTGGATGTTTCAAAGCATACTGAACTTTTCGAAAAAGCATAGTCGAAAATTGGTCTCACTGAGAATATTTTAAGTCATCTATGATTTTTTTTTTTCCTTATCTAGGATGAAATATTTGATGGTACGACAAAATCTCAAGTCCGCAAATCTCGAGGACCGTAATCTTGTGTACGCAGATCTAAAGTCCCATAATCTTGGAAACCACAATCTTGGAAAGCAAAAATCTTCCTTTTTAGTCTTCTTTATTGCACTTTATCTACTTATATTCTCTTGTTTGGATCACCGAATACAATTTCTGATAAAATCTATTCCACAGTGTTCCCAAACGAGCGGCAGCTGTGGTCAGTAGGCGTGGCTAACTGCAACAGCGGCACGGTTTATTGCAATAGGGGCGCGGGGATGAGAGTCAAGTTTTGTGGATTTAGTGGTTGGAAAAAGACCATTAAATGATGTTTTTCCTAGGTTCTCGCAAGTTTTCGAAGATTTTTAATGTGTATATAATTATAACGAACAAATTTAAATGAAAAAAAGAGACGAAAAAAAGTTTTTTTGCAAAAACAAAAATATCTCCCAAAAATGTCGTTTTTTTAGGAAAAACTCGTCAAATCGAACTTCCAAAGGGAAAAATTGAGAAAAAAAGCTCAAAGCACTTCTTTTTAAGAAATACCACTTGAACGTTTTAAAACAAAAAAACAGATACATAATAGCTTGTAGGAATAAAGTTGTCACCCAAAATGACATTTTCAAGAATAAATTCGTCGGATACTGCCTCGAAAAAAAAATTTTGAGAAAAATCTCACAGCGTTTCTCTCAAGAAAGTCCATTCGAAAATTCAAAAACAAAAAAACAAACGAAATATCTTATGCGAAATAAGTTGTCATCAAAAATGTCATTTTAATGCAAATTTCTGTGACGAGAACAATCGAAAATCACTTCAAATCTCTGGAAAACGCGATAAACACGTTTTAAGAACACATACAGCGTGAAAAAATACGAAAGAATGGTAAAAAACGCAAGAAAAAGAGAAAAAACCGTATTAAAAGTGAATGAAATTTTGTGGGGGTGACACGCGCCGCACCGCGTTGCGTTAGAAAAAACTCGCGTTTTCGCCCCATTGCGACGACCTTTTTTTTGGCTTGCCGCCGTCTCTTTTGGAACACTGTGATTCGCAAAAGCGTTGATTTTTACTTTCCAAGATTGTGGTTTCCAAGATTATGGGACTTTAGATCTGCGTACACAAGATTACGGTCCTCGAGATTTGCGGACTTGAGGTTTTTGTCGTATCATCAAATATTTATCAAAAACCCCTTTCTAGATTTGCCCATCGATAAAGGATGGCGATCTGACGACAAGAACTGAGCTCGCATACGTTTTCTGTCCGAGAAACTCGGTGATTCTTTCATTTATCACGAATTTAACCTTTTTTGTGGTTACCAGAGATGCTTCGTTGAAATCAAGCCCAAAAAAGCGGATAGAGAGAATCAAATCAAAATGGTGATCAATGTCGGCTGCACGGCGGATAATGTGAATTGAAAAACAGACCGACGTGGGATTTTTGAATGAGAATGAGTTCTTCAAGCAGTTTTTCACGCAAATTTCGGATCTAGGCTCAAAAATTGCCGAGGAAATTGGGAAAGAAGTCAGGTTTTATCAATATAGGCTCTTCCGCTGGTACAACTAGAGCGTGTGAGAAATTTAAAAAACTTATTCGTTGGTCCAAAATTTCAGTATCTATCCATGCCTACTAACATCATAACTATCGTCAAATAAGGTCTCAGAAAATTGATATCTTTTTAAAATAGGCAAGTCAAAAAAAAAAAACCGAATAAATCCTTAATGCTGAAAAATATACCTTACAGGATTTTGTATGATCTAATTTAACCAATTTTCTTCAAAAAACGAAAAATCGATACTTCTCATCATCTATGCCAGTTATATCAGTATCCACCCTCAGAATATAAGCTCAATCGAAGACTTTTTCAATTCTCAGCGCTGATAGCTTCTCTCACAGTTTTTTTCGGGAGTTTTCTAGCCTAGAGTCGAAATTCTTGTGAAAAAGTGCCCCTAATTAATGCCTGTCTAATTCAAAAGTCCTACTAGGAACTCAGACACAATTCTAGTTGAAAAACGAAAGTTTCCGACCGAAAAAATTTCAGGTATTCCTCGATTTGTGCAAAAAAACTGGGGAAAATTGTGTTCACAGTTACACGCCGAAGAGCGTCTACGCTAGCACGATCTGTTGCGCTTCGAACCCCTCACAAGTTTTCAGGGTATTTTCTTGTTTTTTTTAAGCCTTAAATGACCACAAATACCTCTTAAAACAGCTCTTCGCCTCGATAACCTAATAACATCAGTCCATGCGCCTTTAAACTCATATGTATGAAGTTTTCCAAATAAATGGAAACAATGTTTTCAGACCATTGGCTATCGAATAATGTACGAGTCGGAATTTAAGCGCGTTCGAAATATCCTACGTGACTCTGTAATTTTTCAATTTTTAACTTTATTTTTCTCTGAATCAACTTTCAGGAAAGGCTCCACAATTTCGATGATTATAAAGATAATCCGGTAATTTTTTTTCTATTTTATTATGCTGAAAATTTTTTGCTGAGCTTGTTGAAACTTAGCATGAACTTTTGTTTAAAACTTTTGTCAATGCGTCTTTCAACGTAACAGCAAGAAATTTTAAAAGCTGCGAAAAATTATTTTCATGATTTCCAACCTATTAAGATCGACAAAGTTTGGCTAGTCGTAATCATCGTCTTGTCGAGCGTCGTTTTTGGCATGTCCGTGATGTGCTCCATCCTCACGCTTCTTCAATATCGCTATTACTGAAAGGAATGAATAAAAATATGATCACGCCTTTTGTTCGAAGCAAAATTGTTTTATTACGCCAAAAAACTTCCACGCACAGGTCCCATAAATTTTTCGCAGAGGTATGACGGAGGAAAAATCATGAATAAGTTGATAAGAAACGATAAATAAAAATATTAATCACTTGAAGTTCGAAAAAATGAAACTTTAAAATTCGCGCGCCGTTTTGCTTTGGAGCAGATTTGCTTATTGTCGATTTACGTTTCCAGTTTTCAACGAGAACTCTTTCTAAATTTATATTCTGTTTTTTTCTTTCGTTACATAAAAAAACAGGATTATCTTCGAAACTAAAAAGCTAGTTTAACTGGGTGACCTCGCGTTGTTTACACCAACTGGTCAGCGTTTCTCTTATCTATCCTCCTTTTTTCGTCGCGTTCTTTTTAAAAATTTTCTTGCAGAAAATGAATGTATTGATACGACTTCAACCTCGAATTTTTTGTCGCAGTTTCTCAAGTTTCAAAGGTTTATTTTTGCTGTTTTTCTATTTTGTTTGATTTATTTTCAGAGCTTCCTCGATGTGAAATGATAAAAACCGAGAAAGTTGGTGAGAAATCAAATGTCGGACTGATTACGTTCAACCGTCCTCGACAATTCAACGCGCTGTGTCTACAATTAATCAAGGAGGTTTTTTCTTTAGAATTTATGGAAAATTCATTGTTTCTTAAGGTTGCTGACACTTTGGAGCATTTTGATAACGATGAGACGGTTGGGGCGACAGTTATCACTGGAAATGAGAAGCACTTCAGCGGTAATAATATTCTTTTTTTTCAATTAAAAATCAAAATATCCCCTAGCCGGAGCCGATATCAAAGAAATGGCTGGAAAAGAGTTTGCCGCATCGTACAAAAAAGACTTCCTAGTCGATTGGGATCGGATAAGGACTGTTAAAAAGCCGATTATTGCCGCTGTCAACGGGTATTTTTAAATGGGTATCTAAAACTTCACAAGGATTTTTTCAGTTACGCATTTGGAGGTGGAAATGAGCTCTCCATGATTTGCGATATCGTTTATGCGGGCGAAAAAGCCGTCTTTTCGCAGCCGGAAATCAATATTGGCACGATTCCAGGTTCCTAGCTTGAATAATAAAGTTTGAATTATGATTTAAAAATTGAATAATGGATAATCGGCAAGTTTAATTTCTAAAAAACTAGTGAGGTTATCTTTCAAAAAAAACGTAAATATTTTCTCTCAAGGAGCTGGAGGAACTCAAGGCTGGTCTCGATTTGGATCGAAATCCTGGGCCATGGAAGTTTGTCTGACAGGTAATCGGTTCACAGCGCAGGAGGCTCAAATGGCCGGCATTGTGAGTCGGGTAGGTTAACATGAGCAATGAATAGCAACATCGAAGAATAGTTCAGATATTCCCCCCGAAAGAGCTCGTCAGTGAAGCAATCAAGCTCGGAGAGAAAATTTCCAGCAAATCGCCGATTCTAATCCAAATGATCAAGGTTTTTTGTCGATGGGGCGAATTTGGTAAGAATTATGATGAATTTAGGAAGCTGTCAAAGTGGCCTACGAGACGAATATGCAGCAAGGCTTGCAGTATGAGAGAAGGCTCTTCCATTCAACTTTTGCTACAGTTAGAAAAAAAAGCAATACTTTCAAAAAAAAATTGAAAATATTAAGAACGACCAGAAGGAGGGAATGACGGCGTTCGCACAGAAACGGAAGCCAAATTGGACCGGAAATTGAATGAGAAATATTTTTTTGTTCAATTTCACACGTTTTGGTTTTAATTGTACATAAATTTGTTCATTTTGTGTTAGTGTTTTGAAAAATTACCGTTTCAAAATATTTTCGTAACCATTTTCTCACCACTTTTGCATCGATCCTTTCAACATTTTTAGCCTTTCTGAAATTAATTTCTGAAGGAAATTTCAGAGATTATTCGAAGTTGAAAAAAGCTGCTACGAAAAATAATAAATATGTTGTTTCATTTTCAAGGTTTCAGTTTTTCCCCTGCATGAACATTAGGAGCTACAGAACAGGACCCGAATTTCAAAAATTTCATTTTTTTCTTCTTTTTCCTCCAACTTTCTGTATCCAAGCTTTTCACTCATTTTTTTCATCCATTACTTGAAAAATTGTTACAAATAAGACTAATATTTTTCAAAGTGTAAGTCCGCAATAAAAAAACACAAATCTTTGGAAAAAAATTCAATTTTTTTCGGAGCGCCGATGTAACTCACATTTTGAAATTCTTGATTATTACGATCATATACCTTATTTTCCCAAACTAATCTAGAACTTTGCCGCGTAACCTTGTAATTCAGACCAAAAGCAACTAATTTATGGTTTTAGACTGGAGTTTTCAGTTTCTTATACCCTCCAATTAAATTTAACCTTTTTGTTCTGCTGAAGATGCTCAAAAACGCCTTCTTTTGCAAACCTACGTTATCACTTTTTTAACATATTTTTTTCTTCGAATGTCTGAATTTCGAACTAGAGAATTTTTCGTTATGATGTATGGAATTGAAAAAAAAAATGTTAGAGGAAAATTGAATAATGACTTGCACCTAATAGGATGAAGTTGAGCGTTGGCGGCGAACCAAAGTTCTGGGAAACGTATTTCGCCTCAAACTTGCTGAAAAGGTTACTCTGGACTCTCTTGTTTTTTTTCCCACTATTTTGGTAATCGTTTCAGAACTTTTTCTCCCAAGTATACGGATCTTCCTTTTTTGCCATGACGCCAAAGCTTCATTGCTAGCTTTCCACGAAAGAAGTTCTGAAATTTGAAAAAATCCTCCAGCACTTCCTCACAATTTATATTCTTAGAGATGTCTAAGTTCTACTTCTTTACTCTCTCTTATTTTTGCTCACTGTTTCGCTAGCCATAATTTCTCGGAAATTCGCAAATTTTTGGGTCTTTCAAAGATCGTTATAAACTGAGTGAATACTTTTTTTAGATGCCCAATTTTTTCAATATTCATTCTAAATAATGCAACTGGACCTTTATATTCCTAAAGAGATTCCACAATGGTATTGGCGAGCTTACAACGTAATTGGAATAGTTTCAATCGCCGTGAATTTATTCGGAATTTGGCTCGTTCTCACGAAATGCCAGAGATCTACTTATCGATTTCATCTTCTAGTTTATATTGTGAGTTTATTCCATTTTTAAAAATTATTGTTATCCCATATAATCTTAACATCTGTGAAAGTTTTAGGGTCCATCGACATTTTATTTAAAAAAGTTATGTTAAGTAAGAAATATCCACATATTTTTTAAATGCAAGTAAAACTGGAAACTTGAATTTCTCTCCACTCTTTGAACTTTTTTGATTTCAGATAACATCATTCCTTGCCGACTTGAGCTTCACCTTCTGTGAGCGGCCGTATTTTTTCTTTCCCGCTTTTGCTGGTCTTACTGGAAACTCTTTATTGCCCTCTTTGGGTGTCGATGAAATTAGTTTATCGGTTGGTGTCACTTTATTCATCTTCATTCCTCTAATCTGTGAGCAATTTCCAGGTTCTCATGGTTTTTGGTCAATTAACCAACGTTCCAACTGTTTTGAACTGTTTGATACTCCGACATGAAGCAGCTGCGACGGCTGGAAGGGTAAGTTCTGCAAAAACCCAAACATAAAAAATACTAAAAAAGTAAATACTTTTTTCAAAGTTTGATTTTACCAGTTTAAAAAAGCTTAGTTTAAAAAAAGCTGTCCAGGAGTTTTTGGAGGTGGAGCAAATACTGGGAAAATTTTTAGTGGCCACTACAGAGGTTCTCTATTTAGTGGCCACTTCAGTAGTTTTTCATCCAGTATTCCTTCCAGTAACTCTGATAACTTTAAAACAAACATATTATACCAGTTATGTTGGTCCATCGACCCCTAAAGTGGCCACTAAAATGTTTAGTGGTCTAGTAGTAGCACTTAGACCTCTATAGTGGCCACTAATTTTTAACCCCTTCAGTGGCCACTAACTTGACTACTATATTGGCCACTCAAACTTCAAAACCCTATAGTGGCCGGTAAAATGTTTTCCCAGTAGATTATTTTTTTAATCGAAGCTCATTTTAAAGGCGCAGAACGGAGTTTTCAGCAATCACAAGAGCCAAGTTTGAAGATCCACAATGCGCCTTCAGAAATGACTTTTGAAGTATTTATGAAATTAAGGGGAAAAATCGAAAATTCTCTCTCTTTGCATATTATTTTTGCCAAACGTTCAAAGATAAGTTTTTCAAAAAAACCTCGTCTTTTTTTGATACATTTTTCATTTTTTTCAGCAAAAAAAGCTTCGGAAAAATTCAAACGCAACATCATTTTTCTATTTCTCTCCCTCTGGTGCCTTTTTTTATTTGCACGTGTGTCTATAAATCTCGTCTGAGCCCAGAAGAGCAGAGAATGTCGCTTTCCGAAGTAACTACTTATTATTTTGCAAAAAACCTAAGGTATTTGCAGAACTTCCCCGAAGCTCTATTTATTCTCGATTACGAAAATCACATAGTTTATGATGTGATGATGAACCAATGGACTATTGTCGCTGTGGCGGCCAGTTATCTAATTGCCGTTTTTGCAATGACGTTCGGATTTTGGGTCTACCGAAGGACGAGTGTTATTCTGATTTCTCATGTTCTTTATATGTCGGCCAGGACGTTTTCAATGCACCGAACTACGTTGTATAGCTTGACGGCGCAGGTGACTTTGAAAATCAGAAAAATTAGGGGTTAATTCATCAAAGTTTTCATAAAAGTTACTTTCAATCTATCTTGTGAAAATCATTCAGATCGCTATTGAGCATCTCATTTATCACTAAACTCCCTAAAAATTGGCTTTTAATGAATAGGTCGCACTTGAAATAGCTGTAGCTAACTTCTACTAGACATAGTTTAAACAAGAATAACAGCTAAATATTTAAAAATATTACTTTTTCGCGGGTGTTTTTTTACTTTGGATAAGTTTTACGAATTTATATATATTCTAGTAAGATTTCAGAGAATCTTGAGCTCTAAAAAAACTGAAGCTTCCGTTTGGTTTCTTAGTGGACACTGAAGGGCGCTTAACACTCCTTTTTCTCAACGGTTATTTCCTCTAATCTTCAACTCATGAATCTAGAAGAAAAGATCTTTTTCAAACATAAAAAGATCATAAGAAGCTCTCAACTCTAATTAATTATTTTTTTCAAAAATCAAAAATTTTTCCAGGCCGTGGTCCCATTTTTTTGCTCATAGTCATCCCAGTCTGCTCATATGGAACTATTGCCTTTTTCAAGTTGGAATCGTTTCATTGTGAGTTTTGAATAAAAAATATAAACCTTAAATTTCGATCAGATTTGGTACCTATGGCGACCTTACTTGCCGGTACCCACGCCACATTTTCCACTATATTCATGATAGCCACGACGCCGATTTTCCGGAATTTCCTGATAAAAAGAATCAAGGAGGATCGATTATTCACGGCTAGTAAAGTGCCCTATGTTCGAACGATCACTTGAAATTAATTATTGTTTTTTTTCCCTCAAATTGAAAAATTGAAAATATGCTCCATTCGCCATGATTTTACACAGTCTCGCCCTCTTTTCTCTATAACTGGTGAGAGAAAAGAGAGCGCAGACAGACCAGAAGTCACTGGTTTTCGCTCCTCAAAACAGAAGAAACCAGAGATAAGGCTGGAAAAAGCAGAAAACAATATCGCTTCAAAAAATGTGGAATGATCATAAAAACAGAGCACAAAAAATAATTTGAAACTCGAAATAACAAATTAAAAGTTTTTTTTTCGTCATTGCTCAATAAAAATGTACTGATTACCGGTATCAGTCCTCCTATAAAAGCAGTTGGAAGCGCTGATTGAAACATTCTCTCCGCTAGAATGCTTCCGAAAATCCTTCTCATCGCGGCTCTGGCTTTGGCCTACGTCGCTGCAGCTCCAGCAGTCAAGGAGGACGGTAAATTTCGACCTTTCGGTTAAAAAAAAATTTTTTAAAGACATTTCGGACCTCATCGGAGCGGATGAAGCCTTGGTTCATTTCATCTTGACTGCCGGTTTGTTAGGAAAATATTGAGAACTCACGAAGCTCAAGAAACTTTTGAAATTTTAATTCAAAAACTTTTTCGTCTGCCATTGGAGGAACTTTAAGAAAAAGTTCCTTGGAGTTAAATATGGGTGAAAATTTGCAGCCAATGATCGGCAGAAGGCCGCGGAGGCAAAATTGAAGGCTTGCGCCAAATCGTGTGAGGATCGTCACGAAATGTACGCCTGCTGGAAAAAGTGCAACAAGGACTATCCTTACAGCGTTTGGACCATTTAAGGAAAATTTTTTCTGATGAATTATTTTCAGATGAGACCGGATATCAAGATCCCTGACTACGCCTACGGTGACAAGGGAAAGTAAGAAACGCAGTTTTTTTACTGGTTGGTTTTGATTTTGAATTTTTCGTTCAACTGAACTCATTTTCAGTTCAAAGCTCTTTCTACATGTGGACGGCGGCGCATCTTTTTTTTTTTTAGTAACTTTTTAATTATCGATTGCGACCTTGATTGTTCCAATAATAAACTTTCTAGAAATTTATCTCCAATGCAAACTATTAAAATAAAACAAAGATGGATCTTACTTTTGGACCTAAACGAGAAAAAAACCAGACAAAAGAATCGCATGAAACAAAGAATTTTTTTTTTTGTCTCTCAAGATCCTATTGATAACACCTCTATAAAAAAAGAGTAAAAAAACAGTGATAAAATAAATTTTTCGAGCAGAATGCTTCTGAAAATTCTCCTAACCATTTTATTGGCCGTGGCATTCGTCGCATCAGCCCCAATAGTCGACGATTCAGAGGAAAATGACGGTAGATTTTAAATTTTCGGATCCAAAAATCGGTTCCAAATTTCAGATTTTGCTATCGAATCGAATGGATCTATTTTTTTCAACTTGCTGGAAAAAAAGAGGTGAGTGATAGAAACACAAACAAAAAAAGAAATTTTTTTCTTTTTCTTTGATCTTGTAGCTTTTTGAAGTTTATTTAGTCATAATAAATGAAATCTACACTCCAAAAGACGCAAATTTCTTTTCAAAAGCTGTTTTTGACCATCTTAACAGCTGATGCTCGGTTTTCTGATGAATTTCACTCGGCTCCTATCTGCCTTTTCGATTTCTATCGGCATTCTAGTAGGAAAACTTTGCAGCCAGGCAGAAATTGAGGGCTGCCCGTAGACGGTACCTCTCTTGTGCGAACAGCTGTACGGAGAAACGCAAACTTCTTCCCTGCTACAAAGGATGCGACAAACTCTTCCCATTCCCAGTGAAGGCTTTCTCAAAGAACTCTCTGACGAGAATGTTCAGAACAAACCGAAAATCAAAATCCCCGACATTGCTTATGGCGGCGGCGGTGGTGGTATACCAGGAGTCACGCTTCCCAATCTTGGAGAATTGACTTTGCCTACTCTGCCCACCTTGCCAGTCACTGGTTTGTTCCTTTTCACATCAAATCCATTAACCTAAATCGACAATTTTCAGTGCCAATTTGAGCAGATTCTCCAATATAGTCTACCTCGCTTCTTTGGACAACGTCATTTCAATTCGCATATCCAATTTTGTGAAATTTCGATTGTCCTCGAAATGAATATTGTGTATGAATCGAAAAATGTCTTGAAACACAAAAAAAGCGAAAAGAATAAACTTTGAACTCGCAGACGGATGGAGAAAAATTCGGGAGAGACAGATAATTTGACACAGCTGTAACTTTGACACAAATTTCTCAAAAACTAACTAGGGTTCAGGAAATACAAAGAAATAATAATAATTTTTTTAAAATAGTAAGTAGAGAACAATTTGGTTATCCTCCCCATTATAAAAAATCCGAAATTTGACCGAAAAAAAAAATCCGAGATTTTTTCCGACTATCGTATTGGGAGTCACCTGTGAGTTCCCACTTTCCTTACTTCAAACAAAAATTGATGCTTCTCAGCGCCGGCCTTCTTCAGCTTCTCTACATATTTTGACAACGCCGCGTCAAATTTATCCTCTTGTATTATTTCTGTCGTATTAATAAACATTTTTTCGTTTTTTTGATATTTTAAAATTCGACTGTGCAGAAGCGACATTAAAATAAATAAACGAAGACAGTATGCCATTTACCATTGGTTCGAGAAAAAGAAGACGAGGACCTTGACATGCTCAGCGAGATGGAAGAGCTTTTGACGTCTCTATAGTTTCAAAAGACAAAATTGTGAATAAAAAACTCTGAGAACAAAAAAAAAAAGTAAAACTCAATTTATTTTTCGAACCGCTCCGAATTGAAACGCGGCTCTCTCAAAATTGAACTAGCTTTATTTTTTCTTTCTGAGAATTAGGTCTAACAAAAAATTGATAGCATTTTTCCAAAAGTAATGCTACGAAAGAAGCTTTAAGATTAATCCTGACGTTGAGGATATGAGAAGAAGATCCTCACATGCTATATGTAAACTTCAAACTAATCATTATTTCCTCACTGACTTTTCATAATCAATTATTCGTTTTGCATGAACAAACGCTACAGAAAGTTTGGGAAATGTTTACATGCAATCAAATATGTCGAAAGAAAGAAAATTAGATGAAAAGAAGTACATTCGTCATCCTCATAACGGAAAAAATATTGGATTTGAAAACTTCCATTTTTGGGTTAGAACTATTGGAAAAGTCTAAATGATCTTATTGAAAAAGGTGGGTAAAGATGTTATGAAAACTGAGAGAACTTCCTCCTCAAATATCTCAAGGTACTGAAAAAAAACGAGAAAAAACAGAACTTCTTCGAATATATAAAAAGTGACATTATATTAATAATATGAGCCATCGAATCAACAGAGGCTGCAGACGTGTTATCAAATCAAACATAACAGTCCGCAAAAAGAAGCTTTGTTATTCTTGATACTGAAATTGTACGTTTTTCCTTTGTTTTTTCTAAGCTGGGCATTGATAGTACAGCAATTTACTTTACTGTTTGCCCACCGATAGCACTATAAAAAGTCCCGGCAGGAGCAAAAATGACATCCCATCGGCTCATCTTCCAAAAATGCTTCCGAAGGTCCTTCTTATTGCGGTCTTGGCTTTGGCCTATGTCACTGCGAATCCAGCGATCGACAATTCTGATGAAGATGGTGAGAATAGATCATCTCAATTTCCAATGTTTCTTTTTTAGAATTTTCTGATCTCATCGGGGCAGATGAAGGCTTGGTTCCTTTTGAATACGGTGAGTTTCAACAAAAGGGAAGAAAATTATAACTGCAGAGTTTGCAGCTCTGATGTCGCCAGATGGAGACTTGATTCCCAATGAATTTGGTGAGAATGCGCTCTGAAGACGTTCATAAGTGGAAAAGTTGCAGCTGTCATGTCGCCTCAACTTCGTAGATTCCTGCGCTGTGTGAGAGGATGCCGCAGACGCAGAGCCGGTCCGCGTTGCTCCAAGAGATGCGTCAAGACTCATCCCTTCCCTGTAGGAATACCAATGAGATCAGAAGTTCTGAAGAAGTTTTTTAGGCTTCTGGAGGCGGCGGCAGCAGTGGCGGCGGAGGCGGCGGCGGCGGAGGTGGCGGTGGAGCCGCAACTCCAGCTCCGGCCGCGACGACGACTGCAGCTGGAGGAGCTGCGACTACGGCTGCCGGAACTGCGGGTGGAGAAACGACTACTGCCGCCGCAACCACTACTGGTGCGTTGAGATTGAGGCTCCTTTCAAATCAGTTTTCTCCCTTTCAGCTGCTGCTTAAGTTTCTGCTCGAGTTCCTCTACATCACTCCTGTGGACGGCCGCTAATTATTTATTTCTCATTTCCAATCCATGCGATCTTGCTTGTCCTAATAAAAAATTTTGATCAAATCTTTCAAAAATTGCCTGTTCAGCTTTAAGAAGATGCTAAATACGACTCTCTGCTCTAGAACTTTGCGAAAAGCTCGAAACAAGGAACAGGAAACGTTTGATCATTTGAACCACTCTTATCTTTGTTTGGAGAAAAACATCCGAGTGGGCTCACTGTTTTTTGTCGCCTAGATTGAAACAGTCTAGACCTTCCTTGTTTACCAGGTCACGATGCGACTATAAAAGAAACTTTCAACGTCGATGAAGGCAGCCCAATCGGTCCATCTTCGAAAGATGCTTCCGAAGGTTCTTCTCATCGCCGTCTTGGCTCTGGCCTTCGTCATGGCAGCTCCGCCAGTGTCCTCAGAGGAGGACGGTGAGGCTCAATTCATTGTTCTTCTAAAGCTTTCATTTCAGATTTTTCCGACCTCATCGACGATAGTGAACTGGCCATTTTCGAACTAGGTGAGTCTGAAGATCTGCGATAGTGAAAATATGGAAGTTTCTCAGCCGCGATGTCTCCACAACTTCGAGCCTACTTGCGCTGCGTTCGCCGATGCCGCAGAAAGGGACCGAATCCGGCTTGCGTCAACCGATGCAAGAAGACTCATCCGTTCCCGGTATGATCAATGTCCAGTCTGATTAGAGGCTCACTTTAGAGCAGAATAGTTCCACTAACAGAAGTTTTGAGCCGAAAGTTTTTGCTCCAAAGCTTTTGAAGGCGAAAAAAAGATGTAAAGTTCCGGAGAAGGATCATTCGATCTAGGAGTCTGGGTATTTTTTCTTTCAAAAATTTTCTGATTGAGTCAGAGTGTGACGTTTCTCATGAGGAACAGTTCTGAAGAAAAATTTCCAGGGACAAGGCGGAAAGCCAGGCGGCGGCAAGCCAGGAGGTGGCGGTGGTGGAGCCGCTACTCCAGCTCCGGCCGCGACGACGACGGCAGCTGGAGGAGCTGCGACTACGGCTGCCGGAACTGCGGGTGGAGAAACGACTACGGCGGCTGGTGGTGCCGCGACAACTACTGGTTTGTTTGAAATCCAGAATTCTGTCGACTCAGTTGCATTGTTTTCAGCTGCAGCTTAAGCTTCTTCTCGAGTTTCTCTACTTCACGCATGTGAACGACGGCGCATCATCTATTTTTCGTTTTCAATTCATACGATTTTGCTCGTTGAGAAAATAAATATTGGCAACATTTTAAGTTTTTGATTACACAAAAAAGTCAATCTGGGCCTTTACAAGATTCTTTACCAACAGTGTTCTTATAGGACTACATTCCTAAAAAATCAAGAGAATCCCAAAAAAAAAAACGATAAAAACCAATTCAGGAATCGCTAAGTCATCGCAATTTTCGAAGTTCTTTTAATTTCAAGTCGATTTAGAAACTTGGAGTAAAGCACATCGGAACATGCTTTTCTTTTAAAAATTGAGAAAAGAGCTTTATCAAAATCAACCGCGTTAGAAAAAAAAACCTTTCAACTTGTTGTGCCAGTGCCGTTTTAAGTGATATTATTCTTGAACCCCGAAAAAATTGTCCAAAGTCATTTCGAAATGAATTTATGAGTGTTTTTCTTTAGGTTGGAGGTCGCCTTAAATGAATCGTGAGGGCTCAATGAGTTAAGTATTTCGAAAAAAAGATGTGAACTACATTCTAGTGAGCACTCACAGCGATAATTTTGAGTGCTCGAATGGAATTTAAAAGCGTCATAAACAATGAAAAATATCAGCTCCTTTCACTCTCAAAAAGTAAGAAGATATCTGCTAAACTTTACATAATACCGAGAAAAAGCTCAAAATCTGCTTCCATCGTATTTCTGATAAATATAAACGAATTTCTTAGATGATCAGATTATAAAAAACATGAAAGTGTAGAAAACTCAATTTTTAAGCTTCTTTTCGATTCTTTTCGACAGTCTTCTTTTTCGAAGCTTCAAAAGTCTAGACTAAGACTAACTGAAAAAATGGATTGGTTCATATGTGCTACGTACACCCCACAAATCTTCTTGATGGAGCTACAGGCCCTTGCTGAAAACTGAAGTTTTCGGCAGCTTTGTTGCATTTGCCTTGGCTTTTTAAAATAGAAACATAACACAGTATAAAATATATATAGATTTATATTCGGTGCAAGCGAAAAAGCATTGATTGAAAACGATAAATAAATATTTCGCTGCCGTCCACATGAGTGAGGTAGAGGAACTTGAGCAGAAGCTCAAGCAGCAGCTGAAAATGAGAAAACTGATTTGAAAGGAGCCCTAATCTCAACGAACCAGTAGTGGTTGCAGCGGCAGTAGTCGTTTCTCCTCCCGCAGTTCCGGCAGCCGTAGTCGCAGCTCCTCCAGCTGCAGTCGTCGTCGCGGCCGGAGCTGGAGTAGCGGCTCCACCGCCACCTCCGCCGCCGCCTCCGCCGCCACTGCTGCCGCCGCCTCCAGAGGCCTGAACCACGTCTTTAGAACTTCTGATCTCCTTGGTACTCCTACAGGGAAGGGATGAGTCTTGACGCATCTCTTGGAGCAACGCGGACCGGCTCGCCGTCTGCGGCATCCTCTCACACAGCGCAGGAACTTGCGAAGTTGAGGCGACATGATAGCTAAAAATGTTTCCCTCATAAACAGCCTTACGAAAGTTGACTCTCACCCAATCCATATGGAATCAAGCTTTCATCTGCTTCAACCAGGCCGAAGATGTCTGAAAGATTAGGAGTAGGAAATAATGAAAAAAAAAACTCAATCTCACCATCCTCATCCGAATTCAAGTCAAATTCGGGAGACGCTGTCACATAGGCCAAAGCCAAGACCGCAATGAGAAGAACCTTCGGAAGCATCTTAGGAAGATGAGCCGACGGAATGACTTTTTTCGCTCGGACAGAACCTTTTATAGTGCGATCAGTAAGCAAGCAGTACATGTACTATCAGTGTCCAGCTTGAGAAAAAAAACAACGGGAAACCGTACTGTTTTTGGCAATTTTTTGGCCTGTATAAAGCATAACAAAGCTTTTTTGTTCTCTGCGACACTTGATAAGATTGTCTGACTTTTCTTCTGTTTTTTCGAAGCTGAACATTTATTGGGCAGCAATACAGATTTACTGTTTGCTTACTGATCGCACTATAAAAGGTTCTGTCCGAGCGAAAAAAGGCATTCCATCGGCTCATCTTCCAAAGATGCTTCCGAAGGTCCTTCTCATTACGGTCTTGGCTTTGGCCTATGTGACAGCGTCTCCCGAATTTGACTTGAATTCGGATGAGGATGGTGAGATTGAGTCTTTTCATTATTTCCTACTCCTAATCTTTCAGACATCTTCGACCTGGTTGAAGCAGATGAAAGCTTGATTCCTTATGGATTGGGTGAGAGACAACTATCGTAATGCTGTTTATGAGGATACCATTTTCAGCTGTCATGTCGCCTCAACTTCGTAGATTCCTGCGCTGTGTAAGAGGATGCCGCCGACGCAGAGCCGGTCCGCGTTGCTCCAAGAGATGCGTCAAGACTCATCCCTTCCCTGTAGGAATACCAATGAGATCAGAAGTTCTGAAGAAGTTTTTTAGGCTTCTGGAGGCGGCGGCAGCAGTGGCGGCGGAGGCGGCGGCGGCGGAGGTGGCGGTGGAGCCGCAACTCCAGCTCCGGCCGCGACGACGACTGCAGCTGGAGGAGCTGCGACTACGGCTGCCGGAACTGCGGGAGGAGAAACGACTACCGCCGCCGCAACCACTACTGGTTCGTTGAGATTGAGGCTCCTTTCAAATCAGTTTTTTCACTTTCAGCTGCTGCTTGAGCTTCTGCTCAAGTTCCTCTACTTCACTCGTGTGGAAGGCGGCTTATTATTTATTTCTCGTTTCCAATCTATGCAATCTTGCTCGTTCCGATGATAAATATTTATTATAAATTGTTTTTTTATGTCTATTCTGAAAAATTCAATGCGTATTCAAGAAGATTGCTTTCATAAAATCACTCCAATAAAACATTTGATCGTATCAGCGATAAAAAAACAACACTGCTGAGCTGACCAAGTTTTTTTGTATACATAGAGCTAATTAATAAAGTTAATAATCTCTTGAAGTTGGGGCGCGTCGTAGCGCAACAGGTTGTGTGCCTGTCTACGGTCCACAGGGTCACAAGTTCGATCCCCGCCCCGACCCAACCAAGGGGTTTAAGAAATGTTGGTAGTGGGAAACCACGGCTTCATAAATCCCCAGCCGTCACACACAAGGACGAATATGTCACTGGAGCCAGTCCACTGATTATCATCAGGATAGGACCTCGGCTAATCGACTTGGGGCGCCGACGCCGCTCAAGCGGTACAAAGGCGTAAGAAGAAAAAGAAGAATCTCTTGAAGTCTCTCAAATTTTTTGAAACCCGGAACATGAAATGATCTTTCGTATCACTAAAAAAAAGCAATTGGTTCTTATCTTCGGCTGGAGAAAAACATCCGAATGGGCTCACTGTTTTTTGTCGCCTAGATTGAAACAGTCTAGACCTTCCTTGTTTACCAGGTCACGATGCGACTATAAAAGAAACTTTCAACGTCGATGAAGGCAGCCCAATCGGTCCATCTTCGAAAGATGCTTCCGAAGGTTCTTCTCATCGCCGTCTTGGCTCTGGCCTTCGTCATGGCAGCTCCGCCAGTGTCCTCAGAGGAGGACGGTGAGGCTCAATTCATTGTTCTTCTAAAGCTTTCATTTCAGATTTTTCCGACCTCATCGACGATAGTGAACTGGCCATTTTCGAACTAGGTGAGTCTGATGATCTTCAATAGTGAAAATATGGAAGTTTCTCAGCCGCGATGTCTCCACAACTTCGAGCCTACTTGCGCTGCGTTCGCCGATGCCGCAGAAAGGGACCGAATCCGGCTTGCGTCAACCGATGCAAGAAGACTCATCCGTTCCCGGTATGATCAATGTCCAGTCTGATTCGAGGCTCACTTTAGAACTAGAATAATCCCACTGAAAGAAGTTCTGAGCGAAAAGTTTTTTTTTTTCAGTTTTCAAAGAAGGAACATTCAATCTAGAAGCCTGGGTATTTCTTCTTACAAAAATTTTCTGATTGAGCCATTGTGTCGAGTTTCTCATAAGGAACAGTTATGGAAGAACATTCAAGGGACAAGGCGGAAAGCCAGGCGGCAGCAAGCCAGGAGGTGGCGGTGGTGGAGCCGCTACTCCAGCTCCGGCCGCGACGACGACGGCAGCTGGAGGAGCTGCGACTACGGCTGCCGGAACTGCGGGTGGAGAAACGACTACGGCGGCTGGTGGTGCCGCGACAACTACTGGTTTGTTTGAAATCCAGAATTCTGACGACTCAGTTGCATTGTTTTCAGCTGCAGCTTAAGCTTCTTCTCGAGTTTCTCTACTTCACGCATGTGAACGACGGCGAAACATCTATTTTTCGTTTTCAATTCATACGATTTTGCTCGTTGAGAAAATAAATATTGGCATTATTTTCAATTTTTGATGACACCAAAAAAGCCTATCTGGTCACTTAAAAAATTCTCTACCAACAGTCTTCCTATAAGAGTACGGAGCTAAACATTTCTTGGAGTCCCGAGGATCTCGAAAAAAAAAAACGATAAAAACCAATTCGGGACTGAGTCATCGAAAGATCCGAAGATTTTTTTTTCAAATCGAATGGAATAACACTATTCTCTCCCGAATAACACAATTCGTGCGACCTTGCTCGTTTTAGCCTCTCAAACAAACATAAAATGTATTCATTATTTGAAAAACTACAGAGAAAAAGCTCCAAACGTCACAGTCTCCAAGTCGCCTTTGACATAATTCGGATGACAGGTAGTACGGTAGACAAATTTGTTTCCACTTACTTCTTGTGTGGTTTCGCGTCGAGTGTATGGTAGTAAGGAGCGACAGGCGACGTCGATATGACTTTTCGATAAACTAAATAAAGTTAAAAATGAATAGATTTTAAGCTACAATTACATTTCCAGAACATCTTCAAATACATTGGGGCTTGTCGGAGTTGAAATGGAACCACGGAAAGGGGCCTGAAAACATCCAAATATGTACCTTTTTCTCAATTTGAGTCACTGAAAGAAAAGGTATCAAAAACCATTTTTTTGTTGAGAAAGAACTTATTCAGAATTTCACAGCCAATCAATTGATAAAAAAAACTGTTCTGTAACGTTTTTCCACTGAAGTTTTCAAAGAGAAAATTATATTTTTAGCCTAATTTTGACTTCCTCAAATGCAGCCTATTTTTGCTATGATATGTATATCACTAAAAAACTATTTCCAAATCTTGAATCATTTTTCCACCTCTTTTCTCAAATCTATTCGAAACTCCTCACATTTTTTGACTTTCGATCCCATCGAAAACGAATTTCCAAACTTGTAGGTAAAAATCTTCTCAGCAAGTTGGTCTCCGATTCGTGTGGGTGACCATTCTTGGAGTTCAGGCCAACAATAAACAGCTAAATCATTCGATAAAGTTTTTGAGAAAAGGAAAATTTAATGAACCGTCGGTGGCTCCGAGAAAGGTTGCTCCGACGGGATCCATCTCAGCTCCTTCAGGCCTTTCGGAAAAGTCGCATAGGTACCGTAATCCACCAGGAGTACGGTCACCGTATCCTCATCAACTTCGGTGACAGTAACTCGATGGAAACATTCTTCAGGGTATTGAATAACATATAATAAATCGATAGAATGTTGATTTACTGGAGGAAATTGGGTCCACTGTAAAAAGGATTTTTTGAATTTTTGAACAAACACGTCAATAGCAGCTTCAGAAAATGTTTAAAACACTTGTCTCAAAAAACTTTAAAAAAAAACTCGTAAAAACTTTTTACAGACTTTTTCTCCATACTCATACAAACATCCAGAAAAACTCAATTATAAAAAAAGACCTTTTCTTTCAAATTTTTCTCGATTTTCCTTCTCAGTTCAATTTGCCAAGGGTAATGGAGGTATATCAAATAGGCATTTTCAACGTGTCCCACGTGGATGACGTCATCATCGAAGCGAGAGACTTTGCCGCAACGAGAGAGGCGAGAGATGTAGGTGGTTTTGCTGAGAAGTAATTCTATTCATTATGACATTCGAAAAAGAGGAAAAAAAAAGCCTTTTTGGGAAAATTTCAACTTTTTTCTTTGAAAACGTCGAAATTTTCCAAATTCAATAGTAAAAACGAAACTTTTTCAACGACAACTTCTTGGAATGTTTGAAGATCAAGGAAATGTTCAAAATCTTAAAAAAGAAAAATTACTGAATTCTAACCGAGTGAAAATCTCAAAAATGCAAGGAAATAATTTTTTAGGTAGAAAAACACTTTTCAAACGATTGCACTACTTCCAATCAAAACCTCTGCTTTTCTTATATTTTCAAGAGTTCAAAAAAATAAAGTTTGAAAAACAATAAAAAAATTGTTGAAAAACAGACAGAACCATGCATGAAGCTTCGAAAATAACCCATAAAAAATTTTCAGGCTCACTAGTCAGAAAACGTTAACAATGCGTATAGGGTTCAATAAAGTTTGTCGAGTTTCTCCGGAAGAAAAAATCAGAATTTTCAACTATAAACCTCATGCGGTCACCCGCTTCAGGCTTATCTTTCTCGGTCCAATGATGATTCCAATGATCGTCCTCGTCGTCGTCAAACTCTTCATTCTGAAAAAAATTTCATTCTATTTCAAAACTAAACAATCACCATTTTCTTCACATGTCGATCCCAGCTCCTCTCATATCTTGCCAATTTTCCAACGTCTTCTTGAGGCGGGAAAAAAGTTTGGCAAATATTTTTGCCCAAAATCGTCGGGTGCAGTAAGTTCACCTTAAACTATATTTATGTATTGGAACTTAATTAATAAACAGAAAAAAAACCTATCTTAATACCTACCAAATACGGCTCTTCTTGCGAAAGAAGCTCAACACGGACCAATGCATTACAAGATTCAATTATTTTCTTGAAATCCACCAAATCCTTCGTTTCGAGGTCATTTATTGAAACTCCTGCAAGACATAATATACATCACGGTTGAACAAACTGTTTAATGTAGAACGAAAAAAATATCGAAACGCAACAAACAAATTCCAAATGAGAATGAACCGAAATTTCAGGGCCAAAATGGAAAGTTTATCAGAAAAGGCGAAAATATAACAAAACTGAAAAACTGCACTGTTTAGGATCTTTTCAATAATCAGGAAATCTTTTGAAACTTATGCCGTGTTCAAAGTAATTTCCGCGAAATGCAAAATGATCTCTGACTCTCCAAAATTTAGTGATCTTTTCCTTTCTCTAACGGGTATTTTGCATTACGCGGAAATTACTTTGAACACGGCATTAATACGATTTTCAATTAAATCCATCGATGAAAGAAAAAAAAACGCGCGAGGAAAAATTAAAATTTCATTTTCGAAAAAAGCAAAAGTGCTCCAAAACGAAAAAATTACTGTTTTGAAGCAACCAGTTGAAAATAAATTTCTTTTTTGAGGTTTTTTCCGCTCCTCCATTTTAGTATCCATTGAATTTCGAAAAAAGAAACAAAAAAACAAAACAAAAGAGGAATAAAAGTGGGACTTCAACGCACACAGCACACAACCGAAAAAAGGAGAGGTAACTTAGCGCCGTGGCAGGCCAATGGCAGTCACCAGCACGGATGGCCGAGTGGTCTAAGGCGCCAGACTCAAGCGAAGAGCTTGCCTCGAGTTCGAGGCTCCTGGGCGTTCTGGTACTCGTATGGGTGCGTGGGTTCGAATCCCACTTCGTGCAGAATCTTTTGCGTTTTTCAAGAAGAAACCAACGTTTTTTCTATTTTCTTTTTGAACTATTTTGCTTTCAAACCTTTTGCTCGACATCGAAGGCATAACGGCGGAGCTCGGCCAAATTTTGCCAATAAGGGTCGGAGTTGGATTCTTTGTACGAGAACACGAGTTCCAATGTCGACTAATTCGACCAGAACACTGGATAAATGATTTGTAAAGGTTTTTTCTGGAGTTCTTACTGGTCTTCGCCTGAAACTTGACAAATTCGGCCTCGATACCAACGCCCTGATTCTTCAACGGAGCATATAACTTCAGAAAATACGTTGATATCATCCAAAACTGTAAAATCAGAAGTCTTGTAGGTGACATTGAGAGAGTTTTGGAGGTTCTTTCGGGCCGTTGAGAGAGATTTCGGCTGAATTTTTCGATTTTGAACGAGTTTTGAGGTTTGTTTAGAATCAACCTGAAGAGAAATTTCCACTGGAGAGACAAAATTGGAAACATCGGCGTAGAAATAATCTTGTGGCTGATTTTCCAGCTTATCTTTCTAAAAATTTTCGAAACTTATTAGAACGCTGAGAAATGAACCTTCAACTGGTTCAAATGATATACGACGATAGCACTTGTTCCAGGCAGCTTCCAGCAAAATTCTGGCTTTTCAAAAGTCAGTCCTGAACAAAGAATGAGGATATCAGTTTTCTTGAAACTTCAGCAAAAAGAACCTACTCCTAATTTTCCAGTCATCGCCCCCGGGGACTTCGACAAGGTCTCGACAAAAGTTGGGTTGAAATTTCTGGAGAGAAGACTTCAGACGCGACAGACCACCTCCAAACTCGGTCATTTCAATGGATTTTTTTTTTTTTTTGAATAATTGCTTTAGAAATGTAGGAGCCACGTTTTGTAGTCATTTTTTTAAGTGAAGATATTTATTTTTGTAACATTCGATCTTATTATGATATGTTTGGTTAGATTTTATTCAAGCGATTTTTTTATTTTTGAGATTGGAAAGTCGATCCCTAACGGCTCTTTTTTCATGGTTTCTCCGTTTCTCAAAGTCTTTTCAATAATGAAAAACTTGAGAAATCATTTATTCTCATTCATGAAGTGAAATACAACAGGAAATGAATTATTATGTCGTTTTTTGGTTTGATCCGGCCTATCAACCGCGAAAACAGTAATTAACGAGATAACGGTGTTTGCCTCTTTTTTTTTGTCTACACGTATCAATCTGTTTTCGGTGCCATTGGTTCTATAAAAGCTGAAGATTAGGAGATTTATTTCGAAGGTTGAGCGATGCATTCGTTCTGGAAGTACACGCTCGCCGTCCTGCTTCTCGCGATTTTCGCGGATGTGAAGGCTGAGGATGGTTAGTTTTCGGCTGTTTTCAGGTTTTTTAAGATCTTGTGCAAGGTTCTTTGACAGTTTGTACTGACCCTAGAAAAATTTTGAGTTTTTTTTCTGGATGCAAAAGTCTCAACAAATGCTCATGAACTACAGAAAAAATCGATCGTTGAAAAGCTTTATACAAAATTATACAAAAAACGCCAATAGGCGTTTAGAAAAATGGATAAAAACTCCTTTTTTCGAAGATATACCAAGTAACATGAATAAAACAGGGAACGAATATTCAAAAAGACAATTTTTCAGACACACAATTGCAAGACCTGAGAATGTACATCGACTGCGCCAAGTCTTGTTTGCCGGGTCACCTGAATGATTTGAAGATTTGCTTTTCAACTTGCGCGATGAAACGACTTTTCAAGGTTTGATCAACGCTCAAAATATGAACTCAAAGCTTGAAGAGCTGAAAAAATAAGCAAATCTTGAAAATAATTTTTTTTTTTTCAGCTTGCCAGAAAGAACCCACAGAACGCAAAAAGACCACAAAGGCCACGAAAAGGCCGAAAAGGCGGCAAAAAGCCAGGAGTTCCTAAAAAACCGCCGGTCGGTGGTCCGAAAGGAGCAGCTCCAGCACCTGAGGAAGATTACAAGGATGATTACAAGGACGAAGATTTACCAGCCGGCGGCGAAGAAGCCTACGATGAACCTCAAGAATGAGAAAATTTTGCTGAATAACTTTTTTATTTTATTTTTGACAGTAAATCTTTTTTATTTGATAGTTGTTTTTTATTCACTCGGTAAAATGTCCTCCAAAAATCTTTGCTGGAAAAAATAAAGGACAACAATGTTATACAAGTATCCGTGAGAAGAGCCGTTTTTAGTGAAATCTCTAATGATTCTGATCGAAACTTTCGGAAAAAGCCCAATCAAGGCAAGACTGAAAAAAGCGAACATCTGTAGTTTTTATTTCTTGAAAAAATTGGTAAAGGTTTTTTGAATTTCCCACTTGAAAATAAAGACATTTATTTAGAATTTTACGCTGATTCCGAATCTGCGCTTAGTTCACTCGGATAACGACTTTGAAGCTTATTGTAGCCGTAAAAATCTTAATTGTGAGGTCCCAGATGAAACATCCAAGTTTGAACTTTCAATATGATGTTAGGTATTGTTACGTAGATATCTATCTTGTTAGGTATCTATCTTGATCAGAATTTCGTTTCCCAATCTATGCAAAGTTCACTCAAAAAGAAACTTTGAAGCTTTTTGTAACTGTAAAAACTCTATAACATATCATCACAAGAGAAATTTGCTTGATTTAAACGTTAAATTCAAAACCCATTCTTGATCAGAATTTTAAGTTGGTTACAGAATTGTGCTTAGTTTGATCGGAAAGTGATCTTGAAGCTCGTTTTAAACGAAATAGACAAAATTATGACGTCCTAAGCTCAAACTTCCTAATCCGTGTTAGGTAAAAAAAATATTCAAAACTTCCCTTCGTTATGTCGAAATTTAGACCACGCCCTCTTTCACGTTTTCTCTCCCGAAAATCCACCTTTATGAAAATGGTTGTACTGTAGTCCCAAAATGCAAAGCTTTATTTATATGAAATACGAAGAACCATTATGTGCAAAATACGTTAAAGCTTCCAGTTATAATACATTTTTCTGGGGATTCAAAATATCGACGAGTTTACTTCTTCTTCTCGGCGGTGATGTTGAGGACGCCACTGGCGTTCAGGTGAGACTTGACAGTTTTCTCGTCGATATCTTCAGGCAGATGGTAGGTTCGGTGGACTTCACGTCTGACCGCACCGAACTGGCCGTCTCGTTCCTGAAGGAGGGAGTCTAGTGGGAAGATTAGAAAAATCGGAAACTCATTTCAAATGTTGCAAAGTTTCATAGTCTTTAAAAAATCTCTACTAAAAAAGATTATTTTCCATAGTTCGGTTTTCAAATGATTACTCTATCTTTTCGTAACAAGTTTTCATGTAGGGAATTTTTAGGAGAGATTTAAGGTTAACTTTTCTTTCACCTCTGGTGCTTTATGATCCTAGATTCTGCTTGAAACTTGAAAAAAAATTTTCAGCAAAGGGAGCATTTCGAAAAATTAGAGTTTAAACGGGAGCACCCTTTTCATACTATTAGAACTGGGAAAAAAATTCCTCTAATTTCTACACACCCTTTTTTAAATGTCTACCTTGCCAATAGGGGAAAAGAGAGCACAGATCATTCTTCAGACCAAAAAAATGTCCAACCTCATGTCTCAAGTGAATGACCAGCTCACGGCCGTTGACCTTGACGTCAATTTCCTTGGGGGTGAAGAAGGAGGCGTCCAATCCGACCTCGAACTTGTCGTCGGTGTGGCGGACCTTGAAAAAAGTTTATCATCCTTCTAGTGAAAAAAAAACTCACATGGACGATGCCGTCGTTGTGCTGGAGGGGCCAGTCCCAGTCGGTGGCAATTGGAACGTGCGACATTTTTTTTTCTGAAAAGGTAAATATCAAGGCCAATGGATAAGAGAAGTAAAGAATATTAAGACAGAAGGATAGAGCTCGGTTTAGGAAGCTTCTGAGATCTACTTGTTTTATTTCGATCCGGGTGAGGCGGAGCCATCTCTCGAGGTAAACAACTCGAGCTCCGCCTCCAAGGTCATGGGCTTTTGGCTTTACTGTGATCCGGGTAAACAGGAAAAAAAATATATCGACGTTCGATACGCATGGGAGATCGATTGGATGCTGTGGGACTAAGAAAAATAAGAAAAAGGGAACATTCTGATCTTTCTAAGCTTCCTACAGCCTAAAAAAGATTTTTTTTATTTTTGAGATGAATCGGAAGAAGTTAGGAGCCAAAAACACTCCACCAACTGTAGGAGGTTCTAAAAAAGCTATATTGAACTTTAATTTTCCCATCATAATCGATCATCTTTAAACTTGCTCTCTGAAAGTTCCGGTTTGAATAGATTTTTCAAAAATTGGATGGTGTTATTTTTTTTCCAAGTATTCTCTTCGATCGAAAGTTTTGAAGCTTTCGTATTTTTGTTCACATAAATAAAATCTACACACCTTTTTTGGAGCTTCTGTAGAACTTTTTGGCTCACACTAAATTTTCTTTAGAGGAGAAATTCTACTGTATAGAAGTCATTTCCTTCTTTTTCTAACCTTTTTTTTTGAATCTTAGAATTTTTTTAGATCTTCTTTCGCAATTCACGAGTATCAAGGTGTTTTCAAAAACAGCTCTGAACTTTTCTCGATTTTTCTCAGCTGGTCCATTTCAACGTGTCAAGCCAATTCCGTTCCCATCTTCCCCAAGACATCTGGAGCCGCTTCTCTTTGAGCTGGAAACGTCCGATCGGAATCATAGTGTAAAGAGTTCACTACACTTTGAGCTCGTAAGTGGCCGATAAATTGCATCACTGCGTAAAATTTAAGAAAATAATAAGATTTGACCTTTAAATGAGAGATTGCTCTTTGAGAAACTTTCTGTAGGAAATTATTGAATTTGAGAAAAAAAGCTTGCAGATTTTTTTATTATAATATATATTAAAGGGATTTACCATTAACTGTCCCAGCAATGAAAACCAATTTAGACAGGCTAAAAGTTCTTTTTTTCAATATCATCTGCTAAAAATTTTTTTAACGAGTTTCGTTACAATAGTATAACTAAAAAAACTGAAATTATTTTTTTCCCAATTTCATTTCATTCAAAAAGTTTCTTTCTCAACTTTTTGAACCCAGAATTTTGGTGGATTAATAATAACTGCAACATCCATATTTCCAGAAATTACAGTGATTTTCAATAAATGTTAAAAAAATTATATTTTGAAATGAGTTTTTTTCGAAAAATATCTTCAATTCCCCCACCTTCTACAGTTCAAACCAACACGGACGCGATGTTTGCATTTTTCTACTCAGAAACTGGCAAATCAGCACAATTGATCTGGGGTGACGATCAGAACAATTTTATCAGTTTATCAGCATTCTAGAACGGCTTATCAGGTCCTGATTTCCAATGGGTTTTGGCTTTGGAACAGATTTCTTCAACTTAACGTTGTAGTCTACCTTATCAACTAGTCAGATCTAATAAAAGTTTTGCTTTTTGATTGGTTATCATCGGAAATATGAATATTGGAAGGTGGTTCCAGGTCGGCGCCAGACACGGCCTTTTTCGCTGAGCTAGGAGATTTTTTTTCCGATTCGGAAGGTCGTAAAAGGTAGTCGAACGACTGTTCTACTGATAAAAAATTTCCTGATTGGATTGGTTCAAAGAATGAAAAACTGATTGTTAAATATTTTCTTCCAAAAAAAATTTTAAATGTCAATAGACTCAAGATAAAATTTTCGGAAGATGGATATAAGTTTTGCTTTAGAGTCTTTTGAAAATTAAACCTGAAACCTGCCGTTTTTCTGAAATGTTTTTTGAATTTTCAAGATCCAAACAGCTCTTTTGCAGTTTTTCAAATGGAACAATTGTTATTTTTTATCTCATTTTTTTTTCCAACTATTTACCGATCAAACTCCATTGGGTCTTGTAAACAAAAAGGAAAACAGTTTTTTTTTCTGCTGCTGGGCTTCTTGTGGGCGATTCCGGACAGCTGTCGTGTTGACGCTTGGCACAGTGGTTGACCGCTGTAAACAAGTACTTTGATGATCGCTTGGATCTTCAACTACGAGTGTTGGAAGTGAGGTTGAGGTTGAAGGGAAATAGAGTCGGGATAATGCTGAAAAATGACAAAAAAGTGGAAAAACAGAAATTTGGTCGTAAAGATGATTTCGTTCAGTTCTCGGTGATCGCTTGGGTCCACAGGAAGGTTTTGAAAGTGAGGTTGAGCTTTGAAGTCTGATTAGGGAACAATCTCAGCTCGCAGTGGGACTTCTGAATGAGATCATGTTTTCTAGATGTAGTTTTTTACGATGATTCCGAATCTTTTCCGAATCTGATTCCGAATCTCAAAAGTTGCCCTCTGTGAAAAAAGATGGGGGCTCTCAAAGTCGGAAGGTTCAAAGGTCAGTTGAGAAAAAGAGAGATTCTGGTTTCATTGCTCTATTGAAAGGCAAGAAACGTCAGGATGAGTACAGTACCTCTCAGCAAAACTACAGTACCTCTCAGCAAAACTTCATCAACCGAACTTATGAAATTTCTCTCTCATACTGGTTTTTGATTCGATCTTCAGCAAGAGGTTTTATAAGTAAGCTTGAGGTTGAAGAGAGTGGAGTATGAATAACTGACAATAACCGAGTTTCAACGTCTGAGCCTTTGTGCCACGACTTGAAATTTCACCGAACGACATTCCGCTGTTCCGCTGCGCGCGTTCGCGAAGCGTCTGTCGAGTCTAGGTCACGCCTTCAATTGATTGTTATTGCTGTGGGAGCACATATAAGTAGAGTACCTTAATAAAAGAAAAAAAAATTAAAAGATTGACCAAGGTTCGCAAAGGCGCGCAGCGGCACACAGCGGAACGTCATTTGGTAAAATTCAAAGTCGTGGTACACAGGCTATAGAAAAACTTAGAAAACGTGATTATATCAACTGTTAAAGTTTAGAAAATCAACTTCCGTCTCCTCCTACGCTTTTCTTGACTTTTTTTTTATCAGACTCCCCCTCAGACAAAGAACCAATCCATTGTTCCCAAAAGCTTGAAACAATAGAAGCCAATTTTCGAATTCATTGTTGTATTTATTTACACACGACACATGTGGCCCTTATCAGTAAGCCAGATGATGATGATGGGATCGAAAACAGTTTGAGAAGATGGCGATCTTCGAAAATCATTGGCATTTACGGTCATGTGTTCGCTTCTGATTAAATGACATGCCCGTGTCCAATTGAATAGTACACGTGGTGGTCTTTTGATATTGTGATAGGCCATGAAGAAAAATGTTAGGAGCTACTGACAGGACATGTGAGTGGTCCCTTTGTAGGGACAGCTTCCGGAGCCCTTGAAGACTACCCTATAGGCGCCAAGTTTCCAAAAATGGTACCTATACTCGGGTTTCAGTTAGTAGCCCCTCTAGGGGTGCATGCTAATGGTCCCTAGAGGGAAAAAAATAAAGGGTTGTATTTTGAAGATTGGGACAATTTTAATTGATTCTTACAGTATTTTTTTCATGTTTCTGAATAAAACTTCCATAGGACTTTTCCGAACTCTTATGTTTGAAGGAGTCTTGAAATGATCCTTATACAGTTTTGAGCTTTTCCTGCTTTTGATAAGGCGAATAACTGAGTTTCTACCGTTATAAAAACCTAGGAACGCCGGAGATAATTTAGTGGTCATTTAAGGACTTTTTTGAGTTCCTCTCTACCTTGCGATTTCAGTTTCTAGAGGTGTTTTTCAGTGATTCATTAGGAAACGACGCAATTTTACGTTGATTCTCTTTTATAAGAGTTTTTGACGTCTTTTGGAAGCTGAGAGGATTATTATTGACGAAACGATTACGTAAATCAATTATCAGACAAGTTTTGTGTCTATTCCTGGCTGGGACAAGCTATTTCCTAATGAAAAATGACTATTTTTGGCGGATCATAATGATAATTGGTGACCTTGTGATAGCTTGCTTGCGTAAAAGGACTATCAGTTGGCTTCCGGCCATGGTTCCTGGCACGAATTGAAAGTTTTGGCGCCTTATTGAACGATTTCAAGTTTTCTACAATACTTGAAAAATTTTGAAGACTGGTCTAAAACTCTAAATGATCAAAGTATCATTCAAAGAGCCTCCAATTTTTGTTTCTACGTTGATTCAAATGAATCTCGAGTTTGAAAAAAAGCGGGTGATTCGGAAACTTATCCGGAAGTTTCTCCTTATTCGTGACTCCCTTGGAAGTCTTCAATCACTCTCAGAAGTTATTGAGATGACTGAAAACATGTTCAGACAGGAAATCTTCCCTCTAATCTAAAATATCTTCTAGATCTATCTGGAGCTCGAACAGCGGCTCCAATCAAGCTATTTTAAGCTCCTTTTTGTGTTAACTGGAGCTTCTGATGACTTTCTCGGGTCACGAAGAAGCTCATCATGTTTTTAAATCGTTTCCAATGTCTTCAGGAGCAATCAGAAAGTCAAATAATCTCTTCAAAGCTATTTTCGGTGGCCGGAAATACGTCACAAGCCAATTGAGAAATCGATAAAGAAGTGATTTCGATCACGAGCTTAGGGAAATACGCAAAACGGTTTTTTTGCCTTTATCACGAGAGTGGAGCCAAAAGACGCGCGTCTCACCTTATCAGGACAACCCCTACTCATTTCAACCGTTAGCGAACCCGCCAGACGGTTGTCCTGTTCCTGATTTCCAAACTATCGAATTTTTCAAATTTTATTCGCTGATTTTCTTCTTCCGCCATTTTTGCCCTTGTTGTTGAAATTATTTGATGGCGACTGTCAATGATGATGTTGAGCTGAAAAAGGCAAAGGGAGGGATTGCCGGCTGGTTGGTGAGTTGATTTGTTGAAACCTTGGATTTTTTAAGTTTTCATTTAGTTTTTAAAGGAGTTACCGAAAACTATTGAACTTGCAGCAGAGATTTGGTTTTAGTTATGATAGAAGCTTTGTGTCGTTTTCAAGGAAATAAACTCTTATCAAGAATTTTCACAAAAAAAAATCTTATCAAGAATTTTTCCGAGGTGTGGATTCCGAGAATTTTAACCCTTGGTTCCACACAAAAAAATAGAAGAGTTGACTTTATTAAATATTTTTTTCAATTGTTTTCTCTTCATAAAGATTTTTTTGAATTAGTAAAAAAATTTGATCTTATATTTTCTCCCACACTTCTCATATTTGTGATATTCAATAAAAATCAATTTTCAGGGCTTAGGCTTAGGCTTAAATTCTGTAAAGTAAGAAATTTTCTACAGGTTTCATTTTTTTATTAATCTTTAATTGAAATCGAATAAGAAGTAATTTTTGTACATTGTTGCCATTTTTTTCTGAAAAAAATATATATATATGTTTTTTTGTTCGTGGACATCTTCGTAAAGGCGTCCCTCTGGACTCTTTTTGTTCGAATAATTTCAGATTTTTTTCTAAAGAATGGTTCTTTTTAATAGCAATAGGTTCTTTTTTTCCGAAAAAAATTAACAGCTTTTTTTGAAGTTTGAGAAAAATTATGATATTTTTTTATTTTGCGTTTCATGGACTGTTAGGTCCTTTTGTGGAACCCTTTAAAAAAACTTTAACTCGAAATTTTATTTTTTTACATCAAAAAAATATTGGGAAATTCCAGCCACTGATCACCCTCCTGTTCCCGTTCGCCGTCCTCTCAGGCGTCCTTCATATTAACGGCAAAACCCAAGAACAACTCGAAAAGGAACGACAATGCTTCGAAACTTGCTCGTAAGACATTTCGTGTTATCGATTTGGAAAGCCTGATAACTTATCAATCGGGAATTGCAAAACAAAATTTGTTTTCGGAAGAAAAAAAAAACAGTGGCTAGTGATAAAGTTGAGGTTTTTTTTTTGCAAAATGATGTTTAGGATTTTTGGTTGGTGGTTACGATTTGCTTGACAATTAGAGAAGGATCCTTCTTTTTTTTTCCTCGCACTTCGCGATTTATTTGAAAAACGTATTTTTTAAAGTTTAAGCTTCATTTTCTCAGGTTTCCTTCGAACTTATCAATCTGGAAAGGTCAATTTTTTCAAATCTTCAGAATACGAATCGTCGAATCGATTCCGACCAACTTGACATTTGGCGACGTTCTTCTGCCAATGTCGACCTACGAAGCTTGGACCAGACTCATAGTTAATGCTGAGCACGACCTCGCCATCGCAGCCTACAAGTCCAGTCTTCAAGGAAAACACGTCCTCGGCCAACTCGACAAGTTCTATTCGAATGAGGTATCTTGAAATTCATAAGCTCATCCAGTATTTTGAAACTCTGAAGAATTTCAAAAAATTTAAATACTTTTTCAAGCTTTTCGAGGGTTTCTCAAATTTTAAGTTTTTTTTAAACTCTTCTAGGATTCAAACTTTAATCATGAGGTTCTCAAAGTTTTTAAGTTTTCAAAGGAGCAAAGGACGAGTTTTATGGAAATTTCGACACGAATAGAAAATCAGAATTTGCAAAAAAAAAACCTCCAAGTGCTCTGGAACGATATTATCGGATTAGATAAAGAAATTTATAATATCTTTTTTATGCAATTCCAATTTCCCCTTTGTAATATATTTTACAGGGAGATTCGGTCTACGACTCGATACTGAAAGCCGGAAAAGCCGGAAAAGCCAAAGTGAGAATGGTGGAGAACTATCCGCCCAAGGACAAGGGCGACAACGCCGATGGGATCATTTTGCAGAACTTCGGTTAGAAACCAAGCATTTTTATCTTAGACAAAAACTTTAGGAGCTGTATCCAGAAGGTCCATTGATATCAGTAATTACCTGGGGCGAGGTAAAATGCACTCGAAATTCCTGTTGGCCGATGGGAAAAGCTTTTATTTGGGCTCGGCGAACCTTGATTGGAGGTCCTTGAATCAGGTTAGAGAAATTTTCAATCTACTCTTGGAAAGTTGAAAAAGATTATGATGGCCAGTTTTTTCGGATTTTTGAGTTAATATTTTTGAAAGTGATAATAAATTCGAATTTGACTTGAAACCCATAACCGGTCTTGAAAATACCAAAAACAAATATCGAGTCAAAGTAATAATTTCAGAAAATGGAGCTCGGCGTCCTTGTGGAGAACTGTGCTTGCCTCGGCGAAGACATGACCAACATCTTCGATTCGTTATGGCTTCTGACCAAAAAAGGCGTCAGAAACAATGACGCTCTATCGAAACGGGCGGCTTTCAACCGGGATAATCCGCTCAAAATCCAGGTCCACGGCCAGCCGGCTGATGTCTACATTGCGGTAAGGAGCATCGGAATTTTTAGTCTTGAAAACAGTTCTTTTTAGATTTTTTTTTTGATCAGTTGAATAGAAAAGACCTTTACGCGTTTTATTTTGTCTTCCTACTTTTTGATAAGAAATATCAGTTATTTTTTCCTCGTTTCTGCGAAAACTTTTGGCCATTATAGGGTTTAGACTTTTGAGTGGCCACTAGAGTAGCCTAATTAGGAGCCACTTAAGGGGTTGAAAATTAGTGACCACTATAGAAATCTAAGTGCTACTACGTAGTTTTTGACCCCTAAAGTGACCAATAAGAATTTTAGTGGCCACTTTAGGGGTCAATGGATCAACATAACCGGTCAATATTTTTGTTTTAAAATTATCAGAGTTACTGGAAGGAATACTGGATGAAAAATTACTGAAGTGACCACTAAATAGAGAGCCTCTTTAGTGGCCACTAAAACCGAAAATAGTGGCCACTTTAGTGTCCCCTTCAAATAGTACTTGGCGAGCCTCTATAGTGGCCACTAAAAAAATTTTCCCAGTTTTTTTCTATAAATTTTAGAAAGAAAGATAGTTTCATTCCAGACTTCGCCAAAGGAACTGAGCAACCGAGGCCGAACCTGGGATCTTGACGCGATTGTTGGAGAAATCGACGCCGCCAAAAAGTTCATCGACGTCCATGTTATGGACTACTTTCCGCTGTTTTTGTATAGGAAACCGCAATTGTGAGTCCATTAATCTTTTTTTTCAAGATTCAGGAGGATTTTCAGCCGAAAAGATTTAAAAATTAGGTTTTTCGACGCGGTTATCTTATATGGATTTCAAGGAAAAAAAGTCAAAAAAATTATATAAAAATAAATATCAATCAAAAAAATGTTTTTCATCTTCAACAAAAATTTTTTTCTATCCTAAAAATTCTCTTTTTATATTCAATATATTAAATTTTTTTATAATCAGCGCTTTCACTGAAAAAAATCCCATGGTTCTAAAAAAATTGGTCTTGAAAGTTTTGAATGAAAAAAAGATTTATTCATCGATTTTTTTTTCTAGTTTTTCAATCCAATTCAAAAAGCTCTATTTCATGTAACGTGGCTTCTACATCAAAAATTCGATTTCAATAGTTTTTTTTTTTTTTCCAGACACTTCCCCCAAATCGACGATGCTCTACGACGGGCCATCGTTCGAGGCGTCAAAGTCCGACTTTTGTCGGCGGCTCTTCATTATCCAAATATGGGAACCCGATTCCTGAGATCTCTTCAATCTTTGAATAATATCAGAGAAAATGCGACTATCCAAGTGGTGAGCAGGATTTGAAAAAATCCAAAAAACTGAATTTTCTTCTGTCGCAAAAACAATTTTTAAGAAATCGAAAACACATCTGGAAAGATTCTTGTATATGAATCTTCAAAGTGAATTTTTTTTTTGAAAGCTTTTTTTGGTATATAGTTTTTAAATTCCTAAAATTCAAAATTCAAGATATAACCAAGAAAATTCAGAAAATCTTCAAAGTTCCGACCTCAAACACGGATAATATCGTGATTCAACGGGAAAGACGAACGCATAATAAGTTTATGGTTACCGAATCGGCTGTCATTATTGGTAATTTTATTTCAATCAAGCAAATTGTATATTTTGATCCTTTCAGGTACTTCAAACTGGTCAGGAGATTATTTTATCGGAGGAACTACTGGCGCGGCGATTGTCATGAAGCAGACGGAGAAGAAAAGACCGTTGGTTGAGGAAATGAAGGTAGGATCATAGATTAATTATTTTTCTTCTTTCGAATCATATATTTTTTTCTATTTCTACAAGGACCCGCATAATCAGATCTCAAAGAGATAGTCACCAGAACCTTTTTATTTTTCCTAACTACTTGAGTGGTCACTCTAACCTTTCGGAAGCTAGTATTGGAAAAGTATTGGCTTTCTACTCAAATTTTCTATCTCTTTTTCTGAACTCCGAACCCTTTAGTAACTTCTCCAGGTAAAGCGCAGCTTTCAAAGAAGCTAAAAAGTCGAAGTGGTCCCTTCAGGGATCTTTCTGTTAATTCATAGGCAAAGTCAAAAGGACCCTCCGCAGGTCATAAAGGCTGCTGGAAGGCTCGATAGAAATGTTCCTTTCAGGGCCATGAAGGCTCCCTTTTTGCTGCCTTTTTGCGCCATTTTCTCAGCCCTTATGCACCATTTTTGCTGCCTCTCCTTTTCTCCACCATTACTCGAGCCTTTCAAATCCCAGAAAAAAGGCTCGATAAAGGGACTCTCTTTGCTCCCTTTCTGCGGCCTTTTTTGAGCCTCTCCCTTTTTAGCGGCCCTTATCCCCCATTCCGACTCTGCACGAGATCCTTTCAGCTCTACAATTTTCAAAAACCCGCGTCAGGGAGATAAGAAGTCGAAGTGGCATTTCTATCAGCTTTGGGGTCCTAAAGTGATCACTCCAGCTTTTCAAAACTCCAACAGAAGCACAGAAATCAATCTCGAAGTTTCCAAGAAGCTCTTTTCTTCATTTATGATTTTTATCATTTTTTGGCTTTGATCAAAATTTAAGAACCTTCAAAGAAGTTATTAGATATCCTGACTTCGATAGGATCCTCTCTTCTGTTATTATTTTTTCCTGACTTTCAAGATGTCATTCGAAATTCCATTAAAAGTTCCATCATTACACTTTGAATATTGCAGGCGATTTTTGAACGAGATTGGGAAAGCGCCTACGCCCATCCGCTCGACGATTACTTCGAGAACTGCGTCAAGACGATAACCGCTAATTTTTGTGAAGGTGAAAAAGACCCGAGACTGTTCGCTAGTCCACAAATGATGGAATGAAGGAAACGTTTCTAGATCTTTCAAATTCTTCTCTCATTTCCCTAAATCTTTCCGATTTTTCATAGGGTCTTGAAATTATCGTGTAAATATACATAATATATCGAAAGTCCATTCTTAATTGTATGTACATAATTTCTGAAGCGAGTTATTGCATAAAACCTGTGATTTTTTATAGCCAACTGTTGTTATCAATGATTTTTTTTTCTGTCGAAAGTTCATAAATTTTATACAAGAAAAAGCACTTGTTGGGAGATCACAGAGGTCGAAATGAAAAAGAGGAATCCAAAAACAATATAGTACAAGTTTTGAGCAAAATGAAGGAATACCACGTTCAAAAATTCTAAAGTTATTTCATTACACTTTTTCAAAGTCAAGGCGTTCAATCGAGGGTGTTTTCCGTATGAGGGAACCGTAGAAATTGGTTTTTCTTTCTGAGAAACTATGAAGTGGTCACTTAAGAGAGTTTTTGAAGAAAAAACAACAATGAAAAGAGCAAGAAAAACAATAAAACAAGGCAACAAGTTACACGTGAGCAATGGGACATGGAGGGGAGGAGGGCATCAAAATGGCGACTTCATAGGGCGGGGGCGGACCCGAGGGCCGACCGCAGATCCACATGTCGGAAGCCAGTGACTCGCTCATCATTGATTCTGAAAAAGTCGACATTTTGATCTGAGATAATTAAAATTTTGAGCTCAAAATGATTTGAAGCGAGAGAGCAATAGAGGCGGAGAGAAGCCAGAGAAAAAAGGTCTCTAGTTCTCTGGCGTCTCTCTAGGTTGGCTTTGATCTCTCACTTCTCCCGATTTGAATTCTTTTCTTCAATTCTAGTTCTCTGAAGCACTGAAAAAAACGAACCACTATTCTGGTTGGCTGAAGACTGATCTCGATCGATATACTGGCTGTATATCCGGCATCCGAAAGTAAGAACGAAAACGACGAAAAATATGCCGACGGTGATGCCCGCGGCAACACCGCTGCTTACGTTCACGTGTTCTGAAAAAAAGTTTTTTTTAATTATAGATCTTTTCAAGTGGTAATATGCAGCTGTCAGTATAAACTTTTTGAAAAATAAGTCCTTAAGCGGCCACTTGAACCCGTCTCCGACCTTTTACAGCTTTTATTTACGACTCTACCAACCCGAAAAACATCCTAGAAAAAGAAGAATGTCTACCTGATAAAAGTTCATTGACGTAATTTCTATTGAGAATATTTAAAGGAGCATGGGCAAAGTTCATGAAGAGTATTGTCGGGAAAAGATAAAAGCTCCATTGAGCTGCTATTTATACTCGATTCAGTCGCTAGCTTATCTCAAAAAAAGCATAAAGAGTGAACTTATCTCATTTTCTTGAGAATTGAAAAAAAAAAGCTCTCAAACATTTGCCCGAGCCAACAATGAATCAATTGATGTCTGGGAGATAATTCGAAAAGAAAGAACTTATTTTTACTTTTATAAACCTATTCTGATTTCTTTTCTCATTCTGAACGTATATTTTATGTCGTTTAGAGAATGAAAAAAATTTCCAGAAAATACTTCCTTTTCATCCGCATAATGCTATTTGACGTGGCACTGGTGACTCATTAGTTAGGTATCAAATTATTCAATAATCTTTTTTTCAGCCAATTATGCGTTCAGTTTGAGTTTGAGAGAGGAAAAAAATGACAAGTTTTTGAAATTTTTTTATATAATTCTACATTAAGATATGTAATTTTCAAATTTTTCAAATCTGAAAAAAAGCTGTTCGCCTTGAAACCTTCATAAAAATCCGAAATTTATGCTTTTAAAAAAACACCTTATCTCTTATACATGAACTAACCAAAGCTTCGTAAGTTTAAAACCTACTAATTCATCTTTTTTTCCATTTTGCTACAATATTTTGGACATATGCGCCTTTAAAACCCCTACCACGCTTATGAATGAACTATTCTCAAAATTTAAAACCCCTACCACGCTTATGAATGGGCTATTCTCAAAATTTATCATATTTCTGTTTTTCGTTTGCAAGTTCTAAATCATCCTATACGCTTTTAAACACCCACAAAAAACTCATAAATAAAAAACCTGAAAATAGAAAATTTTCACTTCTTCCCTACCTAAGATCCACCTATGCGTAATTAAAAACTCTGAATCGCTTATGAATGAACTATTCTTAGAGTCAGCCGACTTTCTTCAATTTCTATCAAACTTCTGAAACCTTTATGAAATCTAACACCTTTAAACACCCTAACTTGCTCATGAATGAACTATCCTCAAAACGATTTTCTTCGGATTTTCACTCACTTTCATAGTGGTCGTTGACGTAGTAGCGGTCCCAGGTGACGGGCCGGTACGTGTTGTAGGGCCAGAGGGACTGCATCGTCGCATTGGCGAACGGCGCCTGGAACTGCAGCGTCGGCGTCGGCGTCGTGGCGTCGCGCTGTTGCAACAGCTTCGGCACTGAAAATATCCTAATCATTCATTCAGTTGTCCATTCAATAAAAGTTCAACGAAATGAAAACTACAGTTACAACCTTTTTCTGGAGGCTTCAAAGGGAAGTACTAACATAATAATTTCAGAAATCAGTAATAGATGAGATTGTTATTTAATATAGACGACGAGAAATGTCTTAAAATGACAAAAAAAAGTATTTTTCAAAGATGTTTGTGTTTTCAGAGCAAATAAATGGCCACCTTGAAAGTTTATAGTCTGCTCAGTGGTCAAATAAAAAGACCTTGAAAAAAAATAGACGAGAAAAAATAGCCACCAAAATTATTAGAACAGAGTGCTCTACTTTGCCGACAACCCCTTTTTTGAACAAAAGTTACGCATTTCCTCCAAAGTTTACAACAATGAACATAAAGAACAACCAATAAAAGACAAAAAAGTGAATTTCTGATGCTTCCCAGAAAAAGAACAATAAATTGTACTGTGCAACACAATTGTAGTCAGAAGAGGCTACAAATCAAAGATCCAACTCGTTTTTTATTTGGGTCAATTTGTACCTCAATTCGAGAGATAAAAAAGCTTTTTCATCTGTTTTTGAGAAATTTCAAGGACCGTCTGAAGTTTTTTTCAACAAGAACTAGAATTTCAAATTTTTCGCGTATTTTTTTACGTGTTTTTCTTGCAGCAGACAAGCAGCTTTTTGATAATATGTAAACTTAAAAAAATTAAATGAATGAATTTATAATAAATATATAAAAGTTTGAATGTAAAAAAACTTGTAAAAGAAAGTTTTTTTCATGCAATGAGAAGCCCTTAAAGCACGCACTTCTAAAGCTGAAAAAAATTTTTCAAAAATTTCAAAAAAATTTAGATTTCTGATAACGAAGACCTTGTGTGTAACAGCATCACCCACGTCGAAATTTCTTCCTTATCCAACCGGAAATTTGAGGAATCTTGAAAGCTTTGACCAAGATTTCATAGAATCTGCTCAGTTCTTAATGAATAACAGAGGAAGTTAAAAATACCTCTTTTATTCGAAATAAATTTCAAGAAAACAGTTGAAAAAAACGGTCAGGAACTTGGATTCCAAAAAATTTCAAATAAATATAAAAGCCCTGTTTTGAAGACTAAGATATTCTCTTTTGAACGATTTCAAATTGAAAAGACCGTTAGGAAGCTCAGGAACAGGAAAATTCGATTTTTATAGCCTTGACTACAAAAAGGGCTTATAAACCAACAGAGTATATTTAAAAAAAAGGAATACAGGAAAGGAAGTTTTCTCGTAACGAAGACCTTGCATTTGGCCGCATCACCAAAAATTTCCTCCTTTTCTCTCGGAAAAAGTGGGCGTGGCCGTTCCGCGGAACTACGCAAGAGCAAAAGCTACTTTTCCGTTGGATCTGACGACTTTGGAGCTGCTGACGACGCTTTTTTTGACGACGTTTCGACGGTTTATGGTCTTAGGACGTCTAAGATTCGGAAAAGGGGATATTGAACTGATAAAGACTGACGGTTTCATTTGGTGAGTAAGAAATAAATAGAGAAAAACAAATGTTTTTTGTAAGATGAGAAAATTGACGTCAAAGTTCATGAATCAAAGAAAATATCCTTCTCGAAATAACGCGAAATTGGCTCCAATCAGGTCCTCAGTCTATCGGAATCATGTTTTGAGATCGAAAAATCAACAAATTTTGGAGATGGGCGCATTTAAAATCGGAGAAAAAAAAGATTTTTTGAAATATTTTACCGGGAAAGTTTGCAAATCAGACCTTGAAAACTTTTTCCAGGTGCTTTTTTCAACATTTCAAAGTCGAAAGACTGAATTTTCAATTCAGCTTTTTTTCTGTCTACCTGTTGGCAAAAAAGCACCTGACTTCATTTCTAAATTCAAAAATAACTTTCCGATTTGTTGAGAAGCGAAAATCGAAATTTTTGAGTTCCTTCAGAAAGGCTATTCTCATTATTACATTAATTTTTGAAAAAGTTCTAAACTTTTTCAGAAAATATATTTTCTTAGAAAGAGTTAAAACTCCCGCAATATAGATAATGTATAACCGGAAATCGCGTGCTCACAAGTTGTAAAAATATACGACTTTTTCCGATAAAATGAATTCTTTCTCTTAAAATTAGATTCTAAGAAAAAAGATTATTAGTCCTATAATCTTTTAGGATTCGATAAGAAAAATGGAACTTTCAAAAAAACACCCTTACTAGGGATTATTAACGAGTCGGAAAGAAACATTAATGAAATGGTTTCAAGTGGCCTCTCTAGTGACCTCATCAAGTATCTCCTGGTCAAAGAAAATTCAAAAATTCCTTCCTTCGAAGAAAGATCCAATAAGTTGGAATACTGTTGAGAAAATGAAAAAAAAGGGGGAAAATCATGTTTTCTAAAGTTCATAACTTGAATAAAAATTCGAAAGAGTGGTATTATTTCCCATAAACCGAAAGATTAAAAAATAATCCTCAAATTTCCAAAAAGTTCTAAGAAAACTACAGACTGCAAAAGAATAAAAACGAGCCACTATAAGCCCGGAATCCCATTCAAACGAGAAAAAAAAACCACCCACGTAGAGCTAAAACAGAAGATTAATCTATCTAGACGAGAAAAAGACAGATTTTTGAAAGCTGGGAATGAAGCGAGCAGAGATTGGAGTCTTCATAAATGAGGGAAAAATCTCAAAGATTTAAAAGAAATCAAACGAAAATTGTCTCAGGGAATCACAAAAAACAATCTGAAGAAAACAAGAAAACGGCCGATTTGCCCTAATTTTGACGCTCCAAAAAATATTTGTCGACCTAAAAGGTTGGCTAAACAAGGGGGGAATGTAGGAGACTTGGAAAAACAGGTACATGCCTTGATAAATACACGTTTGTGCTTGAAAAAGTCGAAATATGAAATGCAATAAAAGAACTTTTAAAAAAATTCTATTTTTTTCTTTAATTGAGGTGATCACTTTCAATTTTTTTAAATTTTGAAAAATATTTTCAATACTTCCAAAGCACTTGGAAACGACATATAAATCAATTTCAGATCTTATTTGAGGCGAAATTTTCAAAAATTGCTTTGAATGTAGGAATTCTCCAAAATATTCAACAAAAACGAGCAATGTTTGAAAAAAGTCAGTTCCTTCGTATTTTGAGGCTAATTTCATTAATTTGAGTATAAATCTTCTTCCTGAATCTACCCATCAGTTTGTTATGCCTTCAAAAAAAAAGTTCAAAACAAGAAGTTCTCACTGTTCAACGATAAAACTCTCTGAAAACTAGAGGAAACTCCAAAAAAAGAACGAAAAATTCAGAAATAATTACTGAAGCGAGACGTTTTCTGCGAGAGAGGGAGGCGGGTTGAAAATGGCAAAAAGTAGGGAAAGAACTGGTTGAAGAGGAAGTTTTTACTCGGAATCTTTTACCGCCAACAGCGGAGAGGACAGAAATTGTTTCCGCTTGAGACTGTTTGCTAACCAGGCCGCCGTCGACCTGACTTTTTTCCCGATTTTATTTGTTTTCGACATATTTTTACATGAATCGTAAATATCTTTAAAGGGAAACGAGCATTTTATCGTAGCTTCTGACATCAAAACTCATAATCTTGGTATTTAAATTTTTTCGAACCGACACCGTCTTTTTTAATTATCATATGAACTATATGTCGACTAGAGTAAACTCGAAACTTCCCGACGATTTTTTAAAGTTTAGAAAAAAACATTCCTAAAAATTCGATGAAAATATAACATTTGAAGAATTTTCAAAGCCTTTTGAAGCCTTGGAATGAACGCGGAAGCAGATGAATATTCAAAAAAAGGAAAAAAAATGGGGTGATGGTTGGCTGATTCGAAAGGAGAGAGTAAGGTGGAAAACGGGTTCGAAAAATCTTTTCATTTCTTAGAAAACCTAAATTTTTATCTTCATTCATTTTAAAAATTTTTCATTAGAAATTAGTAATCTATCGAAAAAGGCTTATTTTTTTCAAGAGAAAAAAACTATAAACATAAAATAAATCAATTTGTGATAGTAAAGGTAGGGATTATTTAAAAATAAACTGATAAACAAAAATATATACTAGAATATAGCTCACCTACTTCTATTTCTACATGTTTGCTCTTAAAATATGAACGAAATATAAAAAAAAATGAAACGAGAAACCTTTGAATAATTTCATAGTTAGATTCGGACATCCATTTTCAATGAGAGGAAAAGGTTGGAAACTTCACGGATCATCAATTTTTCTCGATAACATCTGGTTTGGCTCTCATAAAATAGTGTTGCCCGTGTTTACGAATACTACGTTTTTTTACGAGAAAAATGTTTTGAAGATTTATTTTTTTCTAAAAAAACCCAGATGAATTTTGTTGTCCTAAAAAAATGAAACAATTGGTTAAAAATTTAAAAATGCTTGGAAATATAAATTACTTTCATCAAGCTTCCTGTGATATCGAAAGAGTCGATTTCAGGCTCTGAATGAGAAAAAAAAAACATATATTTGAAAAATTTTCAACTTTTGCTTAATTTTGAAGAGTTCATGAGCCGAAGAGACACCTAGTAAAAATATTTTTGAGCTCTCAAAAAAAAAATTCAGGACCAAATAGACTTTGAAGCAATCTATCAGGATTTCACCTCAAAACACTTTGGTCGCACAGAGAATGGTTACAGCCGCTGCGCGACCGCAACGCGTTGATAAACGTGAGATTTTCTTTCCCTTTTTGATAATTCCCAAAAGATTTTAGACTTGAGTCAAATTTGAGAAAGACGCAAGCCCGACATGAAAATCCAAGCTTGAACTTGACAAGGTACCTGAAAGTCTCATTCTTAAATGAACACATGGAAACCTAAAATGCCATCTAAATAGGCGCCCAGCTTTTTTTTTCCATTTCATTTAGCATCAATAAAACTGTAATAACCAAAGATGAAACCAATAATAAAAGCATATCAAAATAGAATACAGTGCAGAAAAGGTTGCTGTTGTTAGGTATCGCCGGGGCAAAAGGAAAGGCAGGCGTAAAAACGAAAGTTGCCCAAAAAAAACGAGA